TGCTTTTAATTTAAGCAATCCACTACAAGACTCATTAACATGCTGCTAGATTAACTGCTTCCAAGCTGAGGTTATCCGCCTCTTAATGCCCTTTCCATGGGAGATAATCCCTGCTAACTTGGATTGGAGGCTACAATGAGATAAGCAGCGAATATGAAGAGATGAAGGAGAACCTGTCTGATCTGATCTGAGCGCTCCAACAATGATTGTTTTTCTCTTTCTGCTGCAATTTGCTTAATTTGGGTGTTATTGACAGGCAGCGTGTCACGGAGCCTGAAGGCAGCACTGATCCTGCAGACACACAGACAGATACAGACACACAGACAGATACAGACACACAGACAGATACAGACACACAGACAGATACAGACACACAGACAGATACAGACACACAGACAGATAGATTATTGATTACACGCAGTGTTCACCATCTCTTCTAGGAAACACTGATTATCTGTTTCTACTGAGATTAAACTGAAACTCCAGAAAACAACATCCACTGTTTCCTGAGTGTCTGCGTCACAAACCGGATACTGTCAGATATTCACAGCTAACTGCTAACTGCTAACTGCTAACTGCTAACTGCTAACAGCTAACTGCTGACAGCTAACTGCTAACTGCTGACAGCTAACTGCTAACTGCTAACTGCTGACAGCTAACTGCTGACAACTACTGCTAACTGCTAACTACTGACAGCTAACTACTGACAGCTAACTGCTAACTGCTGACAGCTAACTACTGACAGCTAACTGCTAACTACTGACAGCTAACTACTGACAGCTAACTGCTGACAGCTAACTACTGACAGTTAACTACTGACAGCTAACTACTGACAGCTAACTGCTAACTGCTGACAATTCAATTCAATTCAATTCACTTTTATTTGTATAGCGCCAATTCATAACAGAAGTTATCTCAGGACAGCTTTTCAAATACTGAGCAGGTCTAGACCGAACTCTTTATAACATTATTTACAGAGACCCAACAGTACCACCATGAGCAAGACCTTGGAGACAAGGGCTAGGAAAAACTGCCTGTTAAAAGGCAGAAACCTAGACAGATCCTCCGGCTCTAGGTGGGTGGTCGTCTGTCTCTGACCAGTTGGGGTGAGAGAGTGAGACAGACAGACAGACAGGTGCACAGCAACAACAGTATTGGCAATGGCAATCAAGCAGGACCATGGCAGGAGGCTCCACCAGGATCGATAAGAACCTGCAGACAAGAAAGCACAAAACTCCGGGGAAGAAGTGAAGTTAGTAACATGCATTAATGGAACATGAATGAGTGCAGAAAGAGAGAGGAAGAGAGGAGCTCAGTGCACCATGGGAAATCCCCCGATAGTCTAGGCCTATAGCAGCATAACTAAGGGATGGTTCAGGACTCACCTGATCCAGCCCTAACTATAAGCTTTATCAACAGCTAACTACTGACTGCTAACTGCTAACTACTGACAGCTAACTACTGACAGCTAACTACTGACAGCTAACAGCTAACTACTGACAGCTAACTACTGACAGCTAACTACTGACAGCTAACTGCTAACTGCTGACAGCTAACTACTGACAGCTAACTGCTAACTATTGACAGCTAACTACTGACAGCTAACTACTGACAGCTAACAGCTAACTGCTGACGGCTAACTACTGACAGCTAACTACTGACAACTAACTGCTAACTACTGACAGCTAACTACTGACAGCTAACAGCTAACTACTGACAGCTAACTACTGACAACTAACTGCTAACTACTGACAGCTAACTACTGACAGCTAACTGCTAACTACTGACAGCTAACTGCTAACTGCTGACAGCTAACTACTGACTGCTAACTGCTAACTACTGACAGCTAACTGCTGACAGCTAACTACTGACTGCTAACTGCTAACTACTGACAGCTAACTACTGACTACTGACAGCTAACTGCTAACTACTGACTGCTAACTACTCACCGCTAACTGCTAACTGCTGACAGCTAACTACTTACTGCTAACTGCTAACTACTGACAGCTAACTACTGACAGCTAACTACTGACTACTGACAGCTACCTGCTAACTACTGACAGCTAACTACTGACAGCTAACTGCTGACAGCTAACTGCTCGCGTGCTAACAGGGTTACATTTCTAACTCGCTAACGTAGCAACATTTTAAACTGCACACTGTAGCTTTGTACCGTTAGCATCATTTATTGTTAGCTCAGTTGCTAGCTACTGTTAGCCTGCCAGCTGCAACCAGCTACACTGAAGGAAAGCTAGCTGTAGCGTGCTAACATATCGTTGTACATGAAGAGTGCAGTCTGATGATCACAGTCAGTGTGAGGATGATTAAAACACAGTGGATTATTATTATTGTTGTTGTTGTTGTTGTTGTTGTTGTTGTTGTGTGTCACCCTGTGAGAGGTCACAGCTGGTGCATGCTGGGAGGGAGGAAGAATAGAAAAGTGCAATTGTTCTGTTAAATCTTCTTACTGAATATTGTGTGATTTGTTTGTAGTGCAGCATGCAAACACTGAGCCATATGTTCCTTTATCTCCAGTAATCAACAAACCCCCCGAACCCCCCCACTCACTGCTCATCTTCCTCTTCAGCACAATGAGCACTGCTCATCTTCCTCTTCAGCACAATGAGCACTGCTCATCTTCCTCTCCAACGAGGCGCTCTCTGTCCGAGGATTTACTGTCAGACCAACTGCAGATTAGAAACTGTGGGATTATTGAAGACCTCCAGGAACAGAGAGAGTGCTGGAGGAGGAGGAGGAGGAGGAGGAGGAGGAGGAGGAGGAGGAGGAGGAGGAGGAGGAGGGGGAGGAGGAGGAGGAGGAGGAAGAGGAGGTGGAGGTTGACGAGGAGGAGGAGGAGGGGGAGGAGGAGGAAGAGGAGGAAGAGGAGGAAGAGGAGGTGGAGGTTGAGGAGGAGGAGGAGGGGAGGAGGAGGAGGAGGAGGAGGAGGAGGAGGAGGAGGAGGAGGAGGTGGAAGAGGAGGAAGAGGAGGTAGAGGTGGAGGAGGAGGAGGAGGGGGAGGAGGGGGGGGAGGAGGAGGAGGAGGAGGAGGAGGAGGAGGAGGAGGAGGAAGAGGTAGAGGTGGAGGAGGAGGAGGAAGAGGAGGAGGAGTTGGAAGAGGAGGAAGAGGTAGAGGTGGAGGAGGAGGAGGAAGAGGAGGAAGAAGAGGAAGAGGTGGAAGGACGAGGTTGAGGAGGAGGAAGACGAGGAGGAGGAGGAGGTGGAGGAGGAGGAGGAAGAGGAGGTGGAGGAGGAGGAGGAGGTGGAGGACGAGGTGGAGGAGGAGGAGGAGGTGGAAGAGGAGGTGGAGGAGGAGGAGGAGGGGGAGGTGGAGGTTGAGGAGGAGGAGGAAGAGGAGGAAGAGGAGGTTGAGGAGGAGGAGGAGGTTGAGGAGGAGGAGGTGGAGGTTGAGGAGGAGGAGGTTGAGGAGGAGGAGGAGGAAGAGGAGGAGGTGGAGGTTGAGGAGGAGGAGGTTGAGGAGGAGGAGGAGGAAGAGGAGGAGGAGCAGTTCTTAGTGCTTGAAGCTGACACTGACGCTGATAGTGGAAATATGAATCTATGCAGTTTGACTGATTGGCAGGATAACGTCTCACAGCGGTGGAGACGGACGGAAGGAGACACCACACTGACCTGGAATTCCCTCCTTCCTTTCACCCCATCATTTCTGACTAATTATCAATTATCACAGTCTGAATGGAGGAGGGGGAGGGGGGGAGGAGGAGGGGGAGGGGGAGGGGGAGGGACTGAAAGAAAACAGAGCGACAGATGGAGGAGAGAGGTGGAAAGGACCCTGAAGCTGTCTGCTCTGGATCATCATTACACTTCCTCTCATTTTCATCCAGCAGGCTGGAGGTGATCAGACAGCTACAGCCAATCAGCTCCCTGATCAGGTGACAGCCAGACGTTTCCCATCATGCTTTGGGTCTTGTAGTCAGCGGAGAGCAGCTGCGGCGCCTCGATCTTACGAGTGCACGGCGTCAGAGTGAGTCACCATGAAGTCGCACACAAACCGACGATCGATTCTGGATCATCTGCAACGAGCCTGTACACAACTTTATTAACACTGTACAAACACACAACTTTATTAACACTGTACAAACACACAACTTTATTAACACTGTACAGACACACAACTTTATTAACACTGTACAGACACAACTTTATTAACACTGTACAAACACACAACTTTATTAACACTGTACAGACACACAACTTTATTAACACTGTACAAACACACAACTTTATTAACACTGTACAAACACAACTTTATTATCACTGTACAAACACACAACTTTATTAACACTGTACAAACACAACTTTATTAACACTGTACAGACACACAACTTTATTAACACTGTACAGACACAACTTTATTAACACTGTACAGACACACAACTTTATTAACACTGTACAAACACACAACTTTATTAACACTGTACAAACACAACTTTATTATCACTGTACAAACACAACTTTATTAACACTGTACAAACACACAACTTTATTAACACTGTACAAACACACAACTTTATTAACACTGTACAAACACACAACTTTATTAACACTGTACAAACACACAACTTTATTAACACTGTACAAACACAACTTTATTAACACTGTACAAACACACAACTTTATTAACACTGTACAAACACACAACTTTATTAACACTGTACAAACACAACTTTATTAACACTGTACAAACACACAACTTTATTAACACTGTACAAACACACAACTTTATTAACACTGTACAAACACACAACTTTATTAACACTGTACAAACACAACTTTATTAACACTGTACAAACACAACTTTATTAACACTGTACAAACACACAACTTTATTAACACTGTACAAACACACAACTTTATTAACACTGTACAAACACACAACTTTATTAACACTGTACAGACACAACTTTATTAACACTGTACAAACACACAACTTTATTAACACTGTACAAACACACAACTTTATTAACACTGTACAAACACAACTTTATTAACACTGTACAAACACACAACTTTATTAACACTGTACAAACACACAACTTTATTATCACTGTACAAACACAACTTTATTAACACTGTACAGACACACAACTTTATTAACACTGTACAAACACAACTTTATTAACACTGTACAAACACACAACTTTATTAACACTGTACAAACACAACTTTATTAACACTGTACAAACACACAACTTTATTAACACTGTACAGACACAACTTTATTAACACTGTACAAACACACAACTTTATTAACACTGTACAAACACAACTTTATTAACACTGTACAAACACACAACTTTATTAACACTGTACAAACACAACTTTATTAACACTGTACAAACACACAACTTTATTAACACTGTACAAACACAACTTTATTAACACTGTACAAACACACAACTTTATTATCACTGTACAAACACACAACTTTATTAACACTGTACAGACACACAACTTTATTAACACTGTACAGACACACAACTTTATTAACACTGTACAAACACAACTTTATTATCACTGTACAAACACAACTTTATTAACACTGTACAAACACACAACTTTATTAACACTGTACAAACACAACTTTATTAACACTGTACAAACACACAACTTTATTAACACTGTATAAACACAACTTTATTAACACTGTACAAACACACAACTTTATTATCACTGTACAAACACAACTTTATTATCACTGTACAAACACACAACTTTATTAACACTGTACAAACACACAACTTTATTAACACTGTACAGACACAACTTTATTATCACTGTACAAACACAACTTTATTAACACTGTACAAACACACAACTTTATTAACACTGTATAAACACAACTTTATTAACACTGTACAAACACAACTTTATTAACACTGTACAAACACACAACTTTATTAACACTGTACAAACACAACTTTATTAACACTGTACAAACACACAACTTTATTAACACTGTATAAACACAACTTTATTAACACTGTACAAACACACAACTTTATTATCACTGTACAAACACACAACTTTATTATCACTGTACAAACACACAACTTTATTAACACTGTACAAACACACAACTTTATTAACACTGTACAGACACAACTTTATTAACACTGTACAAACACAACTTTATTAACACTGTACAAACACACAACTTTATTATCACTGTACAAACACAACTTTATTAACACTGTACAGACACAACTTTATTAACACTGTACAAACACACAACTTTATTAACACTGTACAGACACAACTTTATTAACACTGTACAAACACACAACTTTATTAACACTGTACAAACACAACTTTATTAACACTGTACAAACACAACTTTATTAACACTGTACAAACACACAACTTTATTAACACTGTACAAACACACAACTTTATTAACACTGTACAAACACACAACTTTATTAACACTGTACAGACACAACTTTATTAACACTGTACAAACACACAACTTTATTAACACTGTACAAACACACAACTTTATTATCACTGTACAAACACAACTTTATTAACACTGTACAGACACACAACTTTATTAACACTGTACAAACACAACTTTATTAACACTGTACAAACACACAACTTTATTAACACTGTACAAACACAACTTTATTAACACTGTACAAACACACAACTTTATTAACACTGTACAGACACAACTTTATTAACACTGTACAAACACACAACTTTATTAACACTGTACAAACACACAACTTTATTAACACTGTACAAACACACAACTTTATTATCACTGTACAAACACACAACTTTATTAACACTGTACAAACACACAACTTTATTATCACTGTACAAACACAACTTTATTATCACTGTACAGACACAACTTTATTATCACTGTACAAACACAACTTTATTAACACTGTACAGACACACAACTTTATTAACACTGTACAAACACAACTTTATTAACACTGTACAAACACAACTTTATTAACACTGTACAAACACACAACTTTATTATCACTGTACAAACACAACTTTATTAACACTGTACAGACACAACTTTATTAACACTGTACAGACACACAACTTTATTAACACTGTACAAACACAACTTTATTAACACTGTACAAACACAACTTTATTAACACTGTACAAACACACAACTTTATTAACACTGTACAAACACAACTTTATTAACACTGTACAAACACAACTTTATTAACACTGTACAGACACACAACTTTATTAGCACTGTACAAACACACAACTTTATTAACACTGTACAAACACACAACTTTATTAACACTGTACAAACACACAACTTTATTAACACTGTACAAACACACAACTTTATTAACACTGTACAGACACACAACTTTATTATCACTGTACAAACACACAACTTTATTAACACTGTACAAACACAACTTTATTAACACTGTACAAACACACAACTTTATTAACACTGTACAGACACACAACCAGGAACAGTAAACTCAGTAAAGTGGTTCCAGCTCTCTGCGAGCGGCAGCTGAAGGATTAGGGTCAGAAAGAAAGAGAGAGGGGGCGTGTGGATGAAGGGTCAGGAGAGTTTCAGGGTCGGGGGCAAAGGTCGAAGGTATCAGCTCGGGAAAGTGTCTTCCTCTGCCAGGAGACGGTGAAGCTGTTGCCTGATGGGAAACTAGAACGCAGAGACAAACATTCGGATCATTTCTGAGTTGGGAATATTTTTTCTGGACACGGCGTGAAAGCTAACAGGAAGTGGCTAATGAGGTTTTAAATTAGCATAATGCACCTAGCTTATTGAGCGAAGCGGCACGCGTTGGCATCATGTGCTGCCGGCGGCGTGACGCCTGGTGGCCCGGTGGCCTGGTGGCCCGGTGGCGTTGGGTCCAGACACTCTCAGTCTCCGTACAGTATTACAGTTTTAATCATTAGCCATTAGCGCTAATGGCAGCAGACAGACTGGAGCTTTCTCTGGATGCTGTTGTTTGTCTGGCGTGGCCTCACTTTAAGGTCTGAGATTACTAAATGTAAATGAGGATGGGGGGGGGGCAGACCTCATATAAGAGTATATGGTCCAGACTTCCAGACACAGTCTAATTTAAAAACTGTAATCCCGACCCAGGAGTTGTTTACAGCACTGAATTAGGTTAATCTATCCGGGTTATTTGCATAAATGTGCATTTATGAATAATTAGTGGGCCACAGAGGGCTGAAGGTGGGGACTGGTGGCGGGGGGGGGTGGACGCGTGGCCAGACTATTGTTGCCGTTGACGGCAGTAAACAATAGAGTGACAGAAACAATGAACAACACAAACCGCAGGGAGCTGTGGCCGTCTGCCGGCTGAATTACTGCTATCGCTTACAGCCGGCCGACCGCCGCACGCACCAGCAACATGTCGTTAATGTGATTACAGCCAGCGCCGCTTTAATTGGTCTCATTAACACTCAGTTTAACACAACCAGCAGCTGGAAGGGAGAGCAGAGGTCAAACTCACACTGTCCATATATTCATAGATTATTTATACATTCAGCATCAGGCTACGGTGGCCTTGAAGTGCAAATAACAAATTACTTTATTTGTATTATTAGTTGCAGTTCAAACCCCATCCCATAATCCAACAGAACCAGTGAGGACTGTAACCGAGAAATACATAAAAACTTTATTTTAAAATACAACCAAATAAAACGAGTGAATAAAATAAAGTAAATGATGTGTAAATAGAGTAAAAGAAATAGATTAAATGTATTCAGGATTCTTTCTGTGGATAAAGACTTTTATTAAATATATAATATTAAATCAGGCAGTTCAGGACCTCCCTGATATTGTTTCAGGAGCTCAAACACATCTGGAGGCGGTGAACGTCTGTTGGTGATGACTGTGTGAGCGGCTGCTGTCAAACGTCTTTTATTCCCCGGAGAGTCCTTGCCAACAAACCGCTCTCGAGGGAAACACGCCTCCTCCTTTCAGGCCAGAACTCCTCAATGTGTGCGAGGCCGACCCGCCAAAATACTGAATGGAGGGCCGGAGCCGGAGCCATTCAGGGGCCGCAGAGGGAGGAACGTCAGGAAGGTTTAATTAAATGTGTCCACATAGAAGAAACCAGATTGTTCCAGATTCCCACTGTCTGTCCGAGGTTCACAACCTTCCTCCTTACGGACCCGTTTCGGGGTCATAAAGCAGCTGTGGTAATAAATATGGTGAACTTCTCTACTGTTACTGTGAAAGGATGTCTGTAATATAAATATATATATAATATATATTCAGAGTCACTGTCATTGTTTACAGTGTATGGATGCTGTGCTTCCTGGAATATTAACTCATTCAAATAAAGCTGTTTTAACTTTGAACATTAAACAAAGTAATTTATGGAAGTTTGTGGAAAACCTGAGATTTGATTATTTCCTGTGAATATTGATCAGAGATGAGTTTTCCTGATATATTGATCCATTCTCTGTCTGTATTCTGTATTTTTATCATTTTAACAATCAGTTAATAATATTCTTCTTTCTGACAGATTCACTGTTTATTGATCGATCAGCTGTTTGGTTTCTGATGCAGGACGAGGCTGTTGATCAGAGACCGAAACTCTGTCAGTGTACACTGCGATCAATAATAATAACAATTATAATTCTAATTGTCTGCTGATATTTACTGTCACAGTCTCTGATGATCCTCCTCAGGGTCTCCGATGAAGAGGCAGACGGGCTGTAGATGGAGGTCAGACTCTATCTGTTACTGTATTGTGCCTCCCACCTGTTGATGAGACCGGCTGCAGACAGGAAGAAAGTCTTCTTGTGGCAGGAAGCAACTCACAGACAGACAGGGACTCACAGAGAGAGATAGACAGGGACTCACAGAGAGAGAGAGACAGGGACTCACAGAGAGAGAGACAGGGACTCACAGAGAGAGAGACAGGGACTCACAGAGAGAGATAGACAGGGACTCACAGACAGACAGGGACTCACAGAGAGAGATAGACAGGGACTCACAGACAGACAGGGACTCACAGAGAGAGATAGACAGGGACTCACAGAGAGAGAGAGACAGGGACTCACAGACAGACAGGGACTCACAGAGAGAGATAGACAGGGACTCACAGACAGACAGGGACTCACAGAGAGAGATAGACAGGGACTCACAGAGAGAGAGACAGGGACTCACAGACAGACAGGGACTCACAGAGAGAGAGACAGGGGCTCACAGAGAGACAGGTTACCAGATATTTCCATGTATCCTCTGTCTCACTGTCTGTCTGTCTCACTGTCTATCTATCTCACTGTCTATCTATCTCACTGTCTGTCTGTCTCACTGTCTGTCTGTCTCACTGTCTGTCTATCTCACTGTCTGTCTGTCTCACTGTCTGTCTGTCTCACTGTCTGTCTATCTCACTGTCTGTCTGTCTCACTGTCTGTCTGTCTCACTGTCTGTCTGTCTGTGTTGACTTTGGCTGGTCTCTGACTGCCAGTTCAACGTCTCTGAGCCGTCCTTCAGGGTCCGAACCGGACTGGTTATCCTTCAGATGCAGTGTCCAACGACCTTTCAGAGTAAAACGCGGTTCCATCCTGACGTTGGCTGTCAAACCTCCAACATGGCCGCCACAGAGGGCCGGCAGGGTTACGTCACCTGACAGAGCGCCGCTGTACATTTAGTGAACGCCAGAGAGTCAATCCTGATTACAGTCCACCAACACGCAACGTCAGACGGACGGACGGCAAATTAATTACAAAAGGCAGAAATAAAAGAATAAAGACGTAAAGGATGAAGATAAAACTCTGGACGAGGATAAAAAGCTCAAGAATAAAAGACTTTAATCTGAAGATTATTCAAACCCACATAATCAATCAATCTCCTCCTCATATAAAGGTAATCCACATTGTTTGAAAAATGAACATAAGTTTCTGTGGCACACACACACACACACACACACACACACACACACACACACACACACACATTTAATCCAGCACCTTCTTTTCAGCTTACACGAGTCAAACTGATGTTCTGATTTTTGTGAAAACCTTTATAATCTGCACAAACTGGAGCTGCGTCATCTTTTACGACCACAGAAGAAGAACGAGTGAAAGTGTGAGTGTGTGAGTGTGTGTGTGTGTGTGTGTGTGTGTGTGTGTGTCATTTTCCTGGAACCAGAAGGAAACATTAAAGCAGCGACAGCTTAAAGGAAATAAAAATAGATCAAATCAATGAGATTTTTCTATTGTGATCAACTCTTTATTGAAGTTCTTTATTTTGAAGATATCGATAATAATAATAATAATAATAATAATAATAATAATAATAATAAAGTTTATTGAAGGAAACAGGCGACGCTGTACCAGGTGAGCTAGCATGACGTTGTGTGAAGCAGATATTGATTATCTGTCAATATTAGTATTTATATATATTTATACACATCAGCTGATCAGGAAGGAATCAATGGTAATATTGGATCAATATCCTGTGAAAGACAGAGATCAATACCTTCAGTAATCTCAGTCTCAGACTCCAGATGAACCAATCAGTGATGATCTTACACTGTCATCAGCAGAGGCCACGCCCCCTGAACACCATATAAGGACATGCAAATAATCAATCAATGTATCAATTATCAGCTCCAACAATTTAAACATGAAAGATATTTATTATTTATTTCAGTTTAAGTTTAAAATGTGTTCACAGAGTTTATCTGGATAAAATAATGAACACAAATAATCACCAACACAGTTATTAGTGAATGAATGAATGAATAACTTCGGTTAACTTATTCTATTAAAAGATATTCACTCATTCACTCATTCATACATTAACTCACATTCATTCATCTATACATTCATACATTCACTCACATTAACTCACATTAACTCACATTCACTCATTCATACATACATTCACTCACATTCACTCACATTCATACATTAAGTCACATTCACTCACATTCACTCATTCATACATTCATACATTCATACATTCATACATTAACTCACATTAACTCACATTCAATCACATTCACTCATTCATACATTCATACATTGACTCACATTAACTCACATTCACTCACATTAACTCACATTCATACATTCATACATTAACTCACATTAACTCACATTCATACATTCATACATACATTAACTCACATTCACTCACATTCATACATTAACTCACATTAACTCACATTAACTCATTCATACATTCATACATTAACTCACATTCACTCACATTCACTCATTCATACATTCATACATTAACTCACATTAACTCACATTCACTCACATTCATAGATTCATACATACATTAACTCACATTCACTCACATTCACTCACATTCATACATTAACTCACATTCAAACACATTCATACATTAACTCACATTCACTCACATTCACTCACATTCATACATTAACTCACATTCACTCACATTCACTCATTCATACATTCATACATTAACTCACATTAACTCACATTCACTCACATTCACTCATTCACTCATTCATACATTAACTCACATTCACTCACATTAACTCACATTCACTCACATTCACTCACATTCATAGATTCATACATACATTAACTCACATTCACTCACATTCACTCACATTCATACATTAACTCACATTCATACATTCATACATTCAACATTAACTCACATTCACTCACATTCACTCACATTCACTCATTCATACATTAACTCACATTCACTCACATTCACTCACATTCACTCACATTCACTCAATTCATACATTAACTCACATTCACTCACATTCACTCACATTCAACATTACTCACATTCACTCACATTCATACATTAACTCACATTCACTCACATTCACTCACATTCATACATTAACTCACATTCACTCACATTCACTCACATTCATACATTCATACATACATTAACTCACATTCACTCACATTCACTCACATTCACTCATTCACTCATTCATACATTAACTCACATTCACTCACATTCACTCACATTCACTCATTCATACATTAACTCACATTCACTCACATTCACTCACATTCACTCATTCATACATTAACTCACATTCACTCACATTCACTCACATTCACTCATTCATACATTAACTCACATTCACTCACATTCACTCACATTCACTCATTCATACATTAACTCACATTCACTCACATTCACTCACATTCATACATTAACTCACATTCACTCACATTCATACATTAACTCACATTCACTCACATTCATACATTCACTCACATTACAGTTGTTTCCAGTTGCTAACTCACTACAATAACACAGCACAATAATATAAAGTGACACACACAGAGAGCAGAACCTCTTCTCAAGTCTCCAAAACTCTAAACACATTTTCTGCTTTATTTTTTAAATGCTCTGATGGTTCTCTGCATAACAACAATCTGACAGAAAGTCAGAGCTGATTGGTCAATATATGATCCACCTGAGCAAACACCTCAATGGTTCATTGTTACCTTCAATCAGGAAGGAAGCCAGAAAAACACCAATGGAAATATATCTGCAGATGTTGCACTGAGCTGTGTGTGTGTGTGTGTGTGTGTGTGTGTGTGTATGTGTATGTGTGTGTGTGTGTGTGTGTGTGTGTGTGTGTGTGTGTGTGTGTATCTGCAAATATTTCTGTGTATGTGAACAATCTGAAGAATTTTCTACAATTGGAACTATTTTAGTATTAAAGCAGACTAAAGATGAGAGTGCTTTTCATTATGCCCAACAGTGTGTGGTTGGTTAGACAAACATCTGGTGATTGGATAATGTTATATTATATATAATATATATATATAACCCTTGGTTGCAGTGCTTCATGTTACAGGATATATGTATATGTATATAGGTAGTTTGTGGTTTTGTGAATTGTGTTTAGTATTTTGATAAAACTAGACTAGTTTGCAAAATTGTGTTTTAGCATTTGGAAAAAACTGTAATGCACTCTTGTCTTCTGCACAGTTTTCTTTTCTTTCTTTCTTATCTTTATTTATTTATATTTGTTTATAAATTTATTTTTTGTGTGATTTGTATATTTGTATATTTTATGCAACAGGACAAATTCCTCATAGGTGTAAAAACTTACTTGGAAATAAACATAATTCAGATTCTGATGAAAGTCAGTTTGACAAAATTACAACCAAGTCTGTGTTTAATCCCTGAGGATTGTGTGTGTGTGTGTGTGTGTGTTACTGTGTGTGTGTGTGTGTGTGTGTGTGTGTGTGTGTTAGAAATGATCAACTGGTTTTAAGAAGTTATTAAAGGAATCAGCTTATCAGAGATAATTAAAGTAAATATTCAGTTTTTATTTTTCTTTATTTGTTATTGTGACGTCAGCGAGTCCAAATCATCCAGCTGAGATTAAAGATTAATGTTTATTAAATAATAATGTTTATTAAAGATTGTTTATTAAAGATTGTTTATTAAAGATTGTTTATTAAAGAATAATGTTATTAATGTTGTTGTTAAGACAAATGAAACTTTAACTGTTAATAACCGTTTAATAATGATTAATTAATAATAAATATTATAGTGACGGATTAGTAAACATTATATTTGATATTGTTATTATTTATCCTCTTTTCTTCAACAATATATATTTACACATTTCAAGAATATAATAATTCAACAAAAACAATATTCAAGAGCTGAAATACAAATAAATATAAATATTTATATATAAACAGGATTTATTGTTATTAGTTTTTATTATTATTATTATATTACTGATTATTACTCTTTAACTTATTGTCTTTGTTTATTCTGCTGATCAATAACTCATTAGATGGTTTATTTACACTTTATTATTAATTCAGAATCAGGTTTCACATAAGGTTTATAATAACAATAAATAATAATAATAATATAATATGATCGAATATAAATAAAGACAATAACATATAATAAATCAATACAAATAAACTGACGTTATTTATTAGAATCCATATTACTATTTATTATTATTCATCATTATTTATTGTTATTTCTTAGTAGTAGTATTATTATTTATTAGTATTAGTTTTATTTATTATTATATATGTAATGAAGGATCCTGATTATCAGAAGCTGTGTGATGGATTAATGCCTCCGGATCGATTATCGGTCATTGATTAGTGAGGTCACTCTCTGATCAAAGATCAACAGGAGAAATTAAAAAGAGAGAAAATCCGGATCAGATTGGAGGGAAATTGGTGGCAATTAATCCTCCGGGATTGACTCCCCCCCGCCCCCCCCGTCCCCCTCCTCCCCGCCCTGAGTCCTGATTGGCTGTTGGCTGTGACCCCCCTGAGACCGGAGCCGGATAAAAGAGCCCGCCAACGGGACGGTCCCGGTGTGTTCATCCTCATCCTCCTCTTCCTCAGACGATGGCGGCCCGGGAGGAAACCGGAGAGAAGCCCCGAGTGAAGATGTTGTCTCCGGGATTTGGGATCGATAAGTCCCGGCTGCACGGCTCCGGGTTCCGGTCCAAAGGCTTCGCCATCACGGACCTGCTGGGCCTGGAGTCGGACCTGCAGGTGCGGCCGCCGCCCGGCGGGGCCCCCGGGTCGGGTCTGTCGGCTGCGGGCTCCGGGTCCGGGTCTGAGCCGCAGGGAGGCCTCGGAGGGTTCTCGTTCCCGGGGGGGTCGCTGCCGCTGGGACTCGGGTTCCTCTGCAGTCTGGCGGCGCAGCAGCCCGCCGGAGCCCCCTGCTTCCTGCCGGGTCACCTGCCGCTGCTGCAGGCCCGGGCCGACAGCCACTACCTGCAGAACCTGGAGGCCCAGAGGGACGCTTACTCCGGTACGGCTCGGCTCGAGGTCCAGTACTAGTTCTAGGTCCAGGTCTTTAGTCCTCCAGGTGTTTTCAGGTGGAGCTGCTGCTGAAACCGGAAATTACCAGAACTCTGTTTCTCTCTGGAACCGGGTCTATCTGCCGGTTCGGCTCCACTTTATTATTTCATTCTTTAGAATCCGGATCAGTTCGGCTCATTTTGGGTTTTAATCAACAACGAATTCACTAAATCAAATTCCCTTTGAACCGGATTGATCTCTTTCGTTCTGGCTCCGGTTCGGTTGGGTTCCACTGTCAGGGTCGTTTTTGTAAATCAGGAAAAAAATCCGCTCCTGAAATCACAGCAACACAACAGTGTTTATTAATGTTGTTGTTGTTTATTAATGTTGTTGTTGTTTATTAATGAATTCATTGGACTTTATTTATGGTTTATATATTCATTATTATTATTATTGTTATTATTATTATTATTAATCAGATAAAGATAAAATCATCCATCCGGTGCTTTCTGTTGTTTAAAAAAACAAAGAAAACTTCCGCTGTTGTTTCTTTGGTTTCCCGCGCTTGTCAATATCGGGTCAGCAATGAGATCGATAGCTGATAGGGTGATCGATGAGTGTGCGCTGACTGTGTGTGTGTGTGTGTGTCCCGCAGATGAAGAGTGTCTGTCCGACCGCAACGACTCCAAAAGCTCCGCAAACTCCCAGAAGAGGAAGAAGAGGAGACACAGGTCAGGACTTTTATTGTGAAAATCATTTCCGTCCTTTCACCTTTTTAAAAAACGAAACGATAATTTTTTTATTCGATATAAAAACCTAAATAATTATATATTTGTTCTTTTATATAATTAAATTAACTGATATCTTTTATTGTGGCTGAATTCGATTCTTTGTGCTTTTATTTCTTATTTAAAGATAAAAACGTTATTTTAAATATCTTTATCCAGAAGATAAAGAGGGACAAAATAAAGTCAGACTTTGATTATAAATAAAAGATTTAATAAGATATATTTAAACACTGTAAAACCTGATGAGTTAGTTCAACTCCTGTCGCCTTAAACAGTTTAAATTTATTTACTCCAACAATTTCAGCATTTAGCTAATTTATTTATTGTTGAAGTAAATTAAGTTAATTGTACTTAAAACGAGTAAATAAATGACCTTCATCCAGTATTATTATTATTATTATTATTCCAAATGTACTTAAAATGTGTTCACAGAATTTATCTGAATAAAGTCACTTAAATGCTTCTTTATTTAAATGTTTTTTTATTATTTTTACGTCCCCTGTCAGACAGATGATGGACCAGAAAAACTATTTATTAATTATTGATTATCAGAACGGTGGCCAATTACTTTTGGGGTTTACTATTTTAATAAGAAGAAAATGAGTGTGTGGAACAAACTGAAACCTCTGAGTTAGTTTTAATTAAATGTTTCTGGAAGATTAGATTCTGATAACTAACTAAAAAATCTAAATAATTAAACATGTTTGATTTTATATAAATGATTAAATTAATTTCTATCTTTTATTGTGACTGAATTCGATTCTTTGTGTTTTTATTTCTTATCTTTATTTTAAACATCAAAAGTTTTAGTTATTCAATCTATTTTAAATGTATTTAATAAGAAAAATGTAAAATAAATGAAAAGTGAAATAACTTAAGTAACTAACTAAAGTCTGGATTGAAGAATATACGGAAGATAAAGGAGGACAAAATAAACATGTTAAATCTGTGTTTTAAGTCAAACTTTGATTATAAATAAAATAGATAACACACACATTGTTAACCAGTCGACACGTTTCGAACAAATGAAAAATAAAAATGAAACTTGTTTCTACAGGACGGTGTTCACGTCGCACCAGCTGGAGGAGCTGGAGAAAGCGTTCCACGAGGCTCACTACCCCGACGTCTACGCCCGAGAGATGCTTGCCATGAAGACGGAGCTGCCCGAGGACAGAATACAGGTGGGACATCATCAATACCGGCTGCCGATCGATCACCAATAATCAAACACAGTTTTATTTTTATTTTTATTGTTTGTTTATTCTGCTGATCAATAAATCATCAGATTTTTATTGATTTATTTTACAAACACTGAAAATGGAAATAAAGTAGATTTATTTACACTTTCATTATAAATCAGAATCAGGTTTCACATTTTCCCCACGGGATTATTAAAGTATGTCTGATTTAAGGTTCATAATAATAAAGATAATATAATCAAATATTAATAAAGACAATAAACGTGAAACATTCAAACACTGAATTATTATTATTTTAATTATTTTATAGTTTTACTGTTAAAAATCAACAATTCAACAATTTTCATGGCTAAAACGAAACGTATTTTCCAGGTCTGGTTCCAGAACCGACGGGCGAAGTGGCGAAAGCGTGAGAAGTGTTGGGGCCGCAGCAGCGTGATGGCGGAGTACGGGCTGTACGGGGCGATGGTGCGACACTCCATCCCGCTGCCAGAGTCCATCCTCAACTCCGCCAAGAACGGCATGATGGGATCCTGCGCCCCCTGGCTGCTCGGTGAGCCGCATGCACGTCAGTGCCACGCACACGCACCACACCACGCATCAATACATCATCAATACATCAGCAATACATCAGCAATATTATCAATACATCAACAATACATTATCAATACATCATCAATACATCAGCAATACATCAGCAATATTATCAATACATCAGCAATACATTATCAATACATCATCAATACATCATCAATACATCAGCAATACATCATCAATACATCAGCAATATTATCAATACATCAGCAAAACATCATCAATACATTATCAATACATCAGCAATATTATCAATACATCAGAAATACATCAGCAATACATCATCAATACATCAGAAATACATCAGCAATATTATCAATACATCAGCAATACATCATCAATACATCAGAAATACATCAGCAATATTATCAATACATCAGCAATACATCATCAATACATCAGCAATATTATCAATACATCAGAAATACATCAGCAATACATCATCAATACATCAGCAATACATCAGCAATATTATCAATACATCAGCAATACATCATCAATACATCAGCAATACATCAGCAATATTACCAATACATCAGCAATACATTATCAATACATCAGCAATATTATCAATACATCAGAAATACATCAGCAATACATCATCAATACATCAGAAATACATCAGCAATATTATCAATACATCAGCAATACATCATCAATACATCAGCAATACATCAGCAATATTATCAATACATCAGCAATACATCATCAATACATCAGCAATATTATCAATACATCAGAAATACATCAGCAATACATCATCAATACATCAGAAATACATCAGCAATATTATCAATACATCAGCAATACATCATCAATACATCAGCAATACATCAGCAATACATCATCAATACATCAGCAATATTATCAATACATCAGAAATACATCAGCAATACATCATCAATACATCAGCAATACATCAGCAATATTATCAATACATCAGCAATACATCATCAATACATCAGCAATACATCAGCAATATTATCAATACATCAGCAATACATCAGCAATATTATCAATACATCAGCAATATTATCAATACATCATCAATACATCATCGATACAGAATCTGCAGTTATTATTGAGTTCCCTGTTTGTGTTCATTGATCAGTTTATCAGCTTTCATTGATCAATATGAAATATACAGTATTTGGTATTGATTTTCTATAGGTTGGAAGCAGAGCTTTAAACTAATTATTATATATATATATATATATTATATATATATATATATATAATATATAATTTATATATTATATATATATTTATATATAATATATTATATAACAGACAGAAAATGAATTCAAGAGAAAACAAACAAATAATTAAATTAAATGTTAAATAAGTGAATAAACAAACTTTGTAATATTTCTGTAAAGAAGCTTTTTAAAGAGTTTGTTCAGAAGATGTTTGTTAGATTGTAAACTGAATATTAAGATCATATAACAGCCTATAATTCTGCCAATAACTCGATCAATACGATGTTAAAGATGTTTCCTAGCAACAGTATAAGATGTGACTGTGGACCCTGCGGACTGAATCTCTGTCTCCGTCTCCGTCCTCACAGGGATGCACAAGAAGTCCTTAGAAATGTCCAAAAAGTGTCCCAGCCCTCCGGAGTCGGACTCTACGCGCTGCGACTCGTTCTCGGAGGGACGCGGCGGCGAGACTCGGGAGGCGGCGCGTGAGGAGGAAGAGGAGGAGCTGCTGGAGATGGAGGAAGAGGACATGGAGGAGGAGGTGGCCATCGACCTGTCCAGCTCCTCCAAACAACAGCAGGAGGCCGGCGGCTCGATAAGGCCCGCCTCCTCGCCGCGGCGGCAGAGCGAGTCCGACGGACACAGCTGAAGGTCGGGGGAGGAGTCGGCGGCGGCGGCGGCGGCGGCGGCGGGAGCACGGGGAGCGAACAGCCGTTACGTTGATTGTTACTATGCAAATTATCATAAAGCTTTATGGGAAATGCTACGTCTGTTAGCATGCTAACATATTAGCAAAGTTTATGCTAATATAAAATGAAACATTTGCACTATGCTAACAGTGTATGCTAACAGTGTATGCTAACAGTGTATGCTAACAGTGTATGCTAACATGATCACTACATAAAACTCTGATTTAAATGAATTAAATCATTAAAGTATTCTTTAATGATTATTGATCACTGGATCAATAATTAGAATCTTTAATAAATTAATTAATTAACTTAAGTTCTAATATTTGTTGAGCGTGTGATAGCAGCACTTCACAATGTGCTAGCATGTTAAGATATGTCAGTATGCTAACTAGCCTCCATGGTTACAACATTTGATGCTAATGTCTAATATTAGCGTGCTATAATGCTAACATGCTAACAAGAGTTAGCTTTCACTCATCCAGGAATCAACAACAAATCTAAAGATATTTATATTTATTTATTTAAATATGAGCTGAAACGTCTCCGACGCTCCCGACGCGACGCTGCGACACATCGGACTCGCTGAGAGCCGAGGATGTAAATGACGATGTCTCTGTTTGTGTGTTTATTATTATTATTTATCGTACCGAGAAAATCTTTTATATCTTTGTTTATTTGGAAAATAAGAGAATATTTAATGTTTATTTCTGTTGGTTTCTGTGTTTTATAGTTTCTGTCAATGAATGTAATTTAAATGTAATATTTAAAAAGTCTGTTTATTATTATTATTATTATTATTATTATGTACAGCAGCAGGTTGGTGAATAAAAACAAAGTATTTTTGGAATCACTGGAACTTTTGTTTTCCTCCTTTAACATATAAACACTGGAGATATTTTCATTTATTAATATATAATTAATCAGAATGAATTAGCGCTAACAGACTTATTATTGATCCACATACAGATAATCACATAATGCATATGTATAATTATACGTATACAGGAATCATTACTGATTAAATTCAAATCTAATCTTTTGGTATATTAAGTATAACGTTTTAATTTAAAATTTACTCTGATTTGACTCATTTAACCTTTTTATGGTTGTTTTCATGGTGGTAAGATTTAACATTTACGTTTTATCGTAATGTGCACAAAGTAAATTAAATTATTTAATTTCAATTTTGGCAGCCACAGACCTCCATACATTAAAACAATGTAACAGTTATATATAATAAACGTCAGTGTGGTCAGAAGTTATAGTTATTATCTTCAATCTAACATTGAACGATGATTTCTGTAAGTTCTATTTTTGTAATTTTAACAGATTTTAATGACTAATCATTGATAAAACAAACAATATTCAATTCAATTCAATTTTATTTGTATAGCGCCAATTCATAACAGAAGTTATCTCAGGACACTTTTCAAATAGAGCAGGTCTAGACCGAACTCTTTAACATTAATAACAGAGACCCAACAGTACCACCATGAGCAAGACCTTGGAGACAAGGGCAAGGAAAAACTGCCTGTTAAAAGGCAGAAACCTAGGACAGATCCTCCGGCTCTAGGTGGGTGGTCGTCTGTCTTGACCAGTTGGGGTGAGAGAGAGAGAGAGAGAGAGAGAGAGAGAGAGAGACAGACAGACAGACAGACAGACAGACAGACAGACAGGTGCACAGCAACAACAGTATTGGCAATGGCAATCTAGCAGGACCATGGCAGGAGGCTCCACCAGGATCGATAAGAACCTGCGAGACGAGAAAGCACAAGAACTCCGGGGAAGAAGTGAAGTTAGTAACATGCATTAAAGGGACATGAATGAGTGCAGAAAGAGAGAGGAAGAGAGGAGCTCAGTGCATCATGGGAAATCCCCCGATAGTCTAGGCCTATAGCAGCATAACTAAGGGATGGTTCAGGACTCACCTGATCCAGCCCTAACTATAAGCTTTATCAAAGAGGAATGTCTTAAGCCTACTCTTGAATGTGGTGAGGGTGTCTGCCTCCCGAACCACAACTGGAAGCTGGTTCCACAGGAGAGGAGCTTGGTAACTGAAGGCTCTGGCTCCTGTTCTACTTTTAGAGACTATAGGAACCACAAGTAGCCCAGCATTCAGAGAACGTAGTGTTCTAGTGGGGTAATAGGGTACTATGAGCTCTTTAAGATATGAAGGGGCCTGACCATGAAGAGCTTTATAGGTGAGGAGGAGGATTTTAAATTCTATTCTACATTTTACAGGGAGCCAGTGCAAAGAAGCTAGTACAGGAGAGATGTGATCTCTTTTTCTAGTTCCTGTCAGTACTCGTGCTGCAGCGTTCTGAATTAATTGGAGCGTTTTAATGGACTTATTGGGGCAACCTGATAATAAAGAGTTGCAGTAATCCAGCCTTGAAGTAACAAATGCATGGATTAGTTTTTCTGCATCTGTCTGTGATAGTAAGTGTCTAATTTTTGTAATATTACGTAAATGAAAGAAGGCAGTCCTAGAGGTCTGCTTTATGTGGGAGTTAAATGACAAATCCAAAGATAACTCCAAGATTCCTGACAGTGGTGCTAGAGGCCAAGGTAATGCCATCTAGAGTAACTATATCTTTAGACAGTGAGTGTCTAAGGTTTTTGGGGCCAAGAACAAGAATTTCGTTTTTTTCTGAGTTTAACATCAGAAAATTGCAGCTCATCCAGGATTTTATGTCCTTAAGACATGTTTGTAATTTAGATAATTGATTAATTTCATCGGGCTTGATCGATAGATATAACTGCGTATCATCTGCATAACAGTGAAAGTTAATGGAGTGATTCCTAATAATGTTACCTAAAGGGAGCATATATAAAGTAAATAGTATTGGTCCAAGTACAGAACCTTGTGGAACTCCATGACTAACTGTAGTATTTATTGAAGATTCATCGTTAACATGTACAAACTGCGAGCGATCTAATAAATATGACTTAAACCAGCTTAGTGCGGTTCCTTTAATGCCAATTTGATGCTCAAGTCTCTGTAAAAGAATATTATGGTCAATGGTGTCAAATGCAGCACTAAGATCTAATAATACAAGTACAGAGACAAGTCCATTGTCAGAAGCAATCAGAAGGTCATTATTAACTTTAACCAGAGCTGTCTCTGTGCTGTGATGAACTCTAAATCCTGACTGAAAATCCTCAAATAAACTATTGTTATGTAGAAAGTCACACAACTCTTTGGCGACTACTTTCTCCAGAATCTTAGAGAGGAAGGGGAGGTTAGAAATCGGTCTATAGTTGGCTAAAACCCCTGGGTCAAGAGTGGGCTTTTTAAGAAGGGGTTTAATTACAGCTACTTTAAAGGACTGTGGTACATATCCTGATAATAAAGAAAGATTAATCATATCCAGTAAAGAAGTGCCAATTAAGGGAACAACTTCTTTAAGCAGCCTAGTTGGGATCGGGTCTAACAGTTAACTGATGAAGATCAATAGCAGAAAAACAGTCTAAATAAGTTATACAAGTTTACATTAGCAAAAGTCCCTGAACTTGGAGAGCCACTGATAACTGTTGATGGCAGTTGGTAATTAATTTTCTCTCTAATAGTAATAATTTTATTGTGGAAGAAGCTCATAAAGTCGTTGCTACTTAAGTTTATGGGGATATGTGGCTCAATAGAGCTGTGGCTAAATATAAAGCCTGTTTGTTGAAAATTAGTTTTGTTAGATAGTAAATGTGATAATTTTCTATCATCTCTAATTATAAAATTATTATAAAATATTATGAAATATTTCCTCTTCCTGTTAAAAGAAAAGTTTTATCTCAAATAATTTAAATTGTGTCAAAGTTCAAAGTAAAATTCAGCTGTTTCCTGAAAGTTCCTTTAATATATATATCTAATGATATCTAATGATATAAATATATAACAATATATATAGAATATATTTATATTTACATGTTTATTGCTAAAATAAGTAATAATAATAATATCCATTCTGACAACTTGAAAACAGAAGTTGCTTCTGAATTACTAGTTAGTATCAACTTTAGTTAGTATTTACTTTAGTTAGTATCAACTTTAGTTAGTATTAACTTTAGTTAGTATTAACTTTAGATAATATTATCTTTAGTTAGTATCAACTTTAGTTAGTATTAACTTTAGTTAGTATTATCTTTAGATAATATTATCTTTAGTTAGTATCAACTTTAGTTAGTATTAACTTTAGTTAGTATTATCTTTAGATAATATTATCTTTAGTTAGTATTATCTTTAGATAATATTAACTTTAGATAATATTAACTTTAGTTAGTATCAACTTTATATTAGTATTATCTTAAGATAATATTATCTTTAGTTAGTATTAACTGTAGTTAGTATTATCTTTAGATAGTATTAACTTTAGTTAGTATTAACTTTAGTTAGTATTATCTTTAGATAATATTAACTTTAGTTTGTATTAACTTTAGTTAGTATTATCTTTAGATAATATTAACTTTAGTTTGTATTAACTTTAGTTAGTATTAACTTTAGATATTATCTTTAGTTAATATTAACTTTAGTTAGTATTATCTTTAGATAATATTAACTTTAGTTAATATTAACTTTAGTTAGTATTATCTTTAGATAATATTATCTTTAGTTAGTATCAACTTTAGTTAGTATTAACTTTAGATATTATCTTTAGATAATGTTATCTTTAGTTAGTATCAACTTTAGTTAGTATTATCTTTAGATAATATTATCTTTAGTTAATATTAACTTTAGTTAGTATTATCTTTAGATAATATTATCTTTAGTTAATATTAACTTTAGTTAGTATTAGCTGTAGAAGCAGTGGCGGTCCTTCCTACAGGCGACATAGGCGCTTGCCTAGGGCGCCACCTTGTGAGGGGCGCCAAATATGCAGCGAGAAAAAAATTACAATTCAAATTATAATGTCTATTTATTTTGTCAACAGTTTTTGCCATCCCTCTATCTACAACAATACTTTGACATAAAAAATAAATTAATCTTAAGTAAAAGAAATGACAATTCTGATGTGACCTTTAGCTGTTACATGTCACGGTCACAACATGCTAGCGCGCACACTGACGTGCAGTCGGTCGGCTGTGTGTCGACGGGTTACTATGGTTACTATGGTTACTATAGTTACTATAGTTACTATGGTTACTATGGTTACAGCTATAGTCCATGGAAAATGAAACGACAAAAGCCAAGAGGGCTAGGTTTGGTCGTTATTAACACGCAGTCATAATGAGACTGTCATAAGACTGGTTCAGACTGCTGGCCTGGGTTGGCCTGGGTTGGCCTGGGTTGGCCTGGGTTGGCCTTGGTTGGCCTAGCAACAGTATATAGCGTTAGCACTTTGTGTGCTATGAAATTAAAACCGAGTGGATGTGAAGAGTCTATTATTTCTGTCCATACAGCAACATTAGATTAGATTCAGTTTTTAATTAGGTTTAACTTTACTGTGAAGTTCAAGTCCCGTGAAATACAGTTTTACATCCAACCAGAGAGCAGACTAGTGCTGAGTGAGTCAGTGCCTCATGTGCAGATGAGGATATCAACATGTGGACTTTATAGACCGAGGTGATAAAGATGAGCATATACACTGATGAACACAGATAAGTATCTATTATATATTATATAAATGATATATACAGGTAGAGTATGTTTATGCAGAGAGCTGTGCACATAGAGCTGTGAGCATATGGGACTGAGGCTGTGTCCTGTATCACTCACTACTCCCTATATAGTCCACTGTGTGGGACTCCCTATGTAGTGACTAGTAGGGAATGAGTGAGTGATTTCAGACACATCCTAAGTGAATTTATATAAAAAGAATGTCAAAATGAAAATGCTTAGCAACTTAATAATAATATCATTTGAAAAATGGAAATGATTTACTCCATGTTGATAATACAATGTTTGTTATATCATTTTAGATTCATTAATAAAATATTTGGGACCACCTGCAGCTGAATCATCAGACCAGGAACAGCCATGCACCTCAGCTGCTCCGGTTTCCTCAGGTGAGTTTAATGTGTCAGTGAATGTTTGTGAAGATAAAAATGTATTGACTTATGTGAAAATGACAATATGTGGTGCCATGTCTCATCCAGTCAATGTATTTGCTCTTGTGTGTTCTCTCTATGTTTATGGACCTAGAGCCACCAGAAGAGACACAACAACAGCATGCTGCTCTTCCTGCCAACCTCACATCACATTTTACACTATCGAATTTTGCACACAATGTTTTATTGTTAGTTTCATTTTTGGTTTTGATTCTTTAGTGTGCACTTTCTGCTCTCAGATGTTGCACTACTGTTAAAAATATGTTTAAAAGTTTATTTTTGTATATTTATTATTGAACAGGTTTATTCTTTTGCACATATTGTTATATTGTTTGTATTATCATTGTTTAAATAAATGTGCAATTCTTTGGACATGAGTTATTTTCTCGTGGGGATGGGGCGCTATCAGTAAAGCTCGCCTAGGGCCCCAAATGGTCTAGGACCGCCCCTGATCTTTAGTTAGTATTATCTTTAAATAATATTATCTTTAGATAAGATTATCTTTAGATAAGATTAACTTTAGATAATATTATCTTTAGATAATATTAACTTTAGATATATTAGCTTTAGTTTGATTGTCTTTTATTTTGTATTGTTTTTTGTTCTCTGTTTTATGTCTAATTGGTTAATGTTGGAGGTTAAAATCATTATTTTTTATTATTATAAAACCATTATTTTTCAGTGTGTCTGTCCATTTAAATATTTTCAGATTATCTGTACTTTGAAAATTTAATCAATATAAAAACGAAATAAAACTTCCGCAGTGTGGCGGGAACTTTTAGCCGTTGGACGGGACAACTACGTCACTTCCTGTTTCCGCATTGGTCGCTTTTTAGCCGTGTTTTTGCTAAGCTAGCCGATTGTTAAGCGCTCGAATTGTTAAATATGATCGATTTGATCACTTTTAAAAACGACCTGTCGCTCGTGGTCAATAACTTGGCCCGCGCGGTGGTGGCGGAGATATTCACCGCGGCGGAGAAAGTGTCATTAAACACACAAAACCCCCAAACCGAGGTAAGCTATCGCGGCTAGCTGCAGCTAACGGCTAACGTTAACTCTTCCGGTTCCGGAACCTCCTGCCGTCAGCGCTCACACCAAACTCCATTTAAAAATCTACTAATTTAAACCTTTCAGTTAGTGAGATAACTCATTATTCCTCTTTAATATCTAACGACACACTGTTATTACAAACTATTTACATTTTAAAGTTTAACACCTTAAAAACTGTTTTATTAATCAGAACGTGAGAGTAAATCACCTAATAATTAATAATAATAACCCTAACCTGATAAATATGAGATAAAAAGTACAAATGACGGCTAACTGTAGCTAACGGCTAACTGTAGCTAACGGCTAACTGTAACTGACTGCTAACTGTAGCTAACGGCTAACTGTAGCTAACGGCTAACTGTAACTGACTGCTAACTGTAGCTAACGGCTAACTGTAGCTGACGGCTAACTGTAGCTGACGGCTAACTGTAACTGACTGCTAACTGTAGCTAACGGCTAACTGTAGCTGACGGCTAACTGTAGCTAACTGCTAACTGTAGCTAACGGCTAACTGTAACTGACTGCTAACTGTAGCTGACGGCTAACTGTAGCTAAGGGCTAACTGTAGCTGACGGCTAACTGTAACTGACTGCTAACTGTAGCTAACGGCTAACTGTAGCTAACGGCTAACTGTAGCTAAGGGCTAACTGTAGCTGAGGGCTAACTGTAACTGACGGCTAACTGTAGCTAACGGCTAACTGTAGCTGACGGCTAACTGTAACTGACTGCTAACTGTAGCTAACGGCTAACTGTAGCTAACGGCTAACTGTAACTGACTGCTAACTGTAGCTGACGGCTAACTGTAACTGACGGCTAACTGTAGCTGACGGCTAACTGTAGCTAAGGGCTAACTGTAGCTAAGGGCTAACTGTAGCTGACGGCTAACTGTAGCTGACGGCTAACTGTAGCCGACGGCTAACTGTAGCCGACTGCTAACTGTAGCCGACGGCTAACTGTAGCTGACGGCTAACTGTAGCTAAGGGCTAACTGTAACTGACGGCTAACTGTAGCCGACGGCTAACTGTAGCTGACTGCTAACTGTAGCCGACGGCTAACTGTAACTGACGGCTAACTGTAGCCGACGGCTAACTGTAGCTGACTGCTAAATGTAGCCGACGGCTAACTGTAGCCGACTGCTAACTGTATGACTGCTAACTGTAGCTGACTGTTTACTGTAGCTAACTGTGACAGTTATTGATCTGTAGCATTGATCTGTGGTATTGATCTGTGGTATTGATCTGTAGCATTGATCTGTGGTATTGATCTGTGGTATTGATCTGTGGCATTGATCTGTAGCATTGATCTCTGGCATTGATCTGTGGTATTGATCTGTAGCATTGATCTGTAGCATTGATCTGTAGCATTGATCTGTGGCATTGATCTGTGGCATTGATCTGTGGCATTGATCTGTAGCATTGATCTGTGGCATTGATCTGTGGTATTGATCTGTGGCATTGATCTTTAGCATTGATCTGTGGCATTGATCTGTGGCATTGATCTGTGGTATTACATTGATCTGTAGCATTGATCTGTAGCATTGATCTGTGGCATTGATCTGTAGCATTGATCTGTGGCATTAATCTGTAGCATTGATCTGTGGTATTGATCTGTAGCATTGATCTGTAGCATTGATCTGTAGTAGTAATAATAATAATAATACATTCTATTTGTAAAGCACTTTTTATAAAAGAATCTCAAAGTGCTACAGAAACCAAGAAACCAAAAAATAACAAAGAAACAAAACAGTAAGGGCAATAAGACATTAAAATCAGTAATCAATAATAATACAAGTGATCAAATACATTAAGAACAACAGTTAAAAGAGTGAAATTAGAAAAATCTAAGGACAACTGAAGAACGGCTGCCTGAACAAGAGAGTTTGAAGCCCTTTTTTAACAGTGTCCACAGACTGGGGTTTTCACAGATGTTCAGGGAGGGAGTTCCAGATGTGAGGGGCAGCGGAGCAGAAGGTCTCCCATGGTGCAGAGTCTTGAGCGGGGCTGATGGAGGAGGTTTGTGCTTTGGGACCGGAGGTTACGGGTGGATGAGTGAGGGGTAAGGAGGTCTTTGAGGTATTGGGGGCGTGGGTGATGAGGGCGATCTCGTATCGGATCCTAGAGGTTAATGGGAGCCAGTGGAGGTTCTGAAGAATGTGGTCGTATTTGTGGGTTTTCATCAGAGTTCGGGCAGCACAGTTCTGAATGAGTTGAAGGTTCTGAAGGTGTTTATTGGGTATACCGATGAGCAGGCTGTTACAGGAATCAAGCCTGGAGGAGATTAAGGCGTGGACGAGTTGTTCTGCGTCAGAGAAAGTGAGGAAGGGGCGGAGTTTTGAAATGTTGTTGATATGGAAGAAGCAGGTTTTGTACAGATGTTTGATGTGTTTGCAAAGGTCAGTTGTGGGTCCAGCTTCACACCGAGGTTGGTAACTGTGGTTGAGAGGAGGATGTCCTGACCGGAGAAGGAGATGGTGGTTATGGGTGATGACTGGACCTGATGAGGGGGGCCAATTCGTATGGCTTCAGTTTTAGAGCTGTTCAGCTGGAGGAAGTTGTGACTCATCCACGCCCTAATCTCCTCCAGGCAGTCGGAGAGGGCTAGAGATGATGATGAAGAGGGAGCAGCAGATGATGATGAAGGGAGCAGGTGATGATGAAGAGACCGGGGTAGAGGATAGGTTGGGGTTGGTTCGCAGGTATAACTGAGTGTCATCAGCATAACAGTGAATAGAGATGCCATGTCGGCTGATGACACGTCCCAGTGGCAGCATGTATAAGATGAAGAGCAGGGGTCCTAGGATAGATCCTTGGGGGTCACCACAAGTGACGGGGGCTGTTTGGGACCTGGCAGATCCCAGGCTGATGTACTTTGTCCTGTCAGCGAGGTATGAGGTGAACCAGTCCAGTGTGGAGTGACGGAGACCAATGTCGGTGTGGAGGCGGCTTAGGAGGATATGGTGGTCAACAGTTCAAAAGCCGCTGAAAGGTCGAGGAGGATGAGCAGGGAGGGGGATCCAGAATCTGCAGAGATGAAAAGGTCATTGGTTACCCTCAACAGTGCTGTCTCTGTACTATGGGCAGTGCAAAAACCAGATTGGAATATTTCAAACAGTGAATGACGTTGTAGATGTTCCTGTAGCTGTGCAGCAACAGTTTTTTTCAAGCACCTTGGACAGGAATGGAAGATGGCAGATGGGCCGGTAGTTGGAGAGGCATTCTGGGTCGAGGTTGGGTTTCTTCAGGAGAGGTTTGATAACAGCAGTTTTGAGTGTAGGGGTGGGACATGGCCAGAGTTCTAGAGTGGTTTATTATTTGTGTGATGAGAGGGCTTATGGCAGACAGGTTAGATTTGATGAGTGCTGTAGGGAGGGGGTCCAGGGGGGAGGTGGAAGGCTTCATCTCTTTGATGAGACCCTCGACTTCGATCTGTGTGACTGTAGTGCAAGTGCTGAAGAGAGCAGGTTGTGGGCAGGCAGATGGCAGAGATGGAGCTGGGGAGCCAGAGAGCTGAGACCGGATGGAATTGATCTTATCTTTGAAAAATACAAGAAACCTGTTGCAGTGTTCTGCTATGGGTTCTGTATGGGTTTGGTTTTTGGGATTGAGGAGATGGTTTATGGTGGAAAAAAGCTGTTTGGAATTTCCTGGACTGTTATTGATGATGTTGGAGTAATAGATGGACCGGGCTTCTTTAAGGGCTGCCGCGTAGGCCTTCTGGTGATGTTTGTAGGCCAGCTTGTGTACCACCAGGCCAGATGATTTGACACGCCTCTCAATGGCACTACCAGCAGCCTTCATGTTGCGCAGTTCATCCGTGAACCAGGGGGCGGTGCGGGAGAAAGACACAGTTCTTGTTTTGAGGGGGGCATGTGTATCCAGGAGGCAGTGAAGAGAGTAGTTGTAGTGTTCGACCGATTTGTTGACTGATGGATGGTTGACTGAGGCCAGCAGTTGGAGGTCAGAGTACAAGATGGCAGGGTTGATGTTTTTTATATTGCGAAAATGAATATCACATTTAGGCTTGGGGAGGGGGGACGGGCAGGAGACGCTCATGGAGATGATGCTGTGATCAGAAACGCCCAGGTCATATACCAACAGATTTTTAATGGAAGGAGAGTCAGAGATAACCAGGTCTAAAGTGCGCCCCCTGGTGTGAGTAGGTGCATCAACATGCTGTGTGAGGTTGAGACAGTCCAGTACATTAAGGAAATCAGCTGCCAACGGGGAGGAGGGATGATCTGTGGTATTGATCTGTAGTATTGATCTGTGGTATTGATCTGTAGTATTGATCTGTAGTATTGATATAAACGGTCACATGTAAAGAATTAATCAATATGAAAGGATTATTATTCTCACCTGTTGATTAAAAGTCTTAAAGATTTGAACAAACACAAATAGTGCTGAATCAGTTAATCAATAAAAGCACATATACTTTAGTTATTGATTGATCCAATCAGTCTCATATTTAGTTTAGGTGTATCGCAGTGATTTTTTATGTGTTTTCTGGCATTTTATCAAATAATCTTGTAACTGATAATAATAATTAAAGCTGCAAGCAGCGATGGACGGGACCTTGCACTCCACGCAACTCGGGGCGTGCTGCAGCCGCGTCACGTGCTGTCGTAACACGTGCGGACCACGACATGAAAATCTCACGTAAATCAGCTCAAAATCGCCACGCAGCACTTACTTCCTGTTGCCACTAGGTGGCACTATCACTATGCGTTCAGGGCGGGACTCTTATCAGGCATGTGAAGTTTGGAGCCGATTGGACTATGTACACTCAAGTTATAGCAACTTTGTGTGTTCTGGCGGTACATCAAAGTGTGACGCCACGCCACAGACACGCCCTGTAACAAAAACTCACAACAATCAAGAAATATCATAAGAACATGTTTTCCATTTTCTGAATAGATTTCAGCTTGATCTGATCAAGTATAAAAAAATGACATTTCCTTTCACCACTAGGTGGCGCTCTCACTATTACTGAATATTATCACATAGACATGTTCAGGGCGGGACTCTTATTGAACATGTGAAGTTTCGTTGCAGTCGGATCATGTACGCAGAAGTTATGACGAATCCCTCTTTCATGGTGAAAGTTTGAAATTGGATGCCACGGGACGCCACGCCACGGGCACAATGTTGGACGAAACAAACTGACTGCACTGACCAATTTTGAAGTAGATCCAATAGAACCTGTAGGAGGAGTTAGTTAAAATAGAAGCTCTGAAATGCCTAAAAGGACATCACAGTGTGACATTCGTTCAAAATGGCCAACTTTGACGGCACGCCACGGACACGCCCTTCAACGTACAGTGAAAAAATGAACAGCGTTCATTCAGCACCATTTTGTGACTGTACTGACCAATTTTGAAGCAGATCCGATAAATTCCCTAGGAGGAGTTCGTTCAAATACAAGCCCAAAAAGTCAAAATGACCACAAAATGATGAAAATAAAAATTTAAATTGCAGACTTCCTGCAGGTTTTGGGGCATGGGTCCAAGAGGCTTTTCTGCTTCTTTTATCATGATACACATGCGTAGCAATTTTCGTACATGTGGGCCTTACGTGTCTTGGGGGCTGATTCTGGGGGGGCGTGGCTTAGCCGTTTTGCGGCGCCCCTGCACTGGGACAATGTCATATCGGTATTTTAGCTACGTTTGAATTTTGTGCAAATTTTCATGCCATTTTGAGAATGTTGCGGGGGCCAAATATGCGGTGGAAGTCCCAGAGGTATAATAATAATTCCTAGAGGAACAATAGGGTCCTTGCACTTGTTAGTGCTCGGTCCCTAATAAAAGATGATTAATTGCTGATTCCTTCTTCATGTTCATCATCATCAGTCACTACTAGGGATGGGGCTGATCCGATCCAGTATCGGTATCGAGACCGATACCAGCGTAATTCACAGATCTAATTTTCCCGATCCATCCTGCGCAGATATCCGATATCAATGAGCCATGTCTGCGTTAACGTTGTCTGCTGAAATGACTCCACAAGTGATTCCTGCCGGCCAGTCTGCTGGCTGGCTGTGTAGGGGATACACTACTTTTTCATTAGACAGGTAATTAATCACTGGGGATTAATAATACACTCGTAAATGGGGCACCACCTCCGTTGTTTAGCTACTGGAATAATCCGGAGGAAATTATTCCACAGATCTAATCAAATCAATTTCAAATCAATTTATCAAATTTCAAAATCTATATTTAATCTCAATATTTCTGAAGTAGTGATTTCTTTTACACGATTCATCGATTTCCCCGCATCAAATCAAACCTGCACAGACAAGGACATACGGTTATATATATATATAAACAAATATAACAAATATAAACAAAATCAACAAATAACAGAATATGTGGACAGTAAATTAATTATTAATATTGGGCGATTCAGGAGCGATGGTGGATTTTGCGATACGGCAGTAACCTTAGAATATTACGGGAGTAAAATTTAAGACTATGATGCCCTAATCGAAAATTCTTCTAAGCTTAAACTATGGGAATCAAAGCTCACAGACAGACACCAACTCTTGGGAAGTGTGTGGGACCCCGGCAGTGTATGTGGGTTTCAGCCTACTTTGTTGTAGAGATGGGGGGACTTCAGAATCTTTCTCCTCCGGCTGGTACTGCTCGGCTGCTGTTCAGAATCACAGGTCCAAGAACGTGTCGTCACCGATACCAGTGGCAAGCGCTCCAGTCCAAGGCCCAGCGCGGCTTGGCGCTTTGAGTGCGTTGGAGGCAGGTAGTCTGGAGGATAGTGTCTTTTTCCGGCTGAAACGTTTATACGTCTCCTTGAGCGGTCAACCACGGTGATGTCCTTCTGGCTTGTGATCAATGTCTTAAGAAAAGTTCCTCAGAGTGGTTGGTCTTTGGCTTTGATTATGAACTAATCCAACTTCTGGTCTAAAATAACTGTAGGACGAAACGCTGGCCTTGCGAATCCTCTGTAGTCAGTAAGTCCAAGAATTAAACTAAATTCACTTTCTGTGAATCAGGCGACAATACTTGACAAGATATATAAACTAAAACAAACTTATAAAAGAATTAACTTTGTTCGTGTCTTGAGCCTTCAAAATAAAAGTACTAAAAAGTACTTCAGCGCCGCAAATTATTACGTGAAGAAAAATTCAACACGTGTCTCAAACGAAGTAAAATAACGTACGAAATCAAAGTAGAACGAAAGTAAATAACGAATGGATCCAACGTAGATTTGAGAAGAGAGTTTTGGAAGTGTAAAAGTAAGAGAGAAAAAGAAGACCGGGGTCTATATTATATATGTTTTAGTCTGGAGGCGTATCCTGATAGGCTAATCGCGTCACTTCCTTTAGCGATATTTCGATATTCGTAACTTTATTAACTCACTTCTATCGTGTTTTAAAGTTTTCGAAATCCTAATTCACCATCCACAGAACCCACCATGACTTAATACATAGTTTACATGTTTTAACATAACATAACCGAAATTACTTTATGTAAAAATAAAAGCAGACCTAGTTAAAATGTCACAAACATGCATATGAAGCAACACTAATGGATTGTACATATTTCATATAGTGTTATAAGTTATAGCTTAATTCTTGTTATAAAATTGTGTGTCAGGCATTTACCATTTGGAATAATACACAACTATAAAACAAAAACTGTTTTGAAGATACCTTACGCTATACCAGAATCTTACCAAAAGGTGGCACTGTGGCTCCATCAAACATTCAGACATTTTACACATGATTTTGTAACTTAGTCCAATCTGAAGACAGAAACATCAGACAAACATTACATTTGCGATCTTCTCATGCTGGATGGCAATCTGTTAATTTTGAGAAGATGAAATTTTAACATAATACTACAACAGAACTAAATCTATATCCGTGCAACTGTTGTTACTGCTTCCTAGATTGGAATGTCCACTATCAAAAGAAAACATCGTAACAGCGGGTCAATGAGACACAGAGTAATGAGACACGCCCCCGCTCAGGAAATCCATTCAGCAGTTTGCAGCCAGCTAGCAAAGCCGTGATTCAGAGAGGAGGAAGCTCCCTCGCGTCGTACAACACTACGAACACAATCAAACATTTAAAAAAGCACCACACAAAAGAGCACGAGGATTATTGGGTCAAAATGAGAACCACCACTTGATTGTTAAAGTAGTATTACAGTTGTTATACGATACAGGGCTATATATGAACATTTGAAGCAGTAACATTATCCTGTGTTTCTTATATTTCAAATATTTGACATTTTGGGAATTTAATAAATATTGACATGACAATCAGTTTGAAACCCTTACAGTTGTATATTTGTTTTCAGAATGGGATTTTTCCTGTTAATAGGATTTCCTGTTTTTCTGACTTCCTTTTCTGACCTTATACTTACCTCAAGTTTCCTTTTGGGACATACATGCATACATACGTACAGATCATACTGCCTGTTGAGAGGAGTTTATTTCAGCCTCATATAAAGTCAACAATAATGATGAATAATAATATTAAAGCAAACAGAGCTCTGGTATCGGAATAGTATCGGCATCGGCAGATATCCAAATTCAGGTATCGGGATCGGATCGGAAGTGAAAAAATGTGCATCGGTGCATCCCTAGTCACTACTATTAGTGTAGTTGTTGCTACTGTTGTTGCTGTGCACCTGTCTGTCTGTCTGTCTGTCTCTCACTCTCTCTCTGTCTCTCTCTCTTTGTCTCTCTCTCACTCTCTCTGTCACTCTCTCTCTCTCTCTCTCACTCTCTCTCTCTCTCTCTCTCTCTCTCTCTCTCACCCCAACTGGTCGAGACAGACGACCACCCACCTAGAGCCGGAGGATCTGTCCTAGGTTTCTGCCTTTTAACAGGCAGTTTTTCCTTGCCCTTGTCTCCAAGGTCTTGCTCATGGTGGTACTGTTGGGTCTCTGTAATTAATGTTAAAGAGTTCGGTCTAGACCTGCTCTATTTGAAAAGTGTCCTGAGATAACTTCTGTTATGAATTGGCGCTATACAAATAAAATTGAATTGCCAAGAGTCTCATTAGCTGCTCATTAATGATCCTGATGTTATATATTACAGACTGTGACTGTGTAAAGGTTTGAAGGTTTGATCCTCAGGTTCCTGCTCGTTGTGTTTGTGCTTCTTCCAGGAGATCCTCAGCTCTCTGGTGGACAGTCTGTGTGCTGAAGCCGTTGATAAAATCCTGAAGATCGTTGAGTTGGCTGCTGTGAAAGAGGAGACCACAGGAGACCTGAAGGATCCGGATCCACCAGAGTCTGCAGAGAGCAGCCAGTGTGTCAGGAAGTCCACAGGAAGTGAGCTGGAAGGTGAGTGTCCCCGTCTGTGCGTCAGCAAGGTGGTTGAACGATGAACACGAGTCCAGCAGGTGATCAGACATGTTTCCTGTGTTTCAGGTGCAGATGGAGGCGAGCGCCCCCCCTTAGAACAGACCTACATCGTGGTCTACGGGGTCAGTGACTGAATCCACCTGGACCGCAGGAAAAAGATCCTCAGAGCCGCCTGAACTCTGACCCACTGTTTCCTGTTTTACAGAGCGCTGCTGTTGACTCCAAGTGCCTGCTGCTGTCACTGCAGACCGCTGGTAATGCTAATGGTGAGTTAGCCAGTGAATCAGTAATCACTGATCAATACTCGCTGTAATCAGTTCATTCTCTTTGTTCTCTTTTTTTAAAGTTATTTTTTTTGGGCTTTTATTGCCTTTATGATAGATAAAAGGCTGCAGACAGACAGGAAGGATGGGGGCAGAGAGAGAGAGGATGACACACAGCAAAGGGCCGCAGGTTGGATTCGAACCCGGGCCGCTGCAGCAAGGACTCGGTACATGGGTCGCCAGCTCTACACACTGAGCTAACCAGGCACCCCCTCTTTGTTCTCTTGTTGCAGGTGAAGCCGAGACTCCACCCAGCGAGCACTGCCCCTCCCCCCCGACCCTGCAGGCTGATCTCCCCGACCACGAGTACGCCCGGCCACCCTCGCCGCCGCTCGTCCTCTCCCCGCCAGCGGAGGGCGGAGTCAGTGTACCGCGCAGCAGGAAGCAGCACCACAGCCGGCGGAAGAAAGGCTCCAACCGGTGTGAACCTGCGACCCACCGGCAGTGTCCGCAGTGCGAGATGCTGTTTCCAAACGCAGAGCGGCTCACCGACCACGAGAGGAAGTCCCACCCGCTGTGCTCAGTGTGCGGGGCGGCGTTCACCGGCGTCCTGAGGCTCCGCGAGCACGAGATCAAAGAGCACGGGCTGCTGCCGTACGCCTGCGACTACTGCCCCAAGAGGTTCAACCACAAAGCGCACCGCGACCTGCACGTGAAGGCGAGGCACACCGGCGAGAAGACCTGTCACTGCGACATCTGCGGGAAGGGCTACTCCTGCGTCAGCGTGCTGAAGACGCACCGCATGACGCACTTCGACAAGACCTTCATCTGCGACGTCTGCGGGAAGAGCTTCTACCACGCCTGTCACCTGACGCGCCACAAGCTGGTGCACCAGGAAGTCCGGCCGTACCGCTGCTCCACCTGCGGGAAGGGCTTCACGCAGGCCGCCAACCTGCGCAGCCACCAGGCCGTCCACACCGGAGAGCGGCAACTGTGCTCCGTCTGCGGCAAGAGCTACCGCTGCCTGAAGAACCACGTCATCAGCAAGCACTCGCACGAGCTCCCCGCCGACCAGCTGCCCGCCAGAGATGCCATCGTCGCCTGCGAGGCGTGCGGCAAGAAGTTTCCCAACCCGTCGCAGCTCCGAGTCCACCAGAGGAGCCACACGGGGGAGAAACCGTTCCACTGCGACGTCTGCGGGAAGAGCTACCGGCTGAAGGAGCTGCTGAGGGACCACCGGTACACGCACACCGGGGAGAAACCGTACCGCTGCTCGCTCTGCTCCAAGACCTTCAACCTGGCCGCCAGCTTCATGAGGCACCGCAGCATCCACAGCGGGGAGACGCCGCACAGCTGCCTCGCCTGCGGGAAACACTTCCGCCTGCTCACCTTCCTCAAGGCTCACTTGCAGACCAAAGCTCACCTGAGGCAGACGCAGCAGAGGTAGAGCGCCGCCTCCGACCTCTGACCTTCCTTCACACTATACAGCCAAAAGTGTGTGGACAGCCTTGTGTGGATCTTTATCCGACTGAAGTTCTGTGGAGCACTGACACTCTTCCAGTCACTGAAACACCTGAATTAGATTAAAATGAGTAAATATCCTGGAAACCTGGGGGGGGGGGAGTGAACAGTGTCAGTAACAAACTACTGAATGATTGATTACAATATTGATTGAAATATTACTGATGATGGTTTCTATGAGTCAGAGCTCTTATAATGACAACAACAATAAACAGGAACAAAGAAAACCGACACGTGGTTCATTTATGAAAAACACACAAATAATAAGGATAATATTTTTATATAATAATAATAATAATAATAATAATGATAATAATCTTCTTCCATTCAAAAGTCACTATTTAAAGAACTTCACAAGTTCAACTTCATAATTAGCTTTAAACTCTAATATATTTATGATTTATATATAATAACAATTATTATTATTATTTATTATCAGTAATAACATAAGTAATCATGAAACAGACAGTTTATATTATTAATAATAATAATAAGGTCTCTGCAGATGTTTCTATATGTTTTATATCTACGGAGGAATTTAAGGTCATAAACAGCAGCTGATGTTTTCTTTAATCTGATGAGTTAATTTAATTTAAACTGTTTATTCAAACACACTGAAAAATATTTGATTTAAGTAACTCAAGTTTTTATTGTTAATTCATTAAAGTTTGACTCATGCAGCTTTTCTCCAAACTTATTTAAAATGTGTTCACAGAATTTATCTGAATAAAATAACTTTTTTATTCCAATGTTACCAAGTTACCAAAAAAAACAACCTGTTGATGTTGTTGATGTTGTTGATGTTGTTGATGTTGTTGTTGTTGCAGGAAGGACACACTGATGGTCTCGGTTTGATATTTCTCTATCAGTAGATTAACGGAGGATCAATAATCATCATAAATGAGTTGTGTGGGATTAACGGTTGTTTACATCCTTTAATCTGACCTCCGCACACACAAACACTGAGCTTAAAGCTTCTGCTGCAGGAAAACAGCAGCAGGGGTCAGAGGTCACTGAACAACTGACTGCTGGAACCACGGTTCAGAAATACTGCACAGTAACTTTATTAAGAGTAAGAGTACTTCATTAAGAGTAAGAGTAGTTTATTAAGAGTAAGAGTACTTCATTAAGAGTAAGAGTACTTCATTAAGAGTAAGAGTACTTCATTAAGAGTAAGAGTACTTCAGTATTTGTAGTATAACGAACCTGTTTCTATCAACAACAAACTAATCTGATTCCAGTGAATTAATCTGCTTAAAGGCTTTAAATCTGTTTGTTTTTACATTATTATTGATCACATTGTATGTTTATGGATGATTATTATTATTATTATTATTATTATTTGAGTTCTCAGCCTCAGAAACAGTCAGTCAGTAAGGGGGCACGGAGTGCAGAACTGATCCAACCTACAGGGGGCAGCCATGTTTGTGTGATATGATGAAGATTTGAACAGTGTGCAGTTTCTGCCACTAGGGCTTCTCTCACATCCAAACAGCAAGTGTGATGAGGTGTTGCAGCAGCGTGCGTTACACCAGTAATACGAGGCGGATATTGTCCCTTTAACCTGTCTCACTGCTGCAGTTTGAGCCTAAAATAATCCGATATTTCTGTGATCTAATGTCAACAAACGGATCAATATGATGCTGAAATAACCACATCATGACACATCACACAGCGTCCTGGTGTCTGCTGTCCCAGGAGTCCTTGCTGCAGCGGTTGTCAGTTGATTAAAGGCAAAAACAACAAGAAGTCACTATTTGGAGAAGATTTTGGCATTAAAGTTCCTCCATAAAGTCCGAATCCTGACTTTAAACTAAAAACTCAAATAATGTTTCTACAATATTGGCCCTAAATCTCTTCCATACAGGGAATAATTAAAACATCATGTAACTTTTTAAGAACTGGTTTTGGCACTAACGGTCTTCCATACCTCCAAACACCTGAACACACCTGACAGAGAGAGAGAGAGAGAGAGAGAGAGAGGTTGAGGTGTCTCAGTCTTAGTTCTGGATCCAGAGGATCAACATGGCTCCTGGCAGCAGGGGGACCGGACTCTTCAGGACCCTCCTGATCCGCTGCAGGACCCCGGGACCGGGTCAGACCAGGACCGGACTACACAGATGTCTGTCGTCCCTGCCGCCACCTGGGACCTGGACCTCCGAGCTGTCCCGGCTGTCCCACCGGGATCTGCACCGGCTCTCGGTCACGGATCCGGATCTGTTCTGGGGGTCCGCCGCCGCTGACAGACTCCGCTGGATGAAACCGTTCCACCGGGTCCGGGACTGCGAGCTCAGCAGCGGGAAGATCAGCTGGTTCCTGGGAGGGAAGCTCAACGTGTCCGGTAATCAATCACCTGTCCGATAATCAATCAACTGTCCGCTGATCTATAATCAATCAATATGTTCCCTGTTGCATAGGAAAGTCCGTTTGAGTTTATTGATCTGAACTGCGCTTCATGACGTCAGTGATCGATGATATCGATCGTATTCTTCCAATAATCAGTTCATACAGTGTTTATGTAATCGATTCATTAGTTCACTTCATTTGTGTTGGCGGGAAAAACGTTCAACAGTAAAAGTAATCCAAGTAAAGTAAAGTAGCTGTAAGTTGTACCAGACTTTAAAAAGAAAAAGTATCATAAAGCAGAATGTGAGTTTATTATTATTATATGATTATTTATATTTATATTATTATTGTTATTATTATTGTTGTTGGTATTATTGATGCATTGAGCAGCACTTTAATGTTGTACTAATAATCTGTATTATATTTTATAAACTGATCTGAAAAGTAACTGTAACTGTTATTTATATATATATATTATTATCTCTGTACTGGAGATAAATACAGTTATAACATTCTATATATGATGAACAGCTGCTTTACCATTGTATGTAAGTAATATAACAATAACAATAAAAATAATACAGGAACAGCCCATTCATTAAAAGTCAAACATCCTAATTAATGAGCGGTGAAATAATCTTACTGAACTGATAAAAGACTTAAAAAACCCTCCAAATTAAAGGTGTCCATTCCAGGCATTTCCAGGTGGTTTCCAGGTTGTTTGCAGGTGTTTCCAGGTGGTTTCCAGGTTGTCTCCAGGTGTTTCCAGGTGGTTTCCAGGTGTTTCCAGGTTGTTTCCGGGGGGGGGTGTCAGTGTGCCCATTCAGAAGACTGATATGAACGTATGACACTGCTGCTGAATTTCAGGAGTCATTAATTTCTATTATTAATCATAATAAAAATGATAATAATAATTATATTGAGTTAGAATCAATGTAATAAATATTGTTTCTCAATAATCTGAGTGATAAATATATACAATCAATAAATATATAGATTGGACACAAACAGTCTGAGCAGGAGGAGCCGAGCACTCAGCGTCCTCACAGTTTGTCTCTTTATCCTCTGTTGTTTGTCTGATAATAATACCAATAGTAATCCAATAATAATCCAATAATATTCCAATAATATTCCAATAATAATCCAATAATAATCCAATAAGGACAGCTGGATGATCTGTGCTGTATCAGATCTCATGCAGGATGATTCTGATTCTCTCATTACATAAATTATTTTGAAAATCTCCAGTTTCAACCTTCACTGAGGTTTTCACACTTTTAAAGTGAAACAATCCTCATCGTTCACATATTTAACAATCAATGCCAAAAAATATCATAAATTACTTTCTTTGTTTTTTTTATATCAAGAATTTTATCTTCCTGTAAATGCGAATAAATAAATAAAATAAAGAACATTTCCATCCTCATACACTGAACCATCGTACGCAGTTGCAGTGAGGACAGGAGCACGCTTATTTTCTTACTGGCTGGACGGTGGCAATTTAAGATTATCTTGAATTCATCTGACAGTTGCTTTCTTGATCAGTCCATTAACTGCTCAATCAGTCAATAAAAGGTCAGGAAACCATGATACATTTCTTTCTGAACAGTTCAGAACCCCAAAATGTTCAGTTCACTATGATAGAAAACAGAAAGTCTTTCAGAGAACTTCAATGATTAATAGGTTATAAAGAAATTTGCAGATTATTTGTTTTTGATTGATTATTGGCTAATCATTAGCTCTACACTGCAGGTGTGTGTTGAACCTGATGGATATAATAATATAAAGTAGAATCAGTGTTATTGGATGAATGTTAGAAGTTTCTAAAGACAGTTTGGACTCATCTGTGAAAGTATCTCGATATCAGTAAACAACACAGACACCAAACACTTTTCACTCTCTGCTGTTTCTGTCTGTCAGAAAACTGTCTGGACGTTAATGTTGAGAAACATCCGGACCGAGTGGCTCTGATCTGGGAGCGAGATGAACCTGGCACTGAGGTCAAGATTACCTACAGGTATGAACATCTGAAAACATCCAATCTGCAGCAAGTTCCTCTTATCCTCCCTATATGCAGATGATACTGCTCTCTATCTTATCAACCTTTGCTGTCCTATAGTTACGTGTATCCTCCCTCTATGCAGATGATGTTTATCTTATCATCATAGTGTTTTATGTTGATGTTATCTCTGTCATTACAGCACCATAAATGTAAAGGAAAGCCTTGAAGTCTGTGCTAAAGACATACATTCAGCTGGTAAAGTTAAACAGTCACTTATTGGGAAATGACTACAGACTGTAGCTGGCATCAAGACAACCAGAACATCATCATGGTCTTGGCATAAAGACTAAAGTATACTTGCATACAAGTGACGTACAGACGTTTGTGAAGAAGATTCTGAAGTATTTAATATTTCTATAATAATCTGTGTGTGTGAGTCAGTGTGTGTGAGCAGAGAGTGAACAGGTTGTAGTGTAGCTTTGTTCCTCTGCTGCCTGTGGACTGATTTCTATGTGTCTCATTGTAGGATGAGGGTCAAAGGTTGTGACCTTTATGCTCCTGAGTGCCAACAGTGGGCAACACTAGCTAACGTTAGCTTATAAATGGAGTCTGCTAACGACTACAAACGACCAACACCCACCACAACACAGAGTCCAACACAGAGTCCAACACAGAGTCCAACACAGAGTCCACAACACAGAGTCCACAACACAGAGTCCAACACAGAGTCCACAACACAGAGTCCACAACACAGAGTCCAACACAGAGTCCAACACAGAGTCCAACACAGAGTCCAACACAGAGTCCAACACAGAGTCCACAACACAGAGTCCAACACAGAGTCCACAACACAGAGTCCAACACAGAGTCCACAACACAGAGTCCACAACACAGAGTCCAACACAGAGTCCACAACACAGAGTCCAACACAGAGTCCAACACAGAGTCCACAACACAGAGTCCAACACAGAGTCCAACAACACAGAGTCCACAACACAGAGTCCAACACAGAGTCCAACACAGAGTCCACAACACAGAGTCCAACACAGAGTCCACAACACAGAGTCCACAACACAGAGTCCACAACACAGAGTCCAACACAGAGTCCAACAACACAGAGTCCACAACACAGAGTCCAACACAGAGTCCAACACAGAGTCCAACACAGAGTCCACAACACAGAGTCCAACAACACAGAGTCCACAACACAGAGTCCAACACAGAGTCCAACACAGAGTCCACAACACAGAGTCCAACACAGAGTCCAACACAGAGTCCACAACACAGAGTCCAACACAGAGTCCAACACAGAGTCCACAACACAGAGTCCAACACAGAGTCCACAACACAGAGTCCACAACACAGAGTCCAACACAGAGTCCACAACACAGAGTCCACAACACAGAGTCCAACACAGAGTCCAACACAGAGTCCACAACACAGAGTCCAACACAGAGTCCAAAACACAGAGTCCAACACAGAGTCCACAACACAGAGTCCAACACAGAGTCCAACACAGAGTCCACAACACAGAGTCCAACACAGAGTCCACAACACAGAGTCCACAACACAGAGTCCAACACAGAGTCCACAACAGAGTCCAACAGAGAGTCCAATACAGAGTCCACAACACAGAGTCCAACACAGAGTCCACAACACAGAGTCCAACACAGAGTCCACAACACAGAGTCCAACACAGAGTCCAACACAGAGTCCAAAGTCAAAGCTAACATTAATGCTAAGCTTGTGGGACATATTGTCTGATTGTGCTGTTAGCTGGACAGTGTTGGATTGCTAGCTAGCTTCAATCCAGAATCTCTGGGTTGTCCGGCCGGCTGTGTCTTGGCTGCACGGTGTGGGTCTGGCGTTGGTTGCTTCGTGGTGTTGGCTGATGGGTGATTTGTAAACGGTGAGCTAGTTATTAGCATGGAGCTAACGGTCCAAATAAAATATAGGAACATTGCAGATAGTAACGTTATTCTAAATATGATTGTCAGTTATTTTACAGCGTTTCTTGTTTTAATATCTTCATCAGCACCATCACACTCAGTGTCCTGATGTCTGTCCAACAGAGAGCTGCTGGAGACCACATGCCGCCTCGCCAACACCCTCAAGAGCCATGGGATCCAAAAGGGGGACAGGGTGGCCATTTACATGCCGGTGTCGCCGCTGGCGGTGGCGGCCATGTTGGCGTGCGCCCGTATCGGTGCGGTGCACACTGTTGTGTTTGCTGGCTTCAGCTCCGAGGCTCTGGCAGGGAGGATTCAGGATGGTGAGTCTTCCTCCACTGTGGTCCAACCTGAGTCACAATGTGGGGTTTTACTGGGGGCAGCACCTAGTGGACATTGAAGGAACTGCAGCTCCTCAGAGCTGTTAGCTTGTTCAGGTAGTTTTTACAGTCAAAGTTCTTAACTTTTAGAGCAAAAACGTAAATTATAATAAGAAGACATTTTCAAAATACAAAATGGACGTTTAAACAGGAAGTGGAAATATTTCAGCTGCTAGTGGCTGATTGCGATTCATTGTGAAGTTATTGATATACATTGGACCTGCATTTTAGAAAGTTCAATGTCTTTGGTTTCTTACAATCGACTCAAAATGAATCACAATCAGCCCACTGGGAGCTGAAATATGGACACTTCTGGTTTGAAAGTCCATTTTGTAAGTTTGTAAATGCTGAGAACCTATACTGTACAAGTGGGTGAATATTAAATAAAGTTTATTGTTATTATTGAAATTAACATAACCTTATTGGTTGTAGTGGAACCTTTGTGAGGGTTGGTCAGTGGGTGACTCTTCTATCTTAGCTGTTTGATTAAAGGTCATTTTCCAGTCGAAGCAGAAAAAGGTCTGTGAACGCATACAGAATCACACTGAGGCCTGATGGGAACTGACTCAGAACGAATGCCTCGCTCTACCCGTCAGCTCAGATATAATGAGGCGGATCTGAGGAGGTCAGACACAAGGACTTCTGTGTTTTGGAAACAGTGAAACCCAAACACGGTGAAGCAGAGCGTGATGGGACGGTCAACTGTGAGACTGTGTGAGGTGTTATAGAGGCTGTGGCAATAAACCACTGGCAGTATTTACCTTTTATGTGTTTGTACAGTGATGATGTATTTGGTGGGTGGAGCCTAAGACAGTTGTGCAGTGGCTAGCACTGTTAAGCTAACTGCAGCACTCACACAATCACAGTAAGATAATCTACACAAGACTGAACGCTGTAAATTAAATGACTCATATTCACTGTCTCACTGTATCTGTAATGTTCCTACGCCACCAAGGATGCCGCTGCCTCACAGCGCTCTCAGCTAGTAGAAAACAAAAGACGTAAAAACACCTGAAAAAACAGAAAACATTAAAAAACAAAAGCTCGCTAACATTATTGTTAGCAAAGTCTGAGTGGTTAGCTGGCTAATCCAACCGATCTGTGATGCTAATTTACGACCCTCATCCCTGCAGTTAGTATCATGGATAACATTAGCTGGAAATTTAACGTTAGGTAACTAACATATCCACTAAGATAGTATTTTGCTGGTGATAACGTTAATGTGCAGGCAAGCTAAGGTTAGCAAGCATTAGCATGATGCTAAGATAGCACAAAGCCATTTAGGCATCTTATGACATGCTGGATGAACCTTGTGAGGAATCTGTTGAGATGTGTTCTTCAGCATGGAGACGTTCATACAGCATCAGTCTGTGAACAGGATACAGCATTTTATCATTTTATTTAAAGGTTTAAAGAGTTCAAAGGTTTGTTCAGCACCTTTAAAGAGACGAGACAATAAAACTGCAGGTTTAGTGTTTATGTGACAGAGAGAGGACAGAAACACAGTCCACTCCTGTTCGTTTGATGGTGAATAAACGAGACAGCTTTTATTTAGATTGAGAGAAACTAAAACTAAACAATAAAGTGCATATTAACAAGCTAACACATGCTAACACCTACGGTCAGTGTTTCGTTCCTAACTTTAAGGTTACCTTCTACGTTCGTAATGTTGATGTGAGAAATTACAAACTATTCTTGTTTGGGTAAAGTTAGCTGACTAACAGCTAGCTAGCTAACATGTGTTGTGTTCACAGCGCAGTGTAAAGCCGTGCTCACCTGTAATGAAGGTGTGAGGGGCGGCCGACTCGTCAAACTGAAGTCGACGGTGGACGCGGCGGTGAAGAGCTGCCCGACTGTCCAACACGTGTTTGTTTCTCAGAGGACGGAGACGCCAACTGTGATGGGAGAGCTGGACGTCCCCCTGGAGGAGGTGAGACACTGTAACAGTATCAGTACTAACTGATCAGTATCAATAGTATCAATATCAGAACTAACAGTATCAGTACTACCAGTACCACTATCAGTATCAGTATCAGTACCAGTATCAGTACTACCAGTACCAGTACCAGTACCAGTATCAGTACTATCAGCATCAGTATCAGTATCAGTACCAGTACCAGTACCAGTATCAGTACTACCAGTATCAGTATCAGTATCTGTATCAGTACCAGTGTTAGTACCAGTATCAGTATCAGTATCAGTACCAGTATCAGTACTACCAGTATCAGTATCAGTATCAGTACTACCAGTATCAGTATCAGTATCAGTACCAGTACTAGTATCAGTATCAGTACCAGTACCAGTACCAGTATCAGTACTACCAGTATCAGTATCAGTACCAGTATCAGTACCAGTACCAGTACCAGTACCAGTACCAGTATCAGTACTACCAGTACCAGTGTCAGTATCAGTACTAGTATCAGTATCAGTACCAGTACCAGTATCAGTACTACCAGTACTAGTATCAGTATCAGTACCAGTACCAGTACCAGTACCAGTATCAGTACTACCAGTATCAGTATCAGTATCAGTACCAGTATCAGTACCAGTACCAGTACCAGTATCAGTACTACCAGTATCAGTATCAGTATCTGTATCAGTACCAGTGTTAGTACCAGTATCAGTACTACCGGTATCAGTACCAGTATCAGTACTACCAGTACCAGTACCAGTATCAGTACCAGTACCAGTACCAGTATCAGTACTACCAGTACCCGTATCAGTATCAGTACCAGTATCAGTACCAGTACCAGTATCAGTACTACCAGTACCAGTATCAGTATCAGTACCAGTACCAGTACCAGTATCAGTATCTGTATCAGTACCAGTGTTAGTACCAGTATCAGTACCAGTACCAGTACCAGTATCAGTACTACCAGTATCAGTACTACCAGTATCAGTATCTGTATCAGTACCAGTATCAGTACTACCAGTACCAGTATCTGTACCAGTACCAGTATCTGTACCAGTACCAGTATCAGTACCAGTATCAGTATCAGTATCAGTATCTGTATCTGTATCTGTATCTGTACCAGTATCAGTACCAGTATCAGTACTACCAGTATCAGTACCAGTACCAGTATCATTATCAGTACCAGTATCAGTACTAACAGTACTAGTACCAGTATCAGTACCAGTACCAGTACCAGTACCAGTATCTGTATCTTTATCTGTATCTGTACCAGTACCAGTACCAGTATCAGTACTACCAGTACTAGTACCAGTATCAGTAACAGTACCGGTACCAGTGTCAGTACCAGTATCAGTATCAGTATCAGTACCAGTATCTGTGTTGCAGGTGATGTCCTCTCAGTCTGCTGTCTGTCCTGCGGAGCCTTTGGACAGTGAAGATCTTCTGTTTCTGCTGTACACATCAGGAAGTACGGGAAAACCTAAAGGCATCGTCCACACACAGGCTGGATACCTGCTGTACACCTCACTGACACACCAGGTATACACACACACACACATCACTGACACACCAGGTACACACACACACACACACCTCACTGACACACCAGGTACACACCAGGTACAAACACACACACACACCTCACTGACACACCAGGTACACACACACACACACCTCACTGACACACCAGGTACACACACACACATCACTGACACACCAGGTACACACACACACACACCTCACTGACACACCAGGTACACACACACACACACACACACCTCACTGACACACCAGGTACACACCAGGCACACACACACACACACACCTCACTGACACACCAGGTACACACACACACACACCTCACTGACACACCAGGTACACACACACACATCACTGACACACCAGGTACACACACACACACACACCTCACTGACACACCAGGTACACACCAGGTACAAACACACACACACACAACCTCACTGACACACCAGGTACACACACACACACACCTCACTGACACACCAGGTACACACCAGGTACACACACACACACACACCCTCACTGACACACCAGGTACACACCAGGTACAAACACACACACACACACACACCTCACTGACACACCAGGTACACACACACACACATCACTGACACACCAGGTACACACCAGGTACACACACACACATATCACTGACACACCAGGTACACACCAGGTACACACACACACACATCACTTACACACCAGGTACGCACAAAGGGGCGTGTGGAGAGCTTTTATTTTGAAAACCTGGCTGTAAGCTGTGAGTTGGAAGGAGCTTGGTTCTTTAGCGGTTGTAATTCGGGTCGTGTTTGAGCGAGGAAGTAAAGACAAAGGAGAGCAGTTACACAACAGGCCGAACAAAAGCGCTGCTGTTTGTCCGCACAGGGAGGACGAGGAGGAAGAGGAGGAGGAGGAGCCGCCCTGAGGCCAAATCTGCCCTGAAAGCTTTAAATTAGCTTTTATTCTGACAGACAAGCAGAAACATCTGTTTTCTCTATGTGTGTGTGTGTGTGTGTGTGTGTGTGTGTGTGATGTTTATGATGATAATTGAATAAAAACATAAACCATAACAACCCCCCCCCCCCCCACCCCCCACCCCCCCACCCCACCAGCCATCACTGCCAAATATTTATCAGTGCTAATTTCTAAAGCAGCTTAGCATTCAGTGGGGGGGGGGTGTTTGGATGAAACTGAACAAAAGCTGCTTTATCTGAAAAAGACAAGCACTGCTGGGTCCACGCCAGGACCACAGACACTGAGAGACCGCCGTTGCTAAGCGCCTCTCATTGGCTCTTCGGCCATTTTGTTTCTGATCAAAACAACTTCAGATTCTTAAACAGTGACATCATCCAGTGACCTCTTGAGACGGAACCAGGGTGACCTTTAACCTCTTCCTCGGGTCATTAATTAAAGCTCCAGTGTGCAACATTATATTACATATAACGACACAAAGTTATAATATCACAATACAAAGTTATAATATAAAAACAACACAAAGTTATAATATTACAACAACACAAAGTTATAATATTACAACAGAAAGTTATAATATTACAACAACACAAAGTTATAATATTACAACAGAAAGTTATAATATAAAAACAACACAAAGTTATAATATAAAAACAACACAAAGTTATAATATAACAACACAAAGTTATAATATAACAACAACACAAAGTTATAATATAACAACACAAAGTTATAATATCACAACACAAAGTTATAATATAACAACAACACAAAGTTATAATATAACAACAACACAAAGTTATAATATAAAAACAACACAAAGTTATAATATAACAACAACACAAAGTTATAATATAAAAACAACACAAAGTTATAATATAACAACACAAAGTTATAATATAACAACACAAAGTTATAATATCACAACAACACAAAGTTATAATATCATAACAACACAAAGTTATAATATTACAACACAAAGTTATAATATAACAACAGAAAGTTATAATATAACAACAGAAAGTTATAATATCACAACACAAAGTTATAATATCACAACACAAAGTTATAATATAACAACACAAAGTTATAATATCACAACACAAAGTTATAATATAACAACACAAAGTTATAATATCACAACACAAAGTTATAATATAACAACAACACAAAGTTATAATATAACAACACAAAGTTATAATATAACAACACAAAGTTATAATATAAAAACAACACAAAGTTATAATATAAAAACAACACAAAGTTATAATATCACAACAACACAAAGTTATAATATAAAAACACAAAGTTATGATATAAAAACACAAAGTTATGATATCACAAAATAAAGTTATAATATATTTAGCTAACATTAGCTAGCAGATGTAGCTAGCTAGCTGACCGCCATGTTGAACAGCTCGTTAATGTTTACTGCCCTCTGGTGGTCGGGAGGATTAATAGATAATTAATCTGACAGGTTACTTTAAGTAACTAATTACTTTTATTTGCAGTAATTCTCCAGATACCTTTGAGAGAAATAACTATTTCCAGCAACTTGCCCTACAGGGCTCAGTGCTGTACTCAAGTTCTGTACTGGAGTAAATGTACTTAGTTACTCTCCACTGCTGTAGTGGTTGGGTTTTGGGGTCATGTGAGTGGACAGCAGTTTTCCCGCCACAGCGTTGACCTCGTGTTGTTGTGTCTTCAGTACGTGTTCGACTACCGGGACGGCGACGTGTTCGGCTGCGTGGCAGACGTCGGCTGGATAACGGGACACAGCTACGTGGTGTACGGCCCGCTGTGCAACGGCGCCACCACCATCCTGTTTGAGAGCACACCTGTTTACCCAAACCCAGGTGAGACCAACTGATGACCCCTCATGACTTATTACACGACATATATCCTGTGAATGTTGATCAGAGATGAGCTTTCCAAGTTTTAGGAACTTTTTGTACAATTCTGTCTCTATGATGTGTTTATAAATAATAATATACTTATAATATAATAAACTTATAATAATATATTTATAATATACTTATAATAATATACTTATAATATAGTTATAATAATATATTTATAATATAATATACTTATAATAATATAGTTATAATATAATATACTTATAATATAATATACTTATAATAGTATATTTATAATATAATATACTTATAATAATATATTTATAATATACTTATAATAATATAGTTATAATATAGTTATAATAATATATTTATAATATAATATACTTATAATAATATATTTATAATATAATATACTTATAATAATATATTTATAATATACTTATAATAATATAGTTATAATATAGTTATAATAATATATTTATAATATAATATACTTATAATAATATACTTATAATATAATATACTTATAATAATATACTTATAATATACTTATAATAATATACTTATAATATAATATACTTATAATAATATGCTTATAATATAATATACTTATAATAATATACTTATAATATAATATACTTATAATAATATACTTATAATATAATATGCTTATAATAATATACTTATAATAATATACTTTACAGTGTTTCAGTGTTTTCTGCTTTCTGTCCTGGAGATAAATTCCTCCTGTAGATTATTATATGATTAATTATTAATTATAAAATAATATTTTAATATGTTGAATATTTATATATATAATAATATATATTAATTAATAAATATATTATATTTGCAATAATAACATGAGCCAAGTAATGTTTGTTAGCCCACAAGCTAACATTATAGCTCCATTGTTGCTAATGGTTGAGCCTGCTGTCGTTATGAAGCTCAGTCTCCTCTCAGGTGGATCCAGGTGTGCAGTCAGTCCAGGTAAAGTAATGGATGAACAGAAGGAATGTGGAGTTTCATTGGCCTCCGTCCAGCATTGAGTTACTCATTAATGTCGTTAATGTTGGTTTATTACCTTCAGTTGTAGAGCGCAGCCACTTTATCTCACCTGACCTCACAGGAAGTCTCCACAAGGTGCTGTGACCTTCTGTCACTCTGACGTGGCCTTGACCTTTGACCTGGTTGTTATCATGTGTTCATACAGTGTGTGTTCCTACAGTGTGTGTTCATGTGTTCATACAGTGTGTGTTCCTACAGTGTGTGTTCATGTGTTCATACAGTGTGTTCATGTGTTCATACAGTGTGTGTTCATACAGTGTGTGTTCATGTGTTCATACAGTATGTGTTCATGTGTTCATACAATGTGTGTTCATGTGTTCATACAGTGTGTTCATGTGTTCATACAGTGTGTGTTCATACAGTGTGTGTTCATGTGTTCATACAGTGTGTGTTCATACAGTATGTGTTCATGTGTTCATACAGTGTGTGTTCATACAGTATGTGTTCATGTGTTCATACAGTGTGTTCATGTGTTCATACAGTGTGTGTTCATACAGTGTGTGTTCATGTGTTCATACAGTGTGTGTTCATGTGTTCATACAGTGTGTGTTCATACAGTATGTGTTCATGTGTTCATACAGTGTGTTCATGTGTTCATACAGTGTGTGTTCATACAGTGTGTGTTCATGTGTTCATACAGTGTGTGTTCATACAGTATGTGTTCATGTGTTCATACAGTGTGTTCATGTGTTCATACAGTGTGTTCATGTGTTCATACAGTGTGTGTTCATACAGTATGTGTTCATGGGTTCATACAGTGTGTGTTCATACAGTATGTGTTCATGTGTTCATACAGTGTGTTCATGTGTTCATACAGTGGGTGTTCATGTGTTCATACAGTGTGTTCATGTGTTCATACAGTGTGTGTTCATGTGTTCATACAGTGTGTGTTCATACAGAGTGTGTTCATGTGTTCATACAGAGTGTGTTCATGTGTTCATCCGGTGTACAGGCAGGTACTGGGAGACCGTGCAGCGTCTGGGGATCAGTCAGTTCTATGGGGCTCCGACGGCTCTGCGTCTGCTGCTGAAGTACGATGACAGTTGGGTGAAGAAGTACGAGCGCTCGTCTCTGAGGACGCTGGGATCAGGTCACATGTTGTTCTAATCGTCCTAATGACAGTCCTCAGGTTGGACTGAGACAAGATTTATTGATTTCATTATTAGCCTTTATTCTTATGTCACACACAAACTGGTCTAATATTAAACTGAAGATCAATAATCAGCCTATTGATGACCCACATTAGAAAGACATTAAGTGACTGTAGCAGAATGAAGGTGGAGGAAGTAATAATACTGCTGCAGCAGTGTTACACTAGCTAGCCAGCTAACTACTCAGCTAATGCTTGATGTAGATTAGCTAGTTAGTAGCTAGATGCCAGTAAACCCTTCACACTGTTTGAAACAATGCATTGATCGTATTTTATAAACCAATATGTTATAAACATATTATTAATAATTATAAACTAATACTGTCAGATAAATGTAGTGGAGGAGCTCTCTCACTATTTTTAAGTGAAATTAAAGACCTATGGCTTTAACGTTTTAATTTGGAGTAATGTTATATTCTTAGTTTCTGGGTTTTATTCATTGTTTCCTTTGTATATTGTATTTATTGTTTATTGTTGTTTATGTGTTTGTGTTTGGGCTGCGTGTTTGTATGAAAGCAGTGGAAGTGAACAGTACATTGACTTATAGACTGATTCTGATGATGTGTGTGCAGTGGGAGAGCCCATTAACCACGAGGCCTGGCACTGGTTCCACAGTGTGGTTGGAGACGGACGCTGTCCTTTAGTGGACACCTGGTGGCAGACAGGTGAGACACACACACACACACACACACACACACACACACACACACAGGTGCCATGGTAACCTGCAGGTTGATTTACACACATACAAAAGACCAATTAAAGTTTCCTCATTAATAAAGTAAAATATAAACATTGTTCAGTGATTGGTCGATACAGAAAAAACCGTATCACACCAAACTCCATGGAAAAAAGGGGTGATTTAAAGCGTGTGGCGAGACAGGAGGACAAACTGCACCAGATAGATCAAATTGGTTTAAAAATTATAATCAGGACAAAACTGGGAGATTCTGTTGCCACGGGAACAAGAGTTAAAGTAAAGTATAAATAAAGTGTCCTCTGGGGTTCATTTCTTTAAAGGCAAATGTTTAATAATATAATGTCAGATTTCTCTGAACATTGTTAGAAACATTTCCTCATCCGTCTGTCCGTGTGTTTGTGCGACTGTAAGTCCGTCTGATTCTCTCTTTACTGGAGCTTTAACCCTAATTTGAACGATTAGCAGCAGAACATCTGCAGCTCTGTAGAAAATGAATTAAGATCAAATCCTCAACACACTTATCTACACCCCAACCCGCCCACAACCCCCCAGGACAAGACAGTGGAGGATCACTGACGGCAGTGTGAGAGTGTGTGTGACCTAATTCCTCCACGTTGTTTTTAAATCAGACTTTAAACTCTCTGCCAGCTGCTTCTTTCTCTTAAAAGGAGAAAAATCCCCAATAAATTAAGAAATTAAAGGAAATTAAAGCTGCAGAGAGAAGCAACATCTGAGGCCCTCTAGTGGCAGCCGGGAGTAACTGTTACTGCCCCCCCCCCAGAGAGGACAAACTGCACATATATTCATGTTTCTTTAATTATTCAAGTGTCTTCATCATTAAAACAATCACGTTTTCATAGAATAACCTCCCAAAGACAACTAAAGAGCCCCCGACTGATGCCCCTGTGGCAGCTGAAGCTCCTGTAAGTGTCCTCTGGGGGGGGCAATACTAACCCAGCCTGTAGGGAGCAGTCTGTAGGGGGCAGTCTGTAGAAGGCAGTCTGTAGGGGGAGCAGTGGACGTCAGCTGTGTTCCTGCCTGGTTCAATATTTACTGACTCACTTTCTTTCTTCCTCCTCTCTCATATGAAGTAATGAATGTTGTCCTCCCTCGTCTCCCCGTAGAGACCGGTGGTGTCTGCATCGCCCCTCGCCCTGCAGAGGATGGAGCTCCCATCATCCCAGCGATGGCGATGAGGCCGTTCTTTGGCATCCAGCCGGTTCTCATGGGAGAGAAGGTGACCTGAAAACAATTCAATTTTCAATTCAATTCAATTCAATTGAATCAAATTTTATTTGTATAGCGCCAATTCATAACAGAAGTTATCTCAGGACACTTTTCAAATAGAGCAGGTCTAGACCGAACTCTTTAACATTAATTACAGAGACCCAACAGTACCACCATGAGCAAGACCTTGGAGACAAGGGCAAGGAAAAACTGCCTGTTAAAAGGCAGAAACCTAGGACAGATCCTCCGGCTCTAGGTGGGTGGGAGAGAGAGAGACAAAGAGAGAGACAGACAGACAGACAGACAGACAGACAGACAGACAGGTGCACAGCAACAACTACACTAATAGTAGTGACCGATGATGAACATGAACATGAAAACAGCAACGATTGGGGACAACGAGCAGTGACAACAGAAACCGTAGCCCAGCATTCAGAGAACGTAGTGTTCTAGTGGGGTAATAGGGTACTATGAGCTCTTTAAGATATGAAGGGGCCTGACCATGAAGAGCTTTATAGGTGAGGAGGAGGATTTTAAATTCTATTCTACATTTTACAGGGAGCCAATGCAGAGAAGCTAGTACAGGAGAGATGTGATCTCTTTTTCTAGTTCCTGTCAGTACTCGTGCTGCAGCGTTCTGAATTAATTGGAGCGTTTTAATGGACTTATTGGGGCAACCTGATAATAAAGAGTTGCAGTAATCCAGCCTTGAAGTAACAAATGCATGGATTAGTTTTTCTGCATCTGTCTGTGATAGTATGTGTCTAATTTTTTCTAATATTACGTAAATGAAAGAAGGCAGTCCTAGAGGTCTGCTTTATGTGGGAGTTAAATGACAAATCCTGATCAAAGATAACTCCAAGATTCCTGACAGTGGTGCTAGAGGCCAAGTTAATGCCATCTAGAGTAACTAGTAACAGAGCTGAAGTTAGCTCCTATCCGCTTTCCATACGCTAACCAACCTAACCAAGCAGACCACAGCATAGAAGATGGCTGAAGCAACCACAGTCATATATTGTTACCACGGTTATGTTAGCTGTCTAGCTAGCTGTTGGCATAGCTACTAATTCCAATTAATGTAACATTACAGCTAGCTATAGCCAGCTAGCCCAGTGCTACGTTCGTCTATGTGCTAACTTACTAAAAAGGGAACTCTTCAACCATTTGGACCAATCGAGTTCTTGATCAGCTTCAGATCAGATCATCGGTCTCTGCGTCTCATTGACCCCACTTGACCTTTCGATGTGAGAGGTCAGACGAGCCCTCGAGTGATGCCCCCCCCTTTAATCTTTCCATTAAAACGAAACCAGCAGCATCTGTTTGCTTTGATTAACAGACTTTCAGGCTCTGTTGGGAAGATCGCTGCTGCCCCAAATTAATTATCCGCTAGTTTCCCTCCTCTGTTGAAGAACCGTAATCTGCAGCGGTCGAGGGTTTTAGATTAGATTAGATTAGATTAGGTCTCCTTCGGTTTCACATTTCATCCTCAGAGGAGGTCGAGGTCACTTTCACTGCAATCCTCTGAGAGTGAACTGCAGCCGCTGATCAACTGTTTCATTTGTTCCCTTTAACACCGAACTCCACGAATCCACTCAATGACAGCGGTTGTTCCCCAGGAGACGCTACAATGTTCTCGTGTCCCGAAGTTTATAAACCAATGAGAGTGTTTGGTGCAGCGGTGGAAGTAATAAAAGTATCAGTAGCTTTAGCCTCAGTCTGTTAGCACGATAGCATGACCATGCACCTGTTAGCTTTAGTCTGTTATATTATATATATATATATATATATTATATATATATATATATATATATATATATAATATATATATATAATATATATATATATATATATATAATATATATATATATATATATGAGTCTTTCCACTGTCTGTTTATTATCAGGGGGAGCTTCTGTCCGGTAACTGTGTCAGTGGCGCTCTGTGTATCAGCCAGCCGTGGCCCGGGATGGCTCGCAGTATCTACGGGGACCACCAGAGATTCATCGAGGCGTATTTCAAACCGTATCCTGGTCAGTGAAAGTGAAGCAGTGCAGGTCTTCAGTCAGTGGTTGCAGTCTGTGAGACCTGTCTCTGTCTGTAGGTTGTTATTTCACTGGGGACGGCGCGTACCGCTCAGAGGACGGCTACTACCAGATAACCGGCCGCATGGACGATGTCATCAACGTCAGCGGCCATCGTCTCGGCACGGCGGAGATCGAGGACGCTCTGGTGAGACGCCACAAACAGCGAGAACCAACCAATGACATCACGACATCCACCCATCAATCAATCTGCTACTGTTAGCCAAACTAGCTAGCTAGCAACAGTACAAACACAACTTTATTAACACTGTACAAACACACAACTTTATTAACACTGTACAAACACAACTTTATTAACACTGTACAAACACACAACTTTATTAACACTGTACAGACACACAACTTTATTATCACTGTACAAACACACAACTTTATTATCACTGTACAGACACACAACTTTATTAACACTGTACAAACACACAACTTTATTATCACTGTACAAACACACAACTTTATTATCACTGTACAGACACAACTTTATTAACACTGTACAAACACACAACTTTATTAACACTGTACAATTCAATTCAATTCAATTCAATTTTATTTGTATAGCGCCAATTCATAACAGAAGTTATCTCAGGACACTTTTCAAATAGAGCAGGTCTAGACCGAACTCTTTATAACATTATTTACAGAGACCCAACAGTACCACCATGAGCAAGACCTTGGAGACAAGGGCAAGGAAAAACTGCCTGTTAAAAGGCAGAAACCTAGGACAGATCCTCCGGCTCTAGGTGGGTGGTCGTCTGTCTCGACCAGTTGGGGTGAGAGAGAGAGAGAGAGAGAGAGAGAGAGAGAGAGAGAGCGACAGACAGACAGACAGAGACAGAGAGAGAGACAGGTGCACAGCAACAACAGTATTGGCAATGGCAGTCAAGCAGGACCATGGCAGGAGGCTCCACCAGGATCCATGAGAACCTGCAAGACGAGAAAGCACAAGAACTCCGGGGAAGAAGTGGAGTTAGTAACATGCATTAAAGGAACATGAATGAGTGCAGAAAGAGAGAGGAAGAGAGGAGCTCAGTGCACCATGGGAAATCCCCCGATAGTCTAGGCCTATAGCAGCATAACTAAGGGATGGTTCAGGACTCACCTGATCCAGCCCTAACTATAAGCTTTATCAAAGCTTATAGTACAGACACACAACTTTATTAACACTGTACAAACACACAACTTTATTAACACTGTACAAACACACAACTTTATTAACACTGTACAAACACAACTTTATTATCACTGTACAAACACACAGAATTTATAACTTCAGTGATTACAGTGAAACTGGATCATGTTTTCTGTCTCTTCCTCTTCGTTAGGGCTCAGCTGTTCCTGTGAATAATAACTACTAACTAATATTGATTACTTTGATTGATTTGTGTTTCAGGATGAACATCCAGCTGTTCCAGAAACAGCTGTGATCGGAATCCCACATGACATCAAAGGAGAAGGTGAGAGCTAAAACTTCCCATGATGCTCTGCTGCTGCCTTCCTCTGTGTTGTTTATATGGAAACATGTTCTTCCTGTCTGTGAGTCAGGAGGCACTTTCAAAATAAAGGTACAGAGGTGACTGAACGAGTTCAATATTGAAAACAACCAAAAACAATTCATATAGAAAACTGATCAAAACAATCAACAATTTATTTCTTTATTATTCTTATATTTATTTATTCACTGTCTGCAGTACCACAGTGAGCTTAAACTATATTTACTATTCTTTATTTAATCTGACAACACAATGATAAACTGATGAATACCAATTTGATACAAAAAGTCACATAAGTAAACATACAAACAAGTAAATAAAGGATATATAGATACATACATATATAAAAACAAACAAAACATAAATAAATGGAAAGTGACTGAAGTGAAACACATAGTGACTCACTGTGTGAACATATACTGAGCTTTACTATAATCAGTGTATGTTTATGGATGTAAAGTTCAAATGAAGCAGCTGGACACGAAAAGGGTTGATATCTGACCCTCTGCTGCCCCCTGCTTCCCTCTGCTGCCCCCTGCTGCCCCCTGCTGCCCCCTGCTTCCCTCTGCTGCCCCCTGCTTCCCTCTGCTGCCCCCTGCTGCCCCCTGCTGCCCCCTGCTGCCCCCTCTGCTGCCCCCCTGCTTTCCTCTGCTGCCCCCTGCTGCCCCCCTGCTGCCCCCCTGCTTCCCTCTGCTGCCCCCCTGCTTCCCTCTGCAGCCCCCTGCTGCCCTCTGCTGCCCTCTGCTGCCCCCCTGCTGCCCCCCTGCTTCCCTCTGCAGCCCCCTGCTTCCCTCTGCTGCCCTCTGCTGCCCCCTGCTGCCCCCTGCTGCCCCCTGCTGCCCTCTGCTGCCCTCTGCTGCCCCCTGCTGCCCCCTGCTTCCCCTCTGCAGCCCCCTGCTGCCCCCTGCTGCCCTCTGCTGCCCCCTGCTGCCCCCCTGCTTCCCTCTGCAGCCCCCTGCTTCCCTCTGCTGCCCTCTGCTGCCCCCTGCTGCCCCCTGCTGCCCCCTGCTGCCCTCTGCTGCCCTCTGCTGCCCCCTGCTGCCCCCTGCTTCCCTCTGCAGCCCCCTGCTGCCCCCTGCTGCCCTCTGCTGCCCTCTGCTGCCCCCTGCTTCCCTCTGCTGCCCCCTGCTTCCCTCTGCTGCCCCCCTGCTTCCCTCTGCTGCCCTCTGCTGCCCTCTGCTGCCCCCTGCCCCTGCTACCCTCTGCTGCCCCCTGCTGCCCCCTGCTTCCCTCTGCTGCCCCCTGCTTCCCTTTTGCTGCCCCCTGCTTCCCTTTTGCTGCCCCCTGCTGCCCTCTGCTGCCCCCTGCTACCCTCTGCTGCCCCCTGCTTCCCTTTTGCTGCCCCCTGCTTCCCTCTGCTTCCCTCTGCTGCCCCCTGCTTCCCTCTGCTGCCCCCTGCTTCCCCCTGCTTCCCTTTTGCTGCCCCCTGCTTCCCTCTGCTGCCCCCTGCTTCCCCCTGCTTCCCTCTGCTTCCCTCTGCTGCCCCCTGCTGCCCTCTGCAGCGTGGGAGAAGCAGTGATGATCAGCGCCAAGGAGACCATTACCTTCTAATAAAATGTCTTTTGGAGGATTCATGAGGAAGCCATTTTCACACACACACACCTGAAGTGTGTTTAAAGTGTGTGTGTGTGTGTGTGTGTGTGTGTGTGTGTGTGTGTGTCCCAGTGCCATTTGCCTTCGTCGTCCTGAAGGAGGAGTTCGGTGACGACCCCGCCGCCATCCTTCAGCAGCTCCGGGAACTCGTTACCACAAAGATCGCCAAATACGCCGTCCCGGAGCACTTCCTGGTGAGACCCCGCCCTTTAACTTGTGTTTCCACGGCAACAGAATCTCTCTCTTTGTCCTGAGAACATTTTCATCGGTTTGAGCAGTTCCTGTCTGTGTGTCTGCTGTGAGACAGTTATGTGTCTCACCCGTCAGCCAATCAGGAATCAGTGTTTCCTGTCGTTTGTCTCTCAGGTGGTGAAGCGGCTGCCAAAGACTCGCTCCGGGAAGATCATGAGGCGGATCCTCAGGAAGGTCGCCGTGGAGACGAGCGGCGACCTCGGTGACGTGTCGACTCTGGACGACCCGTCTGTGGTCGGCGAGATCGTGGACGCCCACGAGCGCTACAGGAAGCGGAGAGCAGAGGAGGAGAAGAAGAAGAAGTAAGAGGGAGGAGCAACTTCATGTCCTTCAAAGCCGCCAAGCAGGTCCTCCTCAGGTACAGATGACATCATCATCCTCATCCTCAGAGACGATGCTCTTACCCACAATCCCCTGCTCCTGTGTGAACTGCGGGTCATTATTCAATCTGAATGAATATTATATAGTAAAGTGATTTTATCCGTTTACTCAATAAAATCACATTTCTGACGTTTTGATTATAAAACAAATATTTCATCATTTTAAACTTGATTTTCATTTTCAAAATATCAGAATCAAGTTTGAATTCTGACTTTATTCACTAATCTTTCAGTTTTAACAGATGAATATTTTGTGAACAGATTTTATGATTTATAGTTTTGCTGAAATCGTTTATTGACAGTTAATTAAGAAATAAACAAATAAACAAATCGTCGGCTGTGTGTCTGACTTCTTTCAGATCAAAAATCATTCATATTAATTATTATTATTATTATTATTATTACTATTATTACTATTACTATTATTATTATCTATGGAATTCAGAAGAAAATAAACTTTGATTTCATGAACTGAAATCAGTTTGAATATAATTTAATTAAATGAAAATGAAACTAAAATAGAATTTTATTATTAAACTTGAAGATATATCTGTGTTTTTGTTATTAAATATTATATGTGGATTATTGTGGCCCCTGGGGTCCACAGACTGCTGGCTGACGTCCATTCATGGATCCACTTGCTGTGGTCAGGTGACTGCGTTGGTCCTCGTACAGGGTTTCTGTAACGCAGGTATGAACACCTGTCCGGCGACTCGTCTGTGTTTTCTGTTTCATTGTCTGCAGTGAGATGAAGACATTGTGTCTCTGCAGCTGTTTGTCCTCTCATTGCTTCTTCAGCTCGCTGTGTGAACGTCTGAGAACTCTCAGTCCTCACAGGAAAAACATTAAATTAGCAAAATAAAACAACAAAAATCTGCCAAAATATTACAACCGATATGTTCGCCTAAAAATCCAACTTACAGCGAATGAAATGCAGTTGAGTTTGTTAAAAGCAAAGCAATGACGTAAACGTAAACATAAAAGCAAGTTGATTTCACAGAAGAGAGACAATCCTTCAGCTTACTAGTGATTAATAGTTGTTGAAGATATTCATTAAACTATGAATCAGAATTTCCAACAGTTTAGTTTATTTTATGAGACTGAATCAATGAATTATTACGTGTTTATTTTTAAATGGTTTTAATGTTGTTGTTTTTTTATTCCTGTCATCTTTTGCTGTGATGTCATTGGAATGCCATGATGTCATCCAAAGATCAAAGCCAATAGAATGTACTTTTGATACAAAGACAATGTTCTTTCTCAGAATCTAGATAAAGGATCCAGATCCAACCTGGTTCACTTCAGATTCTACAGGACACTTTCACTACAAGACCAAAGAGACAAACAGCAAGTTCAGATTCTACAGGACACTTTCACTACAAGACCAAAGAGACAAACAGCAAGTTCAGATTCTACAGGACACTTTCACTACAAGACCAAAGAGACAAACAGCAAGTTCAGATTCTACAGGACACTTTCACTACAAGACCAAAGAGACAAACAGCAAGTTCAGATTCTACAGGACACTTTCACTACAAGACCAAAGAGACAAACAGCAAGTTCAGATTCTACAGGACACTTTCACTACAAGACCAAAGAGACAAACAGCAAGTTCAGATTCTACAGGACTTCAGAGCCATGGATACAAACAGAGACGAGATGGATGAAGACACAATGGAGAGTCTTCCCGGACTCATCCGTTGGGGCCTGGAGCAGCTGACTCCCATACAGTGGTCGATGCTGGAGTCCGGGTCTCTAGACAAAAAGGCTGAGTATGTAATTACTAATATGTGTGTGGATATAATTAATACTACATTCGTATATATTTACGGGTTTTACAAACAGAGCCTGTCGAAGAGGAGAGACCCTCCCAAATCCTCCAAAGGCTCTTCTGGATCTGCCAGATCACAGAAGAGCAACATCTCTGAAGACGATGTCCGCGGGTGTCTGGGTGACACTATCTCCTGTGCCTTTTCGGAGGCAACCGGGGTCACCGACATCAGTGGCAGAAGCATGGAGAAGGTAACAGACACTGTGGTTACAGAGGTCACAGGGAGAGTGATTGAGCTCTCCAAAAGTTCTGAAAGAGGTGGAGGCAGCGAGGGGGGCATCAAACCTCTCATCTCAAGTGCATTCACCCACAGACTGAAGACGATGGTCCGACATGTGGCTAGAATTCTTAAAAAGTGCACAGGTAAGTACAGCACACTGATTGGAACCAGGGAGTTGTTGCGGACCCCTGTACTTAATTTCATGGAAGAGACAGAAACTGACAAGTCTCAGACAAGCCTCGCTTTGGTGATTGGTGACACCTTGGTGGTAAGAGCAAAACCACCTTCCGCCACCGTTCAGTCCATGTACCCACCGATCAGCGATACGATTGGTGACACCTTGGGGGTTAGAGCAAAACCACCTTCCGCCACCGTTCAGTCCATGTACCCTCCGATCAGCGATACGGTTGGTGACACCTTGGGGGTAAGAGCAAAACCACCTTCCGCCACCGTTCAGTCCATGTACCCACCGATCAGCGATACTGTTGGTGACACCTTGGGGGTTAGAGCAAAACCACCTTCCGCCACCGTTCAGTCCATGTACCCACCGATCAGCGATACGGTTGGTGACACCTTGGGGGTTAGAGCAAAACCACCTTCCGCCACCGTTCAGTCCATGTACCCTCCGATCAGCGATACGGTTGGTGACACCTTGGGGGTAAGAGCAAAACCACCTTCCGCCACCGTTCAGTCCATGTACCCACCGATCAGCGATACTGTTGGTGACACCTTGGGGGTAAGAGCAAAACCACCTTCCGCCACCGTTCAGTCCATGTACCCACCGATCAGCGATACTGTTGGTGACACCTTGGGGGTTAGAGCAAAACCACCTTCCGCCACCGTTCAGTCCATGTACCCACTGATCAGCGATACGGTTGGTGACACCTTGGGGGTAAGAGCAAAACCACCTTCCGCCACCGTTCAGTCCATGTACCCACCGATCAGCGATACTGTTGGTGACACCTTGGGGGTTAGAGCAAAACCACCTTCCGCCACCGTTCAGTCCATGTACCCACCGATCAGCGATACGGTTGGTGACACCTTGGGGGTAAGAGCAAAACCACCTTCCGCCACCGTTCAGTCCATGTACCCACCAATCAGCGATACTGTTGGTGACACCTTGGGGGTAAGAGCAAAACCACCTTCCGCCACCGTTCAGTCCATGTACCCACCGATCAGCGATACTGTTGGTGACACCTTGGGGGTTAGAGCAAAACCACCTTCCGCCACCGTTCAGTCCATGTACCCACCGATCAGCGATACGGTTGGTGACACCTTGGGGGTAAGAGCAAAACCACCTTCCGCCACCGTTCAGTCCATGTACCCACCGATCAGCGATACTGTTGGTGACACCTTGGGGGTAAGAGCAAAACCACCTTCCGCCACCGTTCAGTCCATGTACCCACCGATCAGCGATACTGTTGGTGACACCTTGGGGGTTAGAGCAAAACCACCTTCCGCCACCGTTCAGTCCATGTACCCACCGATCAGCGATACTGTTGGTGACACCTTGGGGGTAAGAGCAAAACCACCTTCCGCCACCGTTCAGTCCATGTACCCACCGATCAGCGATACTGTTGGTGACACCTTGGGGGTTAGAGCAAAACCACCTTCCGCCACCGTTCAGTCCATGTACCCACCGATCAGCGATACGGTTGGTGACACCTTGGGGGTTAGAGCAAAACCACCTTCCGCCACCGTTCAGTCCATGTACCCACCGATCAGCGATACGGTTGGTGACACCTTGGGGGTTGGAGCAGAACCACCTTCCGCCACCGTTCAGTCCATGTACCCACCGATCAGCGATACGGTTGGTGACACCTTGGTGGTAGGAGCAAAACCACCTTCCTCCACCGTTCAGTCCATGTACCCACCGATCAGCGATACGATTGGTGACACCTTGGTGGTTGGAGCAGAACCACCTTCCGCCACCGTTCAGTCCATGTACCCACCGATCAGCGATACGATTGGTGACACCTTGGTGGTTGGAGCAGAACCACCTTCCGCCACCGTTCAGTCCATGTACCCACCGATCAGCGATACGATTGGTGACACCTTGGTGGTTGGAGCAGAACCACCTTCCGCCACCGTTCAGTCCATGTACCCAACGATCAGCGATACGATTGTTGACATCTTGGTGGTTGGAGCAGAACCACCTTCTGCCCCCGTTCAGTCCGTCAAGTCACCAATCATTGGTGAGGCTGTGGTTTGCACCACGGCACAACCAGCACATCGGTGGAACAAAACCAGCTGCAGGTTTATGGTCATTGCACTGGTTAACAAAATTATGAAAAGTCAGAAAACTCCGGAAATCCTTCTGACTTTTGACGACATTGGAACCATCAGCAGGTCTCTGGAGGAGCTGCTCTGGGAACAGATCGCAGGCTCCAATGTTTCTGCAAAGCCAAGCGGCCGTCACTTCAGAATGGTCGCCAAGGCGGTGCACAAAGACTTGTGCAAGAAGACAGGTGACGCAGAGATCCTTCAGATGTGCCTGCTGTCCCGGGATTCATCTATTTACAGAAACATAACCGAGACACTGACACAGCATCTGGTGACACCACAGAAGAAGACCAGCGTGAACAGATTCTTCTCACGTCTCTTCAACACCGTGGCCAAGCCGTTCACTGCCTGCTTCGGACGCAAAGAGTAATCTTTGGTGTTCGAGGCAGGTGGATAGAACAAACACAGACGCATACTACCTGGGATGACAACGGGTTTACTCCGAGAGGCTTCGGTTTCCCCACATTTTAAACCAAAATTTAAAAAAAAAAGTTTGTCTGGTGGATCGCTGATGGATGTGAGACAGGTTGTCAGGTTTCGTAAGGCCACACAGGTGCCTCGGTGTGTAACACTGTGGCCTTGCAGCTGTAAGGTGAAGGTTCAGTTACAGCCTTTGACCCCCTTTGCTGTGAGGAGCGCTCACTGTGTTGCCGTGGGTTTTCTCCGAGAAGCTTCGGTTTCCTCCCACATTAAAAAAAACAACAACAACAATTAGGGCGTCCTGATCGCTCACCTGGTGGATCTGGCGCCCCCTTGTCCCGGGGCTGAGTCCCTGCTGCAGCGGCCCGGGTTCAACTCCAACCTCTGACCCTTTGCTGCATGTCATCCTCTCTCTCTCTCTTTCCTCTCTTTCTTGTCACTCTACAGCAATATCCATTAAAGGCTATAAAAAAATCAAATCAAATCAAAATAAACAATCGAAGATATAAAACATGTGACTCCCTGTTTCCAGTGGGGGGCGCTATGACTGTGACTTAATTAGGGCTCTTAGATGCGTTCGGGGCGGGACTCTTAACAGACGTGTGAAGTTTGGTGCAGATGGGAAACAGAACACTGAAGTTATGACAACTTCCTGTTTCCTGTTTATCTGGAAAACAAACTGCATCAGTTGCTCATTAAATTCGAAATGGTTAGAAGACTGCCATACATTCTTAAAGGATATAGAAAAATATATTCCCAAAGTTGAAGATAACTTTAAACAAACGTGATAGTCAAATAACAATTACTGAAATGGACAGAGTAATTGGCCGCCTATCTCTGAACAAGGCACCGGGCACGGACGGACTCACAGGAGACTTTTGTCGACATTTCTGGGAAGATATTAAAAAACTGCTACATCCAGTATTCCTGGAAATATTTGAACTTGTATACTTCCACCCACAATGAGACATGGGCTCATCATCTCAATTCCTAAGCCCGGCAAAGACCCCAGATTCATAGAAAACAGAAGGCCTATTACTCTTAGAAACTCTGATTATAAATTACTCACCTACATTTTCACCACTCGTCTTCAGACAGGAATTTCAAATCTTATTGCAGAAACACAGTCTGGTTTCTTAAAGGGAAGATCAATCCACAACAATATAAGGCTGGTAATGGACATTATTGAATATAGAAATCAAATTGAACATGATGGTTTTCTTTTCTTTTTAGATTTCTATAAAGCGTTCGATTCCGTAGAGCGCCCATTTATCTTCCAAGTTCTTGAACATTTAGGTTTTGGATTCAAATTTAGGAATTTAGTTGGTGGATTATATCAGAATATCAACAGCTGTGTCATGCTACCTTGTGGCACCACCCCCAGTTTTAATGTTAATGTGGGAATTCCACAAGGTTGTCCCATCTCACCATATTTATTCATATTAGTCACAGAAATGTTAGCAATTTACATTAAACATTTTAATGAAATAGAAAATGTAAATGTCTTAGGTACCGATATTGTCATCAGCCAACTTGCGGATGACACAACACTTTTTGTACAAGACAGACACCAAATTCCAATAACAATCGAAAAAGTAAAAGAATTCTCCACAGCTTCAGGGTTAACTCTGAACTTAAACAAATGTGAACTATTTACAATTCATGATACAACTCTAAAAGACATCTGTAACATCCCTATCAAGTCGGAATTTAAATACCTTGGAGTACACTTTACAAAAGACCAAAAACAAAGTCAATACTTGAATGTAGAAAAAAAAAATAAAAGAGAGTAAAGCCAAATTAAATTTATGGCTCCAAAGAGAGCTCTCAATACTCGGCTGAATTTACCTAACCAAGATGGAATGTTTATCAAGGTGCATTTACCCAGCCTGCTCTAATGCCATTTCAAATAAACTAATCAAATCTATTAACCAAATTAATCTGAATTTTATTTGGAGAAACAAGCCACACTATATGAAAAAAAGCAATATGGTTAAAGAAATTAAAGATGGTGGTTTAAAAGTTATTGATTTTGATTGCCTCAATGGAACCTTAAAAATTAATTGGCTGAAATCTTGGCTCAAACATAGCAACTCATTTTGGTACTGTGTCCCAAATTCCCTATTCAATAAGATTGGAGGTTTAAAATGTCTTCTTATGGCAGACTTCAGCATTGACAAATTACCTACAGGCCGAGTTTCATAAACAAATTCTATTATATTGGAAAATGCTATATGTGCATAACTTTTCACCTCACACTACTATGCTTTGGAATAATAGATATGTTTTATACCAAAATAAATCATTATATTATCAGGATTGTATTGAATATATGGTCTGTGGTTGACTTAATGGATGCCAATGGCAATCTCTTAGATTATCAACAATTTTGCACTAAACATAAATTCAACCCTTCCAAATCAGACTTTATTAAATTACAAAAAGCACTTCCTCATGGATTTATATTTCTAACAAAAAATATATTGGCCCACCAACCTATAATACCACAACTGGGCCCATTGTCAATACAGGGGATTTTAATCATGGACAAAAAAATGTAACAATCATTTTATAAGAAACTGCCTCACTGAAACATTGTTCCCTGGTAGACAAAACAAAAATAATATCCTACATAAATCTGATAATAAATCAATTGATAAACTAAGAACAATGTACCTAAAATTTCCTATACCCCCCAAAACCAAAGAAACACACTTTAAAATGATGAACAACATTTATCCTTCTAAAGAATTACTTAGACTACGCTTTAATATCGCTGACAGTTTATGCACATTCTGTGAAAATGACATTGAAACCACGGACCATATCTTCTTCTCATGTGATATAATACAAACATTCTGGGTTAACATTCACAATTGGATCAAACAGAAACTAGTTTTATTTCCAGCTGCTATCTCTAGAGATGATGTCACTTTCGGTATGATCTCTGTTGCAATGTAATTCTTTGTCTAGCCAAATTTTTCATCCACAAGAATAGAGTTATGAAGTCATCACCCAAATGTATTGTCTTCATGAATGAATTTAAATTGTACATGAAATCTTTAAAACCTCTAACAGAAATTAAGGCACAAAAATTATATGATAACTTAAAGAACTTTCCCACTGAAAGGATAGTTAAAATTTGAATCCCCCTGAAATCAATGTTTATTCTATTTTATATATATTTTATGTTTGACTATTTATTTTGAGATGTTTATTTTAATTTTTATTCAATTGCCCCGAATTTATTGTAGTACACTTGCGAAGTGTATGTACTATGAAAAGTGCCCGAATTGTTTATTTTTGTACTTTTTCAATAAAGCATAAAAAATAAAAATAAAATAATAATTTGAAATGGTCGACCTCTGGTTGGGTTTGGGGTTAATTGCAGGTTTCTTTATGTTTGGTATTCTCTTATAGTTCCTGTCTATATGAATGAATCAACATCCAATTTATTAAAAAACTACATGTAGACAAAAATACAGATAAAACATCAAATAAATAATAGAAATAAAAGAACAACTTGTCGGAGAAATCCGACATATTCAGACTGTCTCTTATTTTGTAGGATTTGTTTGTTGTTGTGTTTGTGACCTCCGGCCAGCAGGGGGCGACGTCCCTCCACTCCTCCTGTCGTAAAGTGCCGTCAGTGAGCACAATGTGTCGCAAACCGCTCAGCAAGATGGCGGCGGAGCGACGAGCGGATCCGATCTTCACACTTTTATTGAACTTTAAGTTTTTGATCAACTTTATCGATTATAATGACTTCCTGTGTGGAGCAGCTCGCGCTGGCGGCGCTGACTGAGATCTGTGAGAAACTCAAAGTGAAACCGGATGTTCAGACCGAGGTCAGACACTGATTACTGATCGATAATCTTTATTGATTAACCACGCTGAGCGCTCAGTCTGTCTAACGATGAAACTGTAATATAGTTTTATTTTCTTCATATTTTCAACTTAAAAGAAATCTGTTATTGATCGGGGGGGGGGACTTTAAATGAAATCAATTCTTTAAAATGGGTATAACCGTTACCATGGCAACACAAATGTCAGTGATACAATCCTGATCCCAAAATCAATCAATCAATACTGATTCAACAACATATTACAGACACAAAGGTCGATTTGCCGAATATATATAATATATATATTAAATATATATATTATATATTTAATATATATAATATATATATTAAATATATATTATATATATTTAATATATATATTAAATATATATAATATAATATTATATATATTTAATATATATTATTATATTATATATAATATATATATTTAATATAATATATATATTATATTTAATATAAAATATATATTTAATATATATTATATTTAATATAAAATATATATTTAATATATATTATATTTAATATATATATTATATTTAATATAATATATATATTAAATATATATAATATAATATTATATATATTTAATATATATTATATTATATATATTTAATATATATAATATAATAATATATATTAAATATATATTTTATATTAAATATAATATATATATTATATTAAATATATATATTATATTTAATATAATATATATATTTAATATAATATATATTATATTATATATATTTAATATATATAATATAATAATATATATTAAATATATATTTTATATTAAATATAATATATATATTATATTAAATATATATATTATATTTAATATAATATATATATTTAATATAATATATATTATATTAAATATATATTATACATATTAAATATATATTATATTATACATATTAAATATATATTATACATATTAAATATATATATTATATATATTTAATATGTATAATATAATTCAGAGTTTCCTCTGTGGTGATTTGGAGCCGGCCCGCTGCTGTTAAGTTTCTGCCTCCGCGGTATCAGAAATGGGGCAGACGCACAATGTAGTCCCGGTTGCCTTGTAAATGATCCTGCAGACATAATGCCCCCCCGCTGGCTGCCGCTCACAGTGCAGTTTAACAACAAGTAGAACTATTCAGAGGTTATTGGGGCGGTCCACTTTAACTCCACATACTGTTGTGTTGATGGAGCTTATTGTCAAAACGTTTCTTCCAACTAGACTATTAAACTAACAGCTCCACCAAAACGTCACCGCGGTGGGTCCGTTTTCATTGGACAACGTTCAACTTGTCAGTTCTCAACGTCCTGATATCAAACATCTGGAAACATTACAACAGTAAATATATTTGTTTGTGTCGCAGCGACGTGTCACTTCTGTTTCATACGTACAACGTTTGCCAACGGGACTGGGGGGCCTGCCCTGCCCCCACTGCTAAAAATCCTAGAGGAAACACTGTATATATACATATTACATTATATTTAATATAACATAATATATATATATATTATATTAAATATATATATATTATATGTTATAATATAATATATATATTTAATATGTATTCAGAATATATATATATAATATAGCAGCTGTTCAGTGTGTGTAAAGTTCATTCAGAGCTTTCAGATTTCTGAAACTTTATTTTATTGTGAAAATGTTTCTGATCTACGATATTGCCACAAAATGACGGCTGTCGGTCCACGAACGTCTCATCTTTCTCACTTCCAAACAAATGAAGATGTATTTGTTGCTGCTGTCCAATCACTGACTCTCTGTTGCTCTGCAGGAGGAGCTGCGTGTGCTGATGAGGAGGCTCTGTGAGGATCTCCTGCAGGAGCTGAGGAGGCAGCATGAGGACAGTAAGGACTCAATGAACCGTCTCCTTATCGGAGCTTCCTGTCGTCCACATTCCTCCTCTCTCTCTCTCTCTCTCTCTCTGCAGACGTGGCTGTGGAGCCTCAGCGGGACTCCGCCCCCCCTGCAGGAGAGGGAGGTGCTCAGGAGGCAAACCACCAATCAGATGCTCCTGGGGATGAAACTGGCCAATCGGAGCCTCCGGTGTACAGCTGGCGCGTCCACAGCGGCGAGCGGCCGTTCGCCTGCAGCGTCTGCGGCAAAGCTTTCTCCTCCCGCAGCAGCGCCCGAGTCCACCAGCTCACCGTGCACAGCCGGCGCCGGCCTCACACGTGCTGTCACTGCGGGAAGGTGTTCGGCACCCGCTGCCACCTCAGGACGCACCAGGCGTCCAACCGGCAGCCGACATGTTCGGCCTGCGGCGAGACGCTAGCGGCAAGCTGCTGCCTCCGAGATCACAGACGCACCTGCCAGAAAAGGGAAGAGAGGTTCAGGTGCGGCGAGTGCGGGAGGGAGTTCTCCAAACGCAGCTACCTGTCCGCCCACCAGAGAGTCCACCTGCAGGACAAACCCTTCCAATGTCCCACCTGTGAGAAAGGGTTCACCACGCGCCGCAGTGTCCGCGTCCACCAGCTGACCGTCCACAGGGGACTGAGGCCGTTCACCTGCAGCGTCTGCAGGAAGTCCTTCAGCCAGCAGAGCGGCCTCAGAGCTCACCTGAGGACGCACACTGGCGAGCGGCCGCACGCCTGCGAGCAGTGCGGGAAGCGTTTCTCCAGCAGGAGCGGCCTGTCGGTGCACCGCCGCGTCCACTCCGGAGAGAAAGCCTTCAGCTGTGACACCTGCGGGAAGAGCTTCAGCGTGTCAGCCAACCTGCGCCGCCACCGCCTCGTCCACTTGGGCCATCGCCCGTTCAGCTGCGACGTGTGCAGCCGCGGGTTCACGCAGGCCGCGCACCTGAAGGCGCACAGCGCTGTGCACAGTGGCGAGTGGGCGTTCATCTGCAACGCCTGCGGGAAGGGCTTCAGACAGCGTGGCGCTCTGCTGGCGCACGAGCGGAGCCACAGTGGGGTCAAACCGTACAGCTGCAGCGAGTGCGGGAAAAACTTCTCCTCGTCTGCATCGCTCAAACGCCACCTGCTGACCCACAGCGGGCAGAAAGCTCACACCTGCGAAGAGTGTGGGAAGAGCTTCGCCGGCGCCCAGATCCTGAAGACTCACATGCAGCTGCACACCGGAACCAAGGCGTTCTCCTGCGATGTGTGCGGGCGTGGCTACAGCTCGCCAAGCTACCTGAAGACGCACCGGCGCAGCCACTCCGAGGGGAAGCCGTTCGGCTGCGCTCAGTGTCAGAAGAGGTTCTCCACGCAGGCGAGCGTGAAGCTGCACGAGCGCACGCACAGCGGCGAGAAGCCATACGTGTGCGAGGTCTGCGGGAAGAGCTTCAGCGTGTCGCAAAACCTCGTCAGACACAAACGCGTCCACAGCGGCGAGAAGCCGTTTGAGTGCGCCGTCTGCGGGAAGAGCTTCAGCCAGAAGAACAACCTGAAGACTCACCAGCTGGTTCACACGGGACACAAAGCGTTCAGTTGCTCCGCCTGCGGGCGCCGCTTCTCCTCCGCCAGGAGCCGCAGGGAGCACAGGTGTGTCAGCTGACAGGAAACAGGAAGTTCATTTGGTTCAAACTGACTTTATTTTAACTGCTGTCGGTCTCTCTCTCTCTCTCTCTGTCGTTTGTTAAACGCATACACTTATTTGTTTGTTTGTCTGTTTGTTTGTTTTATTTGGCTCTCAGTGTAAAGTTCCTTCAACAGTCAATAAATCAATAAACGTCGGTAATTTATCATAAACAATAAAAACGTTTGTTGTTCCAACTGAAGCTTTAATGTGTTTGTTTGTTTCATATGAGATCAAATATCATTTTATGAATGTAAATAAATCTAAAACAATGAAGTAGTAGTTTTATTAGCATCATTAGTATTAGTATTATTATTATAAGTATTATTATTATTATTATTAGTATTATAAGTATTAGTATTATTATTATTAGTAGTAGTATTATTATTATTATTATTATAAGTATTAGTATTATTATAAGTATTATTAGTATTATTATTATTATTAGTATTATTAGTATTAGTATTATTATTATTAGTATTAGTATTAGTATTATTAGTATTATTATTATTAGTAGTATTAGTATTATTAGTATTAGTGGTAGTATAGTGAGCTGGAATGATCTAGAAACATTGTATTGTATTTCTTTATTAATCCCACAACGGGGAAATTCCCTTGTCACAGCAGCAATTACTTGAAATAAATAAATACAGATATAAAAACTAAACTATGGTATGGTGGTAAAGCTATGGTATGGTGGTAAAGCTATGGTATGATGGTGGTAAAGCTATGGTATGATGGTAAAGCTATGGTATGATGGTGGTAAAGCTATGGTATGATGGTAAAGCTATGGTATGATGGTAAAGCTATGGTATGATGGTAAAGCTATGGTATGATGGTAAAGCTATGGTATGATGGTGGTAAAGCTATGGTATGGTGGTAAAGCTATGGTATGATGGTAAAGCTATGGTATGGTGGTAAAGCTATGGTATGGTGGTAAAGCTATGGTATGGTGGTAAAGCTATGGTATGGTGGTAAAGCTATGGTATGGTGGTAAAGCTATGGTATGGTGGTGGTAAAGCTATGGTATGGTGGTAATTGGAAACAGAAACAGAAACATTGATCAGGTGTTGTAGAGTCTGACAGCAGCAGGAATTAAAGACCTGCGGAACCTCTCCTTCTTACCCCGTGGGTGTAACAGTCTGCTGCTGAAGGAGCTACTCAGGGACCCCACAGTGTCATGTGGGGGGGGGGGGGGGTTGTCCATGATGGATGTCAGCTCCACTAATATCCTCCTCTCACCCACTTCCTCAGTGGAGTCCAGAGGACAGTCCAGGACAGAGCTCATGAAACTTTATCCAAAACAGGAAATGTAATTTAGGCCCAATAAATCCAGTATTTAAAAGGCCACGCCCCCTCAAGCTGTGAGTGTGATTGGGAGGGAGCTGATCAATAGTTGCTTATTGATCATTTATTAAGTGTTCATCATATTGACCAATGAGCTTCAGAGAGGGTGTGGCTCTGCACATAAACAGACAGAAGTCAATAACTGTTGGACCAATCATCACAAAACTCACCGGAAATGTCCATATAAGGACCTGGAACACATCCCGAAAGTCTTATTCAGATAGTCCACTAGGGGGCGCTACAACGGCAAACACTGTGTGACATTACACAGAGACTGTAAATCAATAAGTGTTGGTGCAAACATTAAAACTCACAGGAAATGTTCTTAACAATGTTAAACGGTAAAACTATTTTAAATTGTACAATAACAATAATAATAATAATAATAATAATAAAGATAAATTAAAGCTGCAAGCAGCGATGGACGGGACCTCACACTCCACGCAACTCGGGGCGTGCTGCGGCCGCGTCATGTGCCGTCGTAACACGTGCGGACCACGACATGAAAATCTCACGTAAATCAGCTCAAAATCACCACGCAGCACTTACTTCCTGTTGCCACTAGGTGGCGCTCTCACTATTACTGAATATTATCACATAGACGTGTTCAGGGCGGGACTCTTATTGAACATGTGAAGTTTCGTTGCAGTCGGATCATGTACGCAGAAGTTATGACGAATCCCTCTTTCATGGTGAAGGTTTGAAATTGGATGCCACGGGACGCCACGCCACGGGCACAATGTTGGACGAAACAAACTGACTGCACTGACCAATTTTGAAGTAGATCCAATAGAACCTGTAGGAGGAGTTAGTTAAAATAGAAGCTCTGAAATGCCTAAAAGGACATCACAGTGTGACATTCGTTCAAAATGGCCAACTTTGACGGCACGCCACGGACACGCCCTTCAACGTACAGTGAAAAAATGAACAGCGTTCATTCAGCACCATTTTGTGACTGTACTGACCAAATTCCCTAGGAGGAGTTCGTTCAAATACAAGCCCAAAAAGTCAAAATTACCACAAAATGGACGCCGTGAGTGAAAATAAAAATTGAAATATCAGACTTCCTGTGGGTTTTGGGGCATGGGTCCAAGAGGCTTTTCTGCTTCTTTTATCATGATACACATGCGTAGCAATTTTCGTACATGTGGGCCTTACGTGTCTTGGGGGCTGATTCTGGGGGGCGTGGCTTAGCCGTTTTGCGGCGCCCCTGCACTGGGACAATGTCATATCGGTATTTTAGCTACGTTTGAATTTTGTGCAAATTTTCATGCCATTTTGAGAATGTTGCGGGGGCCAAATATGCGGTGGAAGTCCCAGAGGTATAATAATAATTCCTAGAGGAACAATAGGGTCCTTGCACTTGTTAGTGCTCGGTCCCTAATTAGGTATTTTTTAAGCTTGTTGGTTTAAATATTTTTTCCATTTCTGGGGCCTTCCCAAACCGTCCTTTATTTTGAAATGTCAGACCGGAAGCTGTCAGTGGTTGTAAACAGCTCGGTGCTCGGTAGGATGTCGGTGCTCCTCTCCGGTTTACTCCCTCTGTACCCGGGTTAAACATCAACGCAGCGAGCCGTTACAGCTCCGGGACAACAGCCGAGCCGAACCGAACCGAGCCGAGCCAGGTTAACAGCATGAATGAGACGGAGGGGCTCCGGTTCCGGCGGGTGCACAGACCGCAGGTCATCACCGACGAGCTGCCGGAGCACCGATACAAGGGATCCGGGTACAACTACCAACACACACACATATATATAATTATATATTTATATATACATTTATTTATTTTTATTTATTTATTACTATATTTATATAATTATATATTTATCCCTATATTTATATTTTATTTATTTATATTTATATATGTCTTTATATATTTATTTATATCTTTATATATTTATTTATATTTATATCTTTATATATTTATTTATATCTTAATATATTTATTTATTTATATTTATATCTTTATATATTTATTTATATTCATATATTAATATCTTTATATATTTATTTATCTATTTATATTAATTTATATTTCCACAGTCACTGTTTGTTGTTTATGTGTCAATAAAGATTTATGGAGGTAAAAACGGACCGGTGTTTTTTTTTTTTACTTTATTGAAAAAATGTCCATTGTTTATTTTTTGTTGTTTATTTTCATATATATTTATTTATTTATACATATGTGTGTACATATATTTAGATATATACACATCATATATCTGTAGATATGTTAAATGTAACATAAGATTTCATTTCATTAGATCTTATTTTCTGAATGTAAAATGTATCTGAAATAATAATAATAATAATAATAATAATAATAAGTACAGAAGCAGGTGTTCCCTGTTTTAAACCCCTTTTTACTGATTGTATATATTTAATATGATATATATTTAATATGATATATATTGTCTGCAGTAACAATGTGTGTGTCCTCAGCACCTACAGCGGGAAGGTCTTCCAGGTCACTCTGCTCTCTCTGGGAGGCTTTCTTCTTCTTCCTCTCCTCATCGTCATCCTCATCCTGGAGTCTCCCATCCACCCCGAGGTCTTCAGGTGAGTCCCTCCACCTCCCTGCTGCTTTAATGATTGATTAATACCAACCTGCACAGGAATAATCAGCACTTAATCAATAGCATCCATTATTATTTATATTGGCGGAGATTAGCTAGCAGCTAACTAGCTATCGGAGTAACTAGCCAGTTTCCAATTGATGAAGATTAGTTAGTTAGTTAGCTAGTGTTTGCTATGTAGCACTGTACGCTAGCTAACATTAGAACAGTGACAGCTCACGATTGGCAGTACACAGTGAGCGGTAGCGCCGCCACGGCAGCACAGCGCCCCCCTGCTGGCGGCACACAGTGAGCGTTCTGTAGCGCCCCCTGCTGGCGGCACACAGTGAGCGTTCTGTAGCGCCCCCTGCCCAAGGGCGCACACAGTGAGCGTTCTGTAGCGCCCCCTGCTGGCGGCACACAGTGAGCGTTCTGTAGCGCCCCCTGCTGGCAGCACACAGTGAGCGTTCTGTAGCGCCCCCTGCTGGCAGCACACAGTGAGCGTTCTGTAGCGCCCCCTGCTGGCAGCACAGCAGGGGCGGCCAAGCGTTCTGTAGCGCCCCCTGCTGGCGGCGCTACAGAACGCTCACTGTGTGCCGCCCCCTGCTGGCGGCTCTGCGTCCTGCAGTCTGAAGGAGCCCCCGCTGATGAAGGGCTGCTGGGAGCCCAACCTGAAGCTCCGAGAGGCTCAGAGACTGTTTGAAGACCAGATCGTCGGACCGGAGTCCATCGCCAACATCGGAGGTCAGTGCGGCTTTACTTTATAAACAACCATGAAGAAGACCATGAAGAAGACCATGAAGAAGACTGAGAGCTGACAGATGTTTGTCTCTGCAGATGTTTTGTTCGCTGGAACAGCCGACGGGAAGATCGTGAAGCTGATTGGTCGAAGAATTCACACGGTGGCGAGACTCGGAAAACTGCCATGTGGTGAGAAAATAACCCTCCATAAGCCCCGCCCCTTTGTGCTCTGTGCTCCAATCACAGTGGAGCAAACCTCCGTCAACTTCCTCCTTTCCTGTGCTTACATATGCTATATGCTAAGCTAATCTATGTTGTAAAGCTAACTTAAATGTGACTGTTTGTCTCTGTTGTTGTTTAATTGAGTTTATTTCACTTTGTTTAATGTTTAGTTAAAACGAGGTTAAAATAAGGTAAAACTAAAATATTTAATTTAATCTAAACTAACAAAAAACAACAAAAAGCTTCATTTGAAGTTTCTTAAACTGACAAACTTTTAAAAACCTTTGAGTTGTTATTATTATTATTATTATTATTATATTTAACCAGATACATCTTAAAATTGTAAGTTTAGTTTGTTTAAGCTTTAAGTTAAGTTTAATTAGGGTAAAATGTAGCGTTTTATTTTAAATAAATAATATATTAAACTAAATTAAATATATTTTATATCAGTGATATAAAATATATTTAATTTAGTTGTATGATAAATTAAAGTGAATGTATTTTCAGTGTGAGGAAGCCACTGACCTGGAGCCTGTTTGTTGCGTCATTCTGGAGTTTTTGTCGGTTTCTCAACAAACAGCGACGTGTTGAAACCTGTCGAGGGTTCAAACTCGACTCTGCTGCTGTTTCCTGTTCTCCTCCTTTCAACATAAAAGTCTGAACAATAGGACCACGACTACGGCTGAATATTGGCAGGTGTTTCCTGAGTTTTAGGAGCACGTTCGGGCCTCCATACAGGCAGAAATGAACTGTTGTTGTAGTGGGAGGATGAACAGGTCTGTCAGGTTGCCTCTGGGTGTGTCTGGAGTTTCTCCTGGAGTTTGTCCTGGAGTTTCTCCTGGAGTTTCTCCTGGTTGAACAATGTGTGTCCTGCAGGTTCCAGAGAGGAGGAGTCCACCTGCGGGAGGCCGTTGGGGATCAGAGTCGGACCCAATGGGACTCTGTTTGTAGCTGATGCTTACCTGGGTCTGTTCGAGGTCAACCCCACCACAGGTGAGTGCAGCTGGATTATTTAATTATCTATTTATTTATTTAACGCTTTATTTAACTTTAATTCTTTATTAGGAGTGGATACGATGGATCGCTAACGTTAGCTTGCTCGCTGTTGACAATAAATGAGCTGAAGGGTCATTAAGACATTCCTCTTTGATAAAGCTTATAGTTAGGGCTGGATCAGGTGAGTCCTGAACCATCCCTTAGTTATGCTGCTATAGGCCTAGACTATCGGGGGATTTCCCATGGTGCACTGAGCTCCTCTCTTCCTCTCTCTTTCTGCACTCATTCATGTTCCATTAATGCATGTTACTAACTTCACTTCTTCCCCGGAGTTCTTGTGCTTTATCGTCTCGCAGGTTCTCATGGATCCTGGTGGAGCCTCCTGCCATGGTCCTGCTAGATTGCCATTGCTCTGTACTCTGTAATTAATGTTAAAGAGTTCGGTCTAGACCTGCTCTATTTGAAAAGTGTCCTGAGATAACTTCTGTTATGAATTAGCGCTATACAAATAAAATTGAATTGAATTGAGACACGTTAGCTCTGTGCTAACACGACTGTGAGTGAGTAATGGACGGCTGCTTTCTCCTTCTCTGTGTTTTTCGGCGCAGGTGATGCGACCAGGTTGGTGTCAGGCGGTCAGGTGGTCGCGGGCAGGAAGCTGTCGTTCATTAACGACCTGGCGGTGACTCAGGACGGGAAGAAGGTGTACTTCACCGACTCCAGCAGCAGGTGGCAGCGCAGGGACTACCTGCACCTCATCATGGAGGCCACGGCCGACGGACGGTACGGAAGGTTTCTAACACCGCTTAAACTGAACTAAAATCCAACCGATACATAAACAAACACTTTGGTCCTGTCAGAGTGATGGAGTACGACACCGAGACCAGAGAGCTGACGGTGGTGATGGAGAACCTTCGGTTTCCAAACGGGATCCAGCTGCTGCCGGACGAGGAGTCGGTGCTGGTGGCCGAGACCACCATGGCCCGGATCCGCAGGTAACACACCTGACTCACCTGTACGGCCGCCACGGTCGGCTCCAAGGCTGCGATGCACAGAGATTCATTCTCTGTGAAACAGCAGATATTCTATCTGTAAACGCTGAAGCTTCAGAATAAAGTTCCACCATGAACTGCTTTAAAATAATAATAATAATAATAATAAGTGCCTGATTAAAGAAAGATGGTCTCTGAGGATCATATATGATGACGGTTATGTAACGCCGCCGGATGTCGGCGACGTTCTTGTTGCCACGGAAACGAGCTGCCGGCCTCATCTTAAGTGTGTGTGTGTGTGTGACTGCAGCTGAATATTAATATATAATATATAAATGATTACATTATACTGTATACACTGAATGTGAGGCTCACTGTACAGTCATTAAACTGTAATTAATGTGTTTGATTATTATAGTATATTATATTATAGTATAATTTGTATTAATCACGTTTATATTACAGGTCATAAAATGATCAATATGTGATATTGATCCTGATCAGTAAACATGTCTTTCTGTACCAGAGTCCACGTTGCCGGTCTGAACAAAGGCGGGATGGACACCTTCATTGACAACCTGCCCGGTTTTCCCGACAACATCCGTCCGAGCTCGTCCGGAGGTTACTGGGTGGCCATGTCCGCGGTGCGGCCCAACCCCGGATTCTCCATGCTGGACTTCCTGTCCCAGAGACCCTGGATCAAGAAATTCATCTTCAAGGTAAAACAGACAGAGAGGCACCAGGTCCAGGTTTCTAGCTGGTCCTGGACTTTCTGGAGCTTCGTGAAGACATTCAGAACCTGGAAAGTTTTGACAGGTTTTTCCATGTGGATTATTTGTCTTCATCATCCGTCCCTGACCATGTTCTTCCTCCTCTCCTCGGCCCTCACCCCTCTCCTCTCCTCTCTCCTCCTCGGCCCTCACCCCTCTCCTCTCCTCTCTCCTCCTCTCCTCACCCCTCTCCTCTCCCCTCTCCTCCTCTCCTCTCTCCTCCTCGGCCCTCACCCCTCTCCTCTCCTCTCTCCTCCTCTCCTCACCCCTCTCCTCTCCTCGGCCCTCTCCTCGGCCCTCACCCCTCTCCCTCTCCTCTCCTCCCTCACCCCTCTCCTCCCCTCTCTCTCCTCCCCCTCACCCCTCTCCTCTCCTCACCCCTCTCCTCTCCCTCGGCCCTCTCCTCGGCCCTCTCCTCGGCCCTCACCCCCTCTCCTCTCCTCTCTCCTCCCTCTCCTCACCCCCTCTCCTCTCCCCCCTGTCCTCCCTCCCTCTCTCCTCCTCGGCCCTCACCCCTCTCCTCTCCTCCTCCCTCCTCTCCTCACCCCTCTCCTCTCCTCGGCCCTCCCTCCCCTCCCCCTCCCCTCTCCTCCCTCCTCTCCTCGGCCCTCACCCCTCTCCTCTCCTCACCCCTCTCCTCGCCCCTCTCCTCACCCCTCTCCTCTCCTCTCCTCGCCCTCTCCTCTCCCCTCACCCCTCTCCTCTCCTCGCCCCCTCTCGGCCCTCTCCTCTCCTCGCCCCTCTCCTCTCCCTCACCCCTCTCCTCCTCTCCCACCCCTCTCGCCCCTCTCCTCACCCCTCTCCTCGGCCCTCACCCCTCTCCTCTCCTCGCCCCTCTCCTCCTCTCCTCACCCCTCTCCTCGGCCCTCACCCCTCTCCTCTTCTCGCCCCTCTCCTCCTCTCCTCACCCCTCTCCTCGGCCCTCACCCCCTGGCCCCTCTCCTCCCCCTCTCCTCGCCCCTCTCCTGCCCCTCACCCCTTTCCTCACCCCTCCTCGTCCCTTTCCTCGCTGTCCTCTGACCTCTGCAGCTCTTCAGTCAGGAGGTCCTGATGAAGTTCGTACCTCGGTACAGCCTGGTAGCGGAGCTCCACGATGGCGGCATCTGCACCCGGAGCTTCCACGACCCCAACGGCCTGGTGGCGGCCTACGTCAGCGAGGTCCACGAGTACGACGGGAACCTGTACCTCGGCTCCTTCCGCTCACCGTACATTGCCAAACTCGACCTGCGCAAAGTCTAACGACCCGTCGATGGACGCACAGACGGACATTTGGGACCGTTTGGTCTTTAACAGCGACGTCCGACGAGGTGAATCAAAAACCGCCGGACGGCGGTCGGTCAAAGTTTTTGTTCCAGATATTTTGTTTGAAGGAGGGGCTCAGAGTGCGTGACACGTTCATGTTATCCGTCTCTGTTAGCGGCTGGGTATCGAACCTCAGTACCGGTCCGATAAATTATAAACAATAACAATTAAAATTCTTGTTTCAGTTAATTTACGAAGACGTATGACAAAGAAAAATAGCAAATATTCCCATTTTAGAGGCATTTTGACTAAAATTATTAGTTTTTTATCAGAATAGTTGCCAATTTATTTTTTATTGATGGTCTAAGAAATGAATTGATTAATGTTTGCAGCTGTAAGATTGATCATCTTGTTCCTAATTCCTGAGTTGAATCCTCATTTCTGCACTTTTTGTATTTTATGTAAACAAAAGTTTTTGTTTGACAACTTTAGCTTCTTTTCTCCATTTATAAAAAGTTTTGTCGAAATGTGTGTTAATACTGAGTTATTGATCGGCACCAGTATCGATACCCAGCCCTACGATCGCTCTTACCTGATGAAAAGAAAGAATCTGGCACTAACCGGCTGAAAATTGCTTTCCAGCTAGCTTAATTCAATTTGAATTGCTCGCTAACTGGGTTAGCTTGCTAGCATGCTCATTGTCACTATAGCACCATAAATATAACTCGAGCATTTTGAACCTTTTTTTGCCCGTTTTGGGAGACAGGAGTAATTTCTCGCTACCTCCAAGCTAACTTTGTACGGTTCAGGTTACCATTGTTACTGCTACTAGCTAGCCTATGTTAGCTAGCCGTCTTCAATTTAAAAACAAGTTAGGAAAATAAAAGATGAGTTTACTGGAAATGTCCACGTATTATCTGCAGTAACCTCGAGGCCACCTGCCACGTCAACGTTTGTGTGGTTTAGTTAAAGTTAAATCAGTTTTAGGAAAGTAATTATAACTTATACGTTTTTAATGTTTAGCTTGTTAACAAGTTAAAAAGTTAACAAACATTATTTAGCATGTTATCTTGTCGACGTGCTAAACAACTAAATGTTAGCATCTCGACATTAAAACTCAGTTCAACAGTATTTTAACAACTACTGGATGCTAACGTGGCTGCAGAGCGTAACTATGAACAACGAGTGGGAAGGAAACTCTAATTCAGATAATTTAATGAGGAGATAAACGTGTTGTAACACAACTGGCTAATTTAGGCTATTAGATATGCTATATGCTATATGCTAATCTATGTTGAAAAGACCACAGGTTGAAGATTAAGAGATAAACATTATATAATATTATATATTTATATATTAATTGATAACTAACATTGACGTTGTGTGAAAGCAGCTTTATGCTGCCTTTATGTTTTATTGGAAGTTTAAGTTTCCCTCTTAAAACCTTTTACTGTGTGCTCCAATAACAGCTGAGCGAACCTCGGGTCAGAGGTCAGAACCTCCTCGGGTCAGAGGTCAGAACCTCCTCAGGTCAGAGGTCAGAACCTCCTCGGGTCAGAACCTCCTCGGGTCAGAGGTCAGAACCTCGTCGACTTTTTGGTTTCTTAACTAAACTAAATCCGTCGTTAGCTAGTGAGCTAATCATTTGTTATGCTATAGATATGCTAAGTGCTTAGCTCACCTGTAAGCGACAGATAGTCATTAAATTATATAGAGATATATATTATATATTATATAGTCATATAATATATAATATATATCTCTCTCTGGTGTAACCGGAGTTTACGAATGCTGCTTTCACACAACGTCGGCAGAGCGGGAAAACCGGGACCAGTTACAGGTGGTTAGCCGTAGCGCTAACTTGTGTTTGTAGCATTTTGAGTGAAACCAGGAACAAACATTGTGTAGCTGCTATAAAACGAGCTGCATTGATCGCATTGATGAGTTTATGTGTATTATTGACGTTAATGTGAAGCCACACTCTGTTGATGAGAGGAAGTCATTTTATAACCAATCAATAATCAATGAGGACTATAAATTAGCTGTGTGATGGATTCTCTGTTGTGTTTGTGCCAAATTCAGTTTTAGTCCCACGAGGATCTTTTTGCTCTGAGAGGTTGAACTTCGTCCGACAGCTGCTGCGATTTCTGTCACATTAGTTTTTGTGTTTTTGTTGTTTTGTCGTCGTGACGACAGAAAGTTTCCGTTATTTTCAGCTTTTCAGCTTCTTTTGAATAAAAACTGAATAAAATCTGCAGTTTGAACTAAAATGCTATCTGAGTGTTTTTATACGTGTTAAACTGAAGTTCTGCTATTGGAACAGGAAACCGAACCCCCCCCCTTAATGTTATAAGATAATTAATAATTAATCTTTTTCACATTAATGACATCATTACCAATCTGTGAATGAAAGACAATTTAAGATCAATTATAGATTATAGATCAAATAAGAACATTAAAGGTTTATTGAACTGCTGTTGTTCATCCTCCTGACCAGCAGGGGGCAGACAGCACAGACCGGCTGGTTTTATTCACAGGTCTGAACTCCATCAGGGTGAAGATGATGAAGATGATGAAGATGATGAAGGTGATGAAGGTGGTTTCAGGGTTTACAGAAGAAGACCTGGGTGTTGGTCTGGTTCTGCCAGGGAATCAGCCAGACCTCAAAGTGACACTGAAACATCTGGAGAACACAACAGGAAGTGCATCCTTTCACAATAAAGTCTTTAAATACAACATGAACACGTTCGATCTTATCGGATCAGATACCAGAAGAAGAGACTTCCTGTTCAGACCTGCTGCAGACGACCTTTAGGCTGAAGGTCACAGTGGGAGAGGTCGTCGTTGTTGTCTCGTTTACGGCAGACGGTTCTGGAAATCTCCAAATCTACGATGTACCGAACCCCGTTAACGACCTGGAACGCACCACAGACGAACGTTTAAGTAACGTTACAGAGCGCTAACGCTACGCTACGACTCAGAGCGCTAACGCTACGCTACGACTCAGAGCGCTAACGCTACGCTACGACTCAGAGAGCTAACGCTACGCTACGACTCAGAGAGCTAACGCTACGCTACGACTCAGAGAGCTAACGCTACGCTACGACTCAGAGAGCTAACGCTACGACTCAGAGCGCTAACGCTACGACTCAGAGCGCTAACGCTACGCTACGACTCAGAGAGCTAACGCTACGCTACGACTCAGAGCGCTAACACTACGCTACGACTCAGAGAGCTAACGCTACGACTCAGAGCGCTAATGCTACGACTCAGAGCGCTAATGCTACGACTCAGAGCGCTAACGCTACGCTACGACTCAGAGCGCTAACGCTACGACTCAGAGCGCTTATGCTATGACTCAGAGCGCTAATGCTACGACTCAGAGCGCTAATGCTACGCTACGACTCAGAGCGCTAACGCTACGACTCAGAGCGCTAATGCTACGCTACGACTCAGAGCGCTAACGCTACGCTAATAATCAATAATAATAATCAATAATTAATAATAATAATCAATAATATTAATCAATAATCATAATCAATAATCAGTCATCCACAATAATCAATAATAATTAATAATAATTAATAATAATAATCAATAATAATAATCAATAATAATAATTAATAATATTAATCAATAATAATAATCAATAATTAATAATAATAATCAATAATAATAATCAATAATCAGTCATCCACAATAATCAATAATAATAATCAGTAATAATAATTAATAATAATAATCAATAATAATAATCAATAATAATAATTAATAATAATAATCAATAATCAGTAATAATAATCAATAATAATAATTAATAATAATAATCAATAATCAATAATAATAATCAATAATCAGTAATAATAATCAATAATAATAATCAATAATCAATAATAATGATCAATAATCAATAATAATAATGACCTCATTAGAAAAGGGTAAATTAAAGGATTCTGGAGACTTCCTGTTGACCTGCCGTTGACCTTTGACCCCACACACGTACCTGCCGCTGCGCTCTGATGATGAAGGAGGGTTTGAAGAGGAAGGCGTCGTTTGATTGGTTGTTGAAGGAGTAGGCGGCGCTGAGGACGACCCGCTGGAGCCCGCGGTCGTCCCTGCTGATGTTGGACGGGGCTCCGGGCATCGAACCGCCGCGACGGCCGCCCGCCACCGTCACCGTCACTGAAGGAGAAGAGAGCTGTCGATCATATTGATCCGTTTCCTGACACTACTGATTATTGGCGCTCAAACTGCCGCAGCGACACAGGTTAAAGGTGAATATTATATTATTATAATATTATATAATATAATATAATATATAATTATATTATTATATATTATATTATATTAATATAATATATAATAATATATTATATTAATATAATATATTATTATATATTATATTATTATAATATATAATAATATATTATATTATATTATATTATAATATAATATAATAATATATTATAATATAATATAATAATATATTATAATATAATATAATAATATAATATTAGTTCTCCGGCAGCGTTGATCAGCTAAGACGACTTTAAACTATTTACAGTTTCCAGTTTATTTGTAGTTCTTTTCAAACATTTGTCAGATTAGCTCGAACAAACACTGAACGCCTCCTCGTCCTGTTCACACGCTCACAAAAACACATTTCCTGTTGAGTTTTAGTTTTGGTACAAAATATTATTTAAGTTCAGTAAAATATTTTTTCTCTGCTGGTTTTAGTTTTAATGAACATTGTCTCGAACAGGAAACTCAGGTGTCTGAGTGTCTTTGAACGCAGCAGCAGGAAGACTGATGAGGCATTCACAGACAGAAAGAAACTGAAATAAAAGAAATATTGAACTTTTTCTTCTCGTTGTGAAAGATTTGAAAGATATTTAGATTATTTCATGCTTTTATTCTGAAACTGAAGAAACAACAAACGTGTGTTTTACTTTGAAACCAGTGAAAGTTGATGAATCAACAGTTGGGGTTATATCAGTTATAGTTCTTGTGTTTCTGAAACACTGTAAACGCCATCGGCTCCAGGAAGAGAATAACACAAACATTAGAACACGTTAAACAAGAATAAAGTGAAGGAAACAGGAAGTCTTTTACCCAGAACGCCGAGCAGAGAGACGAGCAGCGGCCTCTTCACTCCCATCATGCACTCTGTTTGCTTCCTGTGAGGTGACACTCTGACCACACATCAAACATGTGACATCACTTCCTATCAGTGAAGACACTTCCTGTGTGTCATGTTGCAGTCTGAAGCTTCAAACTCAGTTTCCCTGCATGCATTGCAGCTGATCAGTACGGTGGCCCTGAGGTGCAAATCAGAAAACACAACGACATTAACCAAACCGGAAAAGGTCGGTACCCTCGGCGACACGAGTCGTCGCTGATCGGACAGAAGAACTGGTCCGACCTTTGAACCGGAAACACAACACCGACAGACCGACACCGCCAAATCTGAAAACCACTAAATAATGAAAATATTGTATTAATGAAAATATTGTAATAATGAAAATATTGTATTAATGAAAATATTGTAATAATGAAAATATTGTAATAATGAAAATATTGTAATAATGAAAATATTGTAATAATGAAAATATTGTATCCATACGTCCGTGTTAGAAACAGCTTCCAATAGTCCATATCTGTGTTTTCTGATTTGCCGTTGTGATTTGCACCTCAGGGCCACCGTAGTAACAGACAGGTGACACCTGTTATCAGTTTAATTATTGTAAACAAATCAACAACTTCAATCCGAACAATCACAACTGAAAGTTTCTATCAAAGTAAAACAATGTTAAACTTCCTGTTTCCATAAGAAAGGTCGTCGACCTTTAAAGCTCTGTGAGCACTGTTAGCTCTGTTAGCACTGTTAGCTCTGTTAGCTCTGTTAGCTCTGTTAGCACTGTTAGCTCTATTAGCTCTGTTAGCTCTGTTAGCACTGTTAGCTCTGTTAGCACTGTTAGCTCTGTTAGCTCTGTTAGCACTGTTAGCTCTGTTAGCACTGTTAGCTCTATTAGCTCTGTTAGCTCTGTTAGCTCGTTAGCTCTGTGAGCACTGTTAGCTCTGTTAGCTCTATTAGCAGTGTTAGCTCTGTTAGCACTGTTAGCTCTGTTAGCACTGTTAGCACTGTTAGCTCTGTTAGCGCTCACAAACCTCAATTTAAACACAAACACAAAGATTTTAATGGAAATACAACATATAACTTTATTAGCAAGCAATTAAAAAGAAGACAAACAACCAATCACAGAGCAGCTCTGTTTGTTTTGCAGCTGGGCAGGAAGTGTGTGTGTGTGTGTGTGTGTGTCTTCCCTCTTGATGGAGCTAGGCTAACAGTTTCCACCTGCTTCCAGTCTTTGTGCTAAGCTAAGCTAAACAAGCTGAACAGAGGGGTATTGCACAAAACCAAGATAAGGGATTAAGCCGGGCTAACAGCTAACGGCTGGGCTAACAGCCGGGCTAACGGCGCTAACAGCCGGGCTAACAGCCGGGCTAACGGCCGGGCTAACGGCCGGGCTAACGGCCGGGCTAACGGGCTAACGGGGCTAACGGCCGGGCTAACAGCCGGGCTAACAGCCGGGCTAACAGCCGGGCTAACAGCCGGGCTAACAGCCGGGCTAACAGCCGGGCTAAGATTAATCCTAGTGATTCACCTGTATTTCCACCGTCAATCCTGTGAGGAATTAATGTGTTTTACAGCATGTCCATGGTCTTTCTAAGTATGTTGCATCATTTTAATTATCCTGCATTAAAATATTACATATATATTGTCATTTCTCATTTCATTTAAATCTGTTGGCTGTTTGTAATTGCAACAGTCTTTTTATATTGATTCAAGTGGTAGTATTATTACTCAGGACAAGTGTTATATTGCTATGCTAATGAAGACTGCTTGCCAAATTGCATAAATATGTGTTTATTGCAGTAATTGAGATTACAAAACACAGCTGATGAAGTTGCAAAGGTGTTTTCAATGAAATCTGTGACAAGGGCAATATAGTATATATATTATGGCATACCGTTTAAGAGATTAATCTTTGAATATATAAAATGAATCTTTTAATATATAGAATGAATCTTTTAATATATTCAATGAAACTTGACTGGTCATCAAGGCACTGCTGCCATCTTGTAGAAGTGAGAATGAGTTAGTCAGGAACCTTGTGGCAGCAATACTGAGCAATGAGGACATTATTAACTCATTGGCAAGTGCTTGTACGGGCCAAAATCCTCCCCATAGTACCCGTGCCCAATACCGTTCTCCTGACAAAGAAGTTCACTCCCTTTTTAATGGTGGCAGGCCGACTACAACAGGCCTTAGGCTAAATCCTGACAGAAAAAGCAAAAAAGTTTTCCAGTTTAAGAAAGTATTGTAATATTTCAACTGATGCCATTTTGTAAAACCAGCTAATTCAGAAGGCTATCACTTTGATGAAAAGGATACAACTAGGTTTTCAATTTCATTCAGTATTCTCACATTTTTATCAATATATCCAAGATTCATTTCCTAAACGGCATGCCATAATATATATATATATATATATATATATATATATATATATATATATATATATATACACACATATACATATATATATATATATATATTATTCACTCCTGTTCCCTCTTCATAATGGCTTGCCCTTTCTTGGAGGATGTACTGGATGAGGAAGCCCTAATCCTCAGAGGAGCATTTAGTCATGAAAGAGTCTTCTGGGACAGGTCAGACCCATTGGCTGTTGGAGAGGACTATCTCATTGAGAGATACAGATTCTCAGGTGATGGACTAAGATATTTATGTAGGCTGCTGGGTCCAAAAATACAGCACCAGACGGCAGGAAGCCATGCTCTCAATGTACCACAGATGGTCTGTGTTACAGTGAGATGTTCTGCAAGTGGGAGCTTCCTTTATTCTGTTGGGGATGCAGAGAACCTCAATAAAGGAACCATTGGCAGCACATATCCTGGCTTGGTGGGCCGCCCCCTGTGCCAGTTCTATGGGCTTTTTTTAAACTGCTACAATCATACAGACATTCAACATGTCAGCAGACACCTAATCTATTCACCTCATTTGTTCACTGTTATCTACTTTAGAGTCACTGACCAGCCTGCAAAATGTTCTTGTATTTAACTTTAACTTGCTGCCAGGTCCTTTTATGGCCAGACAAGTTTGTTCTTTATGAAGGATAGAAAGATAAAATAGATTAAAATAGATTAAATGACACACATTGTGGATAATTGTTTGCACTTAATCATACTCTACATTTCATGCACCTCTACTTGCCACATTTAAAGCAAAGTGTACAACAGTTGATTAGTGGACTTAAAGTAACTCCTTTAGTCCTTTAATTGGAGCCTAATGATGACAGTTCCAGTGGAGCACTGTTTATTCATTGTACAGTTTTGGACTACTTAAGCATTAAGCCGGTCCGCTATTGTCTGCCAGGCTTTCTCTCTTTCTTTAATTATGGCATTGGTATTGCCTTTGTTTCTTCTATCTTCCACCTCTTCATAGAACTCCATCAGGAGCTGTTGTTCAGTGACTCTTATCCATGTTCCCATCGGTGATTCTGTGAGCGATCGCGAGGTCTATTTCAGTATGCCGTGAACACGCACTTATCCCGACTATCTACACCTGGCTTAACATAGCCGCACCTTTTAATCCTGGCTCGGCAAACGTGCAACCAATTAAGCCAGGATGCGCCGAGCAGGCTAAGTCAAGCCGCGCTTGCTCAGTTATCCTGGATTTCTTTATCCTACTTTTGTGCAATACCCCTCTGATGAAACACCGGCGGTCACATGGTAGAAAAATACTGATGTCAGAACAGGACAGTCCTGTATACTTTGGAACTACACTTCCCATGATGCTTTGGGGTGCTTTACACTGTGGGAAACATGTTTAGCCTGTATTAGCTATTAGCAGTTCCTGTTTACTCTGTACGGAAGCCCCGAACCGCCAAGGTTGCAATATTTCTTTTAATGACGTTATCTCCAGAAAACAAGCACTGTTACCTCAAGGTAACGAGATAATCAATGAAATTAAAATAATCAATCTTATTACTTTCAATGTTTATCAGAGATTAGCATGCATAGCTAGCGTTTGGTTCAACACAGAAGACGCCAGGAAGAAGTGTATGAAAATAATCTTTGCAAGTTTGTTTTTGTTTTTTTATTTTCTGTCCTTATTTGCTTCTGTGTTATCTTTTAAATGTCAGCTCGGCTACTTTCAGCTTCACGATGAGATTTTATAAGAAAAAGAGAATTTAAAAAGAGGACATGATTTGAATAATATTTAATACAAATTTAAAAAAAATTATCTTAAATTGACTCAGTTTTACATTTTGAATCCAACTCTTCACTTCAGTTATGAAACCTTAAGATTATAATTATCTCGTTATCTTAAGAAAACAAAATGTTTTCACAAAATATTGTTTTTCGTGATTAATTATCACCTTTTATTTCTCAAGATAACGAGAAAAATGTACTTGTGATCCTGACAAAACGGCATTAAAAGTAAATAAAATAATGAAAACATAACTATTGTGAGCATGGCTGCTTTAGGCTTCCATACTTTACTGAAGGAAACATTTATTCTCTTTTTTCTAAGTGGATTTATGGAGGCTTATTGTGGACTGACATCAGAGATAAAGGTATGGTCAGGAAGCGTCGGTCACACTGAATCTAAAGATATGAGCTTCCTGTCTGTGTGCTCAGAGCTGATTGAGTTATTGATCCGAGAAGCAGTCAATCACATATATATATGTATATTTTCAACCACATGACCTCTAGTAGCCTCCGTATTGTGACAAACAGGAAGAGAGGAATGTTCCTTCAGATTAAAGCTCCACCGATCTCACAAGTGTGTGTGTGTGTGTGTGTGACATCACAGCCGGCAGGTGTGACATCACAGCCAGCAGGTGTGTGCATGCAGGTGGATTTATGTAACAACATGGCCAACGCTGGTTGCAGCCCTTTAGTTCACTGTTCAGCTGCCGAGAATGAGATAAAGACCGAGCTCCCGTTTCCCAAACAGACTTCAGACCAGATCGACCAATCACAGAGCTTGTTTACAGTCAGGTGGGAATGTATGGAAGCCCGTTTCTCCAGTTTCTGAAAACTGAACCTTGGTAATTAAAAACTAATTATGAGATAAAAAGTCACTTAACATATTTTTATTTAAGTTTTCATGTTGTTCTTTTATTTACTGGTGGAAAATGACTTGATGATGATAATTTTTATTAAACATAAATATTTTAAATGTTGAGGTTGAGTTTTTATTTTATTTTTTATTTTTTTATTTTACTGGCAGAAATGGGCTTCCATACATTTCAGACGCAGGGAAGGAAGTGAAAAGCAGGATGGATGAGATGGAGGAAAGTTATAGTTATATTATAAATATGTGTTGGACGTGATGAAGAGGAGACATTTTTAAACTAATTATATGTCGTTATGTTAAAGCCACCAGACTCCATTGATAAGACAGCCATTTTACCTCTTAGAGTTCTGTACACAAACTGTCATGGCCGTGGCTGTTTTCTTGTGTTTCCCCCTCACTTGTGTCAGCCAGCAAATTAACCAACCAACCAACCAACCAACCAACCAACCAACCAGCAAACCAACCAGCAAACCAACCAACCAACCAACCAACCAACCAGCAAACCAACCAACCAACCAGCAAACCAACCAGCAAACCAACCCACCAACCAACCAACCAGCCAACCAACCAGCCAACCAACCAACCAACCAACCAACCAACCAGCCAACCAACCAACCAACCAACCAACCAGCCAACCAACCAACCAACCAACCAACCAACCAGCCAACCAACCAACCAACCAGCCAACCAACCAACCAGCCAACCAACCAACCAACCAACCAACCAACCAGCCAACCAGCCAACCAACCAGCCAACCAGCAAACCAACCAGCAAACCAACCAACCAGCCAACCAACCAACCAACCAACCAACCAACCAGCCAACCAGCAAACCAACCAGCAAACCAACCAACCAGCCAACCAACCAACCAACCAACCAACCAGCCAACCAGCCAACCAACCAACCAACCAACCAGCCAACCAACCAACCAGCCAACCAACAACCAACCAGCCAACAACCAGCCAGCAAACCAACCAACCAACCAGCAACCAACCAACCAACCAACCAGCCAACCAGCCAACCAACCAGCCAACCAACCAACCAACCAACCAACCAGCCAACCAACCAGCCAACCAACCAACCAACCAGCCAACCAACAACCAACCAGCCAACAACCAGCCAACCAACCAGCCAACCAACCAGCCAGCCAACCAACCAACCAACCAACCAACCAGCCAACAACCAGCCAACAACCAGCCAACCAACCAACCAACCAACCAACCAGCCAACCAGCCAACCAACCAACCAGCCAACAACCAGCCAACCAACCAGCCAACCAACCAGCCAGCCAACCAACCAGCCAACAACCAGCCAACAACCAGCCAACCAACCAACCAACCAACCAACCAGCCAACCAGCCAACCAACCAACCAGCCAACAACCAGCCAACCAACCAGCCAACCAACCAACCAACCAACCAACCAGCCAACCAGCCAACCAACCAGCCAGCCAACCAACCAGTAAACCAACCAACCAACCAGCTATCTTATCATCATCGCCATTGCCACCCTTTTTGGAATTAAACCAACTTAACTTCACCAGTCTCTGAATCTGTCCGCACCTTCATCCACTATAAACAGTCAGTAGAAATATCTAACTACGTACTTTTACTTTATATTTTGGAGTATTTGTACTTCTACTTGAGTAAACAACGTGTACGTTGGATGTGAACGTACTCTGGAGACAGCTGCTATTGGTCGGTCTGGATGCAGAGAGAGGACCTGATTGGCCGCTCAGACGGACAGGAAGCTTGCACCGTCTACTGTCCATTAGCTTAGTGTCCGTTAGCTTAGCATCAGGCTGGTTTTTGGGAAACGTGACCCAGCAAACGAGAGACAGCAGCGTAAACCAGCTTCCTGTCAGAGCTCCGCCCTGTAAACATTAAGCCCAGCCCAGTAGGGGGTTCTGGACCCGGGTCTGGCGGTGATTGTGGTCAGACCTGGAGCTCTCAGTAAGGTCTGCAGGTCTTTTCTGAGGCCGGTCTGACGGGTCGCACATTATTAGATCTTCACCATAAACATCTGCACAGAAACAAATGAATCCACAGAGGAAAAGAAACAACAGTTTGTTTGTTTGTTTGTTGATGTACACAAACAGGGACCAGGCAGTCCAGCACTGATCCAGAATCCATGATCCAGAACATCTGAGCACACTGGTCTCTTCTACTTCCAGTGTCATTTTATTTTTATTTTTTTCTGCCTCTCTACGGAAGCCCTGAGAGGCAAATGAGTGTTTGTTGTTGTAATTCTCATTCTGTCCACAAGAGGCTGACATGTGATATTATTATCTCCTGTCTCTGTCCGTCTCCTCCAGTGTCTGTCCAACAGGGACAGGAAGTCCTGGTTCAGGTGTCTTCAGGTGTTCTTAAAGGTATTTTAGAGTTTCCTGATAATCAATAAAAGTAATTGATGACTCATCCTGCACTCGGGGGCGTTTACTAATGCTGCGTCCAATCAAACGCTGTCTCTCTTCGGACGCCGCCGGAGTGTTTGTGAGGGTCGTTACAGACAACCTATGACCTCACTGAGTACAAACACCTACTGCAGAGCTACATTAGCTAGTTAGCTAGTTAGCATTCTGCTCTGTAGCAAGTTAGCTTACTAAGTAACTAGCTAGCTAATCATTAGCTAAAAAGTTGCATCTGTTAGCGAAACGCTGGCTAACTAATGATTGATCTAAATTAGCTAATGAGTCAGCGATGAACTTTGAATTTCAACTACGAGGGATCAATAAAGGAACATCTTATCTTAGCTAGCATTTCACTCTCAAGCTAACCTCTACTAGCTAGCCCATCAGTATCAGTGCACAGTGTGCGCGGTGCGCCGCGGCGTGCGCGGTGCGCCGCGGCGTGCGCGGTGCGGACACAAGTATTGGTACTGAGAGCAGTTTCTTTATCTCAAGCAGCTCCGAGACACTTCTAAAGGTTTTTGTTAGCATAGTGCTAAACTCACTCTCTGAGATTAACAGTTTCCTGATGGACAGATAGCTTCAGCTAAAGTAGCTAACTGCTTATTAACTGCTGTTAACTGTATCTGCCGTTAGCGGGCCACAGAACCGGGCTCAGCAGCCGGACCGGGATCGAACACAGACGCTGGGTAGACACTGATGCTAGCTCATAGCGCTAGCTGCTATTGGCTGCTGTATCCCTACAATGTGAGGAAGCAAACACTGGAGATTGAGATCACTCTTAGATAATGGATCAGCAGTGGCCCCTCAGGGCCTCCGTACATTTCTGTTTTTCAGTCACTGCAGATGATTTTCCAGCTTTGGTCACGTGACCCAATCGCCCTTTATGAGCCATCTCAAAACGTCTTTATTCCCAAAATGAGTTTTTGTTCCAAATTCTGAAGAAACAATTCAATCATCTGTCTCTGAAATTATTATTATTATAATAATAATAATAATAATAATAATAATAATAATAATGTGGTTTCAGTCCAGAACCACCTGACACACAGTCCACCTGTCCATCCAGACCAGCGACGTTAAGGCGTCTGCAAACAGGAAGTCGTCCTCCAGCTCATCGCCACGGGGCCGACCTCACCTGAGAGCCGGCCTCCAACATCCCAGACACATTCCCAGTGTCTGATGGGTAATTTCACTCCCCGGCGACGGGGCTACCAGTGGTGGTTCTTGGACAGGTAGGCGATGAGCGCCACAGCCACGCCCACATAGATACCTGTCCCAATGGTGATTGACAGCACGGCCAGGAAGAGAGCCCGCCTCGAACTGGAGCTCGCCACGTGGAAGTCTCCTTTAGACACCGCCTTATTGGTCTGAGGGGGAGGACAGAGGGAGGAGAGAGGAGAGAGGGAGGAGAGAGGGAGGAAGAGAGAGAGGGTGGAAGAAGAGAGAGGAGAGAGGGAGGAGAGAGGAGAGAGGGAGGAGGAAGAGGGAGGAAGAGAGAGAGGGTGGAAGAAGAAGAGAGAGAGGGAGGAGAGGGGAGAGAGAGGAGAGAGGGAGGAAGAGAGAGAGGGTAGAAGAAGAGAGAGGAGAGAGGGGGAAGAAGAGGGAGGGAGGAAGAAGAGGGAGGAGAGAGGGAGGAAGAGAGAGAGGGTGGAAGAAGAGGGAGGGTGGAAGAAGAGGGAGGAGGAGAGGAAGGAAGAGAGAGAGGAGGAAGAAGAGGGGAGGAGAGAGGGAGGGTAGAAGAAGAGGGGGAGGAGAGAGGGAGGAAGAGAGAGAGGGTGGAAGAAGAGGGAGGAGAGAGGGAGGAAGAGAGAGAGGGAGGAAGAGAGAGAGGGTGGAAGAAGAGGGGAGGAGAGAGGGAGGAAGAGAGAGGGAGGAAGGGAGAGAGGGTAGAAGAAGAGGGAGGAGAGAGGGAGGAGAGAGGAGAGAGGGAGGAGAGAGGGAGGAAGAGAGAGGGGAGGAAGAAGAGGGAGGAGAGAGGGAGGAGAGAGGAGAGAGGGAGGAGAGAGGGAGGAAGAGAGAGGGGTGGAAGAAGAGGGAGGAGAGAGGGAGGAGAGAGGAGAGAGGGAGGAGAGAGGGAGGAAGAGAGAGGGGAGGAAGAAGAGGGAGGAGAGAGGGAGGAAGAAGAGGGAGGAGAGAGGGAGGAAGAGAGAGAGGGAGGAAGAGAGAGAGGGTGGAAGAAGAGGGAGGAGAGAGGGAGGAAGAGAGAGAGGGTGGAAGAAGAGGGAGGAGAGAGGGAGGAAGAAGAGGGAGGGAGGAAGAAGAGGGAGGAGAGAGGGAGGAAGAGAGAGAGGGTGGAAGAAGAGGGAGGGTGGAAGAAGAGGGAGGAGAGAGGAAGGAAGAGAGAAGGAGGAAGAAGAGGGAGGAGAGAGGGAGGGAAGAAGAGGGAGGAGAGAGGGAGGAAGAGAGAGGGAGGAAGAAGAGGGGAGGGAGAGAGGGAGGAAGAGAGAGAGGGAGGAAGAGAGAGAGGGTGGAAGAAGAGGGAGGAGAGAGGGAGGAAGAGAGAGACGGTGGAAGAAGAGGGAGGAGAGAGGGAGGAAGAAGAGGGAGGAGAGAGGGAGGAAGAGAGAGGGAGGAAGAAGAGGGAGGAGAGAGGGAGGAAGAGAGAGAGGGAGGAAGAAGAGGGAGGAGAGAGGGAGAGAGGGAGGAGAGAGGGAGGAAGAGAGAGAGGGTGGAAGAAGAGGGAAGAGAGAGGGAGGAGAGAGGAGAGAGGGAGGAGAGAGGGAGGAAGAGAGAGAGGGTGGAAGAAGAGGGAGGAGAGAGGGAGGAAGAGAGAGAGGGTGGAAGAAGAGGGAGGAGAGAGGGAGGAGAGAGGGAGGAAGAAGAGGGAGTGAGAGAGGGAGGAAGAAGAGGGAGGAGAGAGGGAGGAAGAGAGAGAGGGTGGAAGAAGAGGGAGGAGAGAGGGAGGAGAGGAGGAGAGGGAGGAGAGAGGGGAGGAAGAGAGAGGGAGGAGAGAGGGAGGAAGAAGAGGGAGGGAGGGAGAGAGGGTAGAAGAAGAGGGGGAGGAGAGAGGGAGGAAGAGAGAGAGGGTGGAAGAAGAGGGGGGAGGAGAGAGGGAGGAAGAGAGAGAGGGTGGAAGAAGAGGGAGGAGAGAGGGAGGAGAGAGGGAGGAAGAAGAGGGAGTAGAGAGGGAGGAAGAAGAGGGAGGAGAGAGGGAGGAAGAGAGAGGGAGGAAGAAGAGGGAAGAGAGAGGGAGGAAGAGAGAGAGGGGTGGAAGAAGAGGGAGGAGAGAGGCGAGAGGGAGGAGAGAGGGAGGAAGAGAGAGGGAGGAAGAGAGAAGAGGGAGGAGAGAGGGAGGAAGAAGAGGGAGGGAGGAAGAAGAGGGAGGAGAGAGGGAGGAAGAGAGAGAGGGTGGAAGAAGAGGGGGAGGAGAGAGGGAGGAAGAGAGAGAGGGTGGAAGAAGAGGGAGGAGAGAGGGAGGAGAGAGGGAGGAAGAAGAGGGAGTAGAGAGGGAGGAAGAAGAGGGAGGAGAGAGGGAGGAAGAGAGAGGGAGGAAGAAGAGGGAAGAGAGAGGGAGGAAGAGAGAGAGGGTGGAAGAAGAGGGAGGAGGAGAGAGGCGAGAGGGAGGAGAGAGGGAGGAAGAGAGAGGGAGGAAGAAGAGGGAGGAGAGAGGGAGGAAGAAGAGGGAGGGAGGAAGAAGAGGGAGGAGAGAGGGAGGAAGAGAGAGAGGGTGGAAGAAGAGGGGGGAGGAGAGAGGGAGGAAGAGAGAGAGGGGGAAGAAGAGGGAGGAGAGAGGGAGGAGAGAGGGAGGAAAGAAGAGGGAGTAGAGAGGGAGGAAGAAGAGGGAGGAGAGAGGGAGGAAGAGAGAGAGGGAGGAAGAAGAGGGAGGAGGCAGGGAGGAAGAAGAGAGAGGGTGGAAGAAGAGGGAGGAGAGAGGGAGGAAGAGAGAGGGAGGAAGAAGAGGGAGGAGAGAGGGAGAGAGAGGGAGGACAGAGGGAGGAGAGAGGCGAGAGGGAGGAGAGAGGGAGGAAGAGAGGGAGGAAGAGGGAAGAAGAGGGAGGAGAGAGGGAGGAAGAAGAGGGAGGGAGGAAGAAGAGGGAGGAGAGAGGGAGGAAGAGAGAGAGGGTGGAAGAAGAGGGGGAGGAGAGAGGGAGGAAGAGAGAGAGGGTGGAAGAAGAGGGAGGAGAGAGGGAGGAGAGAGGGAGGAAGAAGAGGGAGTAGAGAGGGAGGAAGAAGAGGGAGGAGAGAGGGGAGGAGAGAGAGAGGAAGAGAGAGGGAGGAAGAAGAGGGAGGAGAGGAGGGAGGAAGAGAGAGAGGGTGGAAGAAGAGGGAGGAGAGAGGCGAGAGGGGAGGAGAGAGGGAGGAAGAGAGAGGGAGGAAGAAGAGGGAGGAGAGAGGAGAGAGGGAGGACAGAGGGAGGAGAGAGGCGAGAGGGAGGAGAGAGGGAGGAAGAGAGAGGGAGGAAGAAGAGGGAGGAGAGAGGGAGGAAGAAGAGGGAGGGAGGAAGAAGAGGGAGGAGAGAGGGAGGAAGAGAGAGAGGGTGGAAGAAGAGGGGGAGGAGAGAGGGAGGAAGAAGAGGGAGGGAGGAAGAAGAGGGAGGAGAGAGGGGAGGAAGAGAGAGGGAGGAAGAAGAGGGAGGAGAGAAGGAGGAAGAGAGAGAGGGAGGAAAGAGGGAGGAAGAGAGGGAGGAGGAAGAAGAGAGGAGGAGAGAGGGAGGAAGAGAGAGAGAGGGAGGAAGAAGAGGGAGGAGAGAGGCGAGAGGAGGGAGGAGAGAGGGAGGAAGAGAGAGGGAGGAAGAAGAGGGAGGAAGAAAGGAGGAGAGGGGAGGAAGAAGAGGGAGGAGGAAGAGGGGAGGGAGGAAGAAGAGGGAGGAGAGAGGGAGGAAGAGAGAGAGGGTAGAAGAAGAGGGGGAGGAGAGAGGGAGGAAGAGAGAGAGGGTGGAAGAAGAGGGGGAGGAGAGAGGGTGGAAGAAGAGGGAGGAGAGAGGGAGGAAGAGAGAGAGGGTGGAGAGAGAGAGGAGAGAGGGAGGAGAGAGAGGGAGGAGAGAGGGAGGAGAGAGGGAGGAAGGATATTAGCTGCTGTTTGCTAACATTAGCTATCAGATGTAACTAGCTAGTTAACGGTTTATGTAGATTAATGAGCTAGTTAGCTCGTGTTTTGCTAACATTAACATTGGAGGATGTGTGTGTGTGTGTGTGTGTGTGTGTGTGTGTGTGTGTGTGTGTGTGTGTGTGTGTGTGTGTGTGTGTGTGTGTGTGTGTGTGTGTGTGTGTGTGTGTGTGTGTGTGTGTGTGTGTGTGTGTGTGTGTGTGAGTGTGTGTGTGTGTGTGTGTGTGTGTGTGTGTGTGAGTGTGTGTGTGTGTGTGTGTGTGTGTGTGTGTGTGTTCAGTTGGTTGCTGTATCATAGCGTTAAAGAACCCGTGAGAACAACGTTAAAGAAACAAGATTATAGATTATACACAGAGGAAGAACATCCGTCCCTCCGCTCTGATGTGATCAGGAAGCAGCCAGACCTCCTCTCTATAATAATAACTACAGTTTACTGATGAATGTGCTCCAAATGTCTTTATAAAGAACATCCAACCAAAGCAAACATAGAAATGTGTATATATACGTTAATATATATATATATACTGTTTATATTTATATGAGATATTAAACATTATATTCTCTATACACAGAGTCACATGGTGTCTCTCTCCCTCTGCCTGTCTCTCTCCCTCTGCCTGTCTCTCTCCCTCTGCCTGTGTTGTATCGCAGCCTCTCTGTGGTTTGTTTCCATAGCCGGTCTGCTCCGACTGAAACTGCTGTTTTTATCATCTACGTCGGTGAATTAAGGATTTATTTCCACCAAACCAGAGTTGGTGATTGTTGGAAACACTAACAGAGACGCTTTTAATCAGTTTTATTCTGTTTCTGTTCACTTTAATGAAGTTACGATGAGCTGAAGGTTAAATGAGTGTTTTTATGAATGGAGTCTGGTGGAGAGTGATAGTGATATTACTTTTTCTGTTGGGATCCTGAATGCTGGTCTGCTTGTCACTGATTGGCTGGTTGTGTTTTCAAAGTCAGTGTTGACCACTGAGCTCCATGATGAGGATGAAGATGAGGATGATGATGGTAATGATGATGATGATGGTGGTGGCGATGGCAGCGGCGTTCCTCTGTGTGTTGACATTAAATAACCCTCAATCTCTGCCAGTCCCTTAACGAGCTGAATTAACTGTGTAAACATGATTAACGAGCTCGTTGGCAGGAAACTGTAATCACTGCTTCCCTTCCAGTAAGATTTAATTACACTTCAGACCAATCACACGTCAGTGCAGTGACGTCAGCCAACCAGAGATAGCTGGGGGGCGGGGCCTCCTGTGATTGGTCCAGTGGAGACAATGAGGCGCTCCCAAACTTCCTGCTGAACAAAGAGCAATGTCCTTGTAGGTCTGAGTGTGTGCAGCAAGAGAGTTACGTAAGTGTGTGTGTGTGTGTGTGTGTGTGTGTGTGTGTGTGTGCCACTCTAAAGTACCAATCAGATTATCCACAGCGGGTTAACAAAAACAGATTGTATCAGTCTGCAACGGGCAGCCGCTTACTGCCGGGACTCTGTACTGTAACACACTGTACTGTAACACACTGTACTGTAACACACTGTACTCTAACACACTGTACTCTAACACACTGTACTCTAACACACTGTACTCTAACACACTGTACTCTAACACACTGTACTCTAACACACTGTACTGTAACACACTGTACTCTAACACACTGTACTGTAACACACTGTACTGTAACACACTGTACTGTACTGTAACACACTGTACTCTAACACACTGTACTGTAACACACTGTACTCTAACACACTGTACTCTAACACACTGTACTCTAACACACTGTACTGTACTCTAACACACTGTACTGTAACACACTGTACTGTAACACACTGTACTGTACTCTAACACACTGTACTGTAACACACTGTACTCTAACACACTGTACTGTACTCTAACACACTGTACTCTAACACACTGTACTGTACTCTAACACACTGTACTCTAACACACTGTACTGTACTCTAACACACTGTACTGTACTCTAACACACTGTACTGTAACACACTGTACTGTAACACACTGTACTCTAACACACTGTACTGTAACACACTGTACTGTAACACACTGTACTCTAACACACTGTACTGTACTGTAACACACTGTACTGTAACACACTGTACTCTAACACACTGTACTGTACTGTAACACACTGTACTGTAACACACTGTACTGTAACACACTGTACTGTACTGTAACACACTGTACTGTAACACACTGTACTGTAACACACTGTACTGTACTCTAACACACTGTACTGTAACACACTGTACTGTAACACACTGTACTGTAACACACTGTACTCTAACACACTGTACTCTAACACACTGTACTGTACTGTAACACACTGTACTGTACTCTAACACACTGTACTGTAACACACTGTACTCTAACACACTGTACTGTAACACACTGTACTGTAACACACTGTACTGTACTCTAACACACTGTACTCTAACACACTGTACTGTAACACACTGTACTCTAACACACTGTACTGTAACACACTGTACTGTACTGTAACACACTGTACTGTAACACACTGTACTGTAACACACTGTACTCTAACACACTGTACTGTACTCTAACACACTGTACTCTAACACACTGTACTGTAACACACTGTACTCTAACACACTGTACTGTACTGTAACACACTGTACTGTAACACACTGTACTGTAACACACTGTACTCTAACACACTGTACTGTAACACACTGTACTGTAACACACTGTACTGTACTCTAACACACTGTACTGTAACACACTGTACTCTAACACACTGTACTGTAACACACTGTACTGTAACACACTGTACTGTACTCTAACACACTGTACTGTAACACACTGTACTCTAACACACTGTACTGTAACACACTGTACTGTAACACACTGTACTGTAACACACTGTTTACTGGATCCTAAGAGACACCTTTGACCTCCCAGCAGAGTGGAAGGTTTTTCTGTTTGTGGTGAACTCTTCCTTTAACATGGCTCACTTCCTCTCTGCTTTTAACAAACTCTCCTCCTCCTCCTCCTCCTCCCTCCTCCTCCTCCTCCTCCTCCTCCTCCCTCCTCATCTTCCTCCTCCTCTTCCTCCTCCTCCTCCTCCTCCTCCTCCTCCTCCTCCCTCCTCATCTTCCTCCTCATCTTCCTCCTCCTCCTCCTCCTCCTCCTGCTGCTGCTGCAGAGCTTTCTGTTGTTCAGTGATGGATTTCAGTGGGAAGCGTTGCCACTGGCAACCAGCCCTGTTTCTTTTGGAGCTGTAGGTGTGGAGTTGCCATGGAAACCACATCCAAACCACATGCAGCAGATGAGCTACCAGCACACACAGACCCCCAGACCTCCTCCTGCTAGCTCCACACAGACCTCCAGACCTCCTCCTGCTAGCTCCACACAGACCTCCAGACCTCCTCCTGCTAGCTCCACACAGACCTCCAGACCTCCTCCTGCTAGCTCCACACAGACCCCCCAGACCTCCTCCTGCTAGCTCCACACAGACCTCCAGACCTCCTCCTGCTAGCTCCACACAGACCTCCAGACCTCCTCCTGCTAGCTCCACACAGACCTCCAGACCTCCAGACCTCCTCCTGCTAGCTCCACACAGACCTCCAGACCTCCTCCTGCTAGCTCCACAAAGACCTCCAGACCTCCAGACCTCCTCCTGCTAGCTCCACACAGACCTCCAGACCTCCTCCTGCTAGCTCCACACAGACCTCCAGACCTCCTCCTGCTAGCTCCACACAGACCTCCAGACCTCCAGACCTCCTCCTGCTAGCTCCACACAGACCTCCAGACCTCCTCCTGCTAGCTCCACAAAGACCTCCAGACCTCCAGACCTCCTCCTGCTAGCTCCACACAGACCTCCAGACCTCCTCCTGCTAGCTCCACACAGACCTCCAGACCTCCTCCTGCCAGCTCCACACAGACCTCCAGACCTCCAGACCTCCTCCTGCTAGCTCCACACAGACCTCCAGACCTCCTCCTGCTAGCTCCACAAAGACCTCCAGACCTCCAGACCTCCTCCTGCTAGCTCCACACAGACCTCCAGACCTCCTCCTGCTGCTAGCTCCACACAGACCTCCAGACCTCCCCTCCTGCTAGCTCCACACAGACCTCCAGACCTCCTCCTGCTAGCTCCACACAGACCTCCAGACCTCCAGACCTCCTCCTGCTAGCTCCACACAGACCTCCAGACCTCCTCCTGCTAGCTCCACAGAGCTCCAACTGATCCCTGATCACTGATCGGCTTCAAAGAGACCTGAAACCTCTGCCATACAGGGTCGTCCACTGATCGGGAGGTTGTTGGTTCGATTCCCCAGCTCTTCCCGCTGAATGTCGAAGTGTGTGTGAGTGTGTGTGTGTGTGTGTGTGTGTGTGTGTGTGTGTGTGTGTGTGTGTGTGTGTGTAAGGCTGAAAAAGCACTGTGAGTGGTTGGAAGACAAGAAAGGAAACTATACAAGTAGAGGTCCATTTACAGAGAGACAGACAGACAGAGAGACAGAGAGACAGACAGACAGACAGACAGAGAGACAGACAGACAGACAGACAGACAGACAGCTGACTGCAGATCAGTTATATAAGGTGGACTGTGTCAGTGAGTAGGAGCAGCTTTCTATTAATGTTCTAAAAACAGAAAGAGAAGAAGAAACTGCAGCAGACTCCAAATACTGCACTGTTACTCTATTACTCTATTACTGCAGTAGTGTATTACTCTATTACTCTATTACTGCAGTAGTGTATTACTCTATTACTCTATTACTCTATTACTGCAGTAGTGTATTACTCTATTACTCTATTACTGCAGTAGTGTATTACTCTATTACTCTATTACTGTATTACTGCAGTAGTATATTACTCTATTACTCTATTACTGCAGTAGTGTATTACTCTATTACTGCAGTAGTATATTACTCTATTACTCTATTACTGCAGTAGTATATTACTCTATTACTATATTACTGCAGTAGTATATTACTCTATTACAATATTACTGCAGTAGTGTATTACTCTATTACTGCAGTAGTATATTACTCTATTACTATATTACTGCAGTAGTATATTACTCTATTACAATATTACTGCAGTAGTGTATTACTCTATTACTGCAGTAGTATATTACTCTATTACTATATTACTGCAGTAGTATATTACTCTATTACAATATTACTGCAGTAGTGTATTACTCTATTACTGCAGTAGTATATTACTCTATTACTCTATTACTGCAGTAGTATATTACTCTATTACTATATTACTGCAGTAGTGTATTACTCTATTACTGCAGTAGTATATTACTCTATTACTATATTACTGCAGTAGTATATTACTCTATTACTGTATTACTGCAGTAGTGTATTACTCTATTACTCTATTACTGCAGTAGTATATTACTCTATTACTATATTACTGCAGTAGTATATTACTCTATTACTGCAGTAGTATATTACTCTATTACTATATTACTGCAGTAGTATATTACTCTATTACTACAGTAGTATATTACTCTATTACTCTATTACTGCAGTAGTATATTACTCTATTACTATATTACTGCAGTAGTATATTACTCTATTACTGCAGTAGTATATTACTCTATTACTCTATTACTGCAGTAGTATATTACTCTATTACTGCAGTAGTATATTACTCTATTACTATATTACTGCAGTAGTATATTACTCTATTACTGCAGTAGTATATTACTCTATTACTGTATTACTGCAGTAGTATATTACTCTATTACTGCAGTAGTATATTACTCTATTACTGCAGTAGTATATTACTCTATTACTGCAGTAGTATATTACTCTATTACTGCAGTAGTATATTACTAT